CTTGGGGAAGGGACTTGGGGCTGGGCCCTGGTGGGAACAGTCTGAAGCCTTTGGGGTGATTTCAATCTCCAGGGTTCATCTGTGTGTAAAAGCCACCAGGCAGGCTTCCTGGAGGAGGTGGCTGTAGAAGCATACCCAGCTATTCTTGCATATTCCCTCTGAGGTGAGTCCTCTGACTGCCTCGACTTAGATGTCCCAGCCCAGAGCCCACAGCAGCCAGGAAGGTACAAGTGTGAGAACTGGGCCTGGCGGAAGGCAGTGAGGAGCGGTGGCCTGGGGTGGCCTGGATGGTTTGCGTGCTGCCTGCAACCTGAGTAAGGAGCAGATTCTGCACACAGCTGGCAGCTGGTTAGGGACCTGCCTCGGGCCAGGCACAAGTAAGACATCACGGGCACCTGCTGTTAACAGCTTTTCCCACTCACCTCTTAGGTGCTGAAGTGGGTGGAGTCAGCGATTCAGGCCTCCAAGGTGCACCTGCTGTCCACAGACCACGAGGAGGAGGGCGAGCACACGTGGAGACTCCCCTTTGACCCCAGCCTGAAGGAGGTCACCGTCTCGTTGAGCGGGCCAGGGCCACAGATCGAAGTCCGGGACCCGCTGGGTATGAACTGCTGGGGTCTGGCCTCTGCCGGTGACGGGCTGCAGAGCGAGAGCCAGGGAGCAGGGGTTCAGAGAGAGACGCAGGCCCAGGGGTAAGGTGCACGAGGCAGCAGGAATTGGAGGAAAGACTCAGCGGGGTCCTGGAGTCTCCAAGGGCAACAGCCCGTGGTGTTTGGTCCTGGCCTGCTGGCCCACAAGGCTCGGCGAATGCCACGAATGGCTAGGTCTGGAGGCCAGGTGTGCAGCCTGTGCCCAGGGAGCCATGTGGCTGGGTGCAGAGTGAGACAGAGGTCCGGGCACTGCCCACGTCCCTCTAGTCCGGGCTGGGGAGACTGGTGCTGGTGGGCGGGGGCTCCGGGAGACAGGACGGGACCCCGGAACCCCCAAGAAAGGGTCGGGGACTGACTGGTGGCTTGGGGCTTGCACAGGGAGGATCTTGCAGAAGGATGAAGGCCTCAACGTCCTCCTCAACATCCCCGACTCGGCCAAGGTCGTGGCTTTTAAGCCTGAGCATCCTGGGCTGTGGTCCATCAAGGTAGGGGTGCCGGGTGCGGGGCCGGGGAGAGGCCGACTCTGCTGAACCGGAACCGTTCCTTTCTCCTCCGAGGGGAGCCTGGGCAGTGGTGTGGGCATATCAATAGGGGTAACGGGTCCAGAGCAGAGGAGAGGGCTCTGCTTTTCCTAGGGGAGCAAGTGGAACAGTTTGGGCTTGGTAAGCAGGGCTTGGAGAAATGACTTCAGGGTTCCCCTGACTTGGGGCTCAGAACCCTGCCCTGTGGAAAGCACAGGAAAGAAGCTGGGACAACTTTGGGGAGATGGCTCAGAGGCACAGAGCTGGCGGGGGACAGGGCCTGCTCAGTTCCGGGAACTAGAAGACGTGCTTGGGTGGAGCAGGCTGCCGCCCTGGGGAGCGGCATTTACAGAGCGCCTACGGGGTGAGGTACTGCAGGGGAAGTGGCAGCACCACCCGGCTGCATCTTTGAGCCGAGAGCTCTAACCCGGACGCGGACGGCGAGGTGGGGAGTTGGCCATGCAGGGAGCAGAGGGGGCTGCAGGGTGACAGGCAGGGCTGCTCCAAGAGGCCCACTCAGAGTAGGCTTGTGGCTGGGGCTCTGCTTCTCCCCTGGGGGAGCACCGTGCTGGGCCCCAGGGAGCCGGAAGTTCATCATGTTGTCTGCCAAGGCGGGAGAATCCCAGTTGCTGACCTGGGGCTGGGTCAGGTCCACGGCCTCCTGCCCTGCCTCTGGGGTGCTGAGGTGGGGTGGGGGATGCTGCGGTGACGTGGGCGGGGCCTCCGCTAGATCTACAGCAGCGGCCGCCACTCGGTGAGAATCACGGGCGTCAGCAACATCGACTTCCGAGCCGGCTTCTCCACGCAGCCCTCCCTGGACCTCAACCACACCATCGAGTGGCCCTTGCAAGGTACGGTGCTGCCCTGGGGCCATGCTAAGCTGCCTTCCTGTGCCATGGGCTTGGCTCTGGGCATGGTGGGCAGGTGGGGCCCGTGGCTGTGCGGCTGTGGGATGACATTGTCCCAGGTCAGGAGGATGCACACTGAGCCCAGGCCAGCACCTTGCCCTGGCCCTCAGCCCACGTGACGGGTGGCACACACCTTTAGGGAACCTCCTGGATGCCATGGGCCCCTCAGGTTGTCCCCTTTCTTGCTGAGCTCACCCCTTCTCTTTTCTTTTTGTCCAAACATGTCCCCCATCTTCACCTTTCCAGCAAATAGCAGGCTGGTCCAATCAAAGAAGGGGCACCAGGGAGCTGACGTGATGGCTCAGGAAGAGGGGGTGGTGCCTCCCCATAGAACAGATGTCCTGGTGGGAGCTGGCTTGGCCTAGGGGGTGCCAAATGGAGTAGGAGGCGCAGGGCCACTTTCCTGATGGGGTCTCAGGTTGCCTGTGGATTCCCTGTGGCTCCACCCGGAGAAGTCGGGGCCACAGTACCAGCAGAGGTGTCTGGCTCAGGCTGCCTGAGCTCCGTGCCAGGAAATCCCATCTGGGAGCCAGGTTGGGGGTCTGGAAAACGTGGTCCCTTGCAATGGGGCTGGTTTTCGGATTTTGCTGGGACCAGCTCTGAAGAGAGACAGGTGGGGCGTGGGCCAGGTCAGGCTGAGTCGGGACGGGAAGCGCGACTCAGCACTGCTGTTGCAGCTGCGCCTCCTCTGACGTTTGTCGTTCTGGTTACAAGGATTGCTCCCCTCGCCAGGGCAGCCGTGATTTCCTGAGAGTGAAGCAGGGCCACCGCTTGTCCCCTGGTTGTTTTGCCAATGTTGTGAAGTGGGAAGAGCGGGGAAGCTGGCACTTCTCCACAGCTAGGAGGGGAGAGGAGTCCTACGGGGTGCTGTCCCCAGGGCCGGTTTCCAGACTGAGTGGGACAGGAGCCCACAAGGGACCCTCTGGGGTTTCTGCTTTTGCGAAGATGTGGGTCAGAGACAGAAAAATAAAGATTAGCAGCAGGGTAATGCAAATGATGACTAATGGTTGACACTTGGCCCCCGTGCTGTGGACTTTAGGGCACGGGGGAGACTGTGGCTTGGCAGATGGCGGATGCCTGAACTGTTGCTACGTTATGTTGGTTGGAGTCTGAACTCCTATATTTTTATGTGGGGCACTTCAAAAATTTGGGAAAAATGGAATGAAAAGCTAAGTTTGTTTTGGTGCAAAAAATTTTTCAGGGAGCAGGTGTTTAGTGTAGTGGATAAGATGTCTACATCTCTTTTGGAGTGCCTGGGTTTGATTCCTGGCTGTGACTCTCAAGTCTCGTTTCCTGCCAGTATAGATCCTGGGGGACAGCTGTGACGGCCCCAGTAGCTGGGCGTTTGTCACCTCTGTGGGAGACCTGGCTTGAGTTCCTGTCTCCTGGCTTTGGCACTGACACAGCCCTGGCCAATGCAGGCCTTTGAGGAGTGAACTGCTGGGTGGGAGCCCTGTCTCTCTCTGCCCCTCTATCTCCCTTTGTCCTTCTGCCCCAAATAAATAAAAATTTTAAGAAATTTTGAAATCCACGTGTAGCTTTTTAATCTGAATCTTTATGCGCTTTTTTGAAGACCATTTGTATGCATGGATTTCAAAATATTTTTGCACCAAAATAAGCTTGACTTTGAAGTCCATTTTCCTCAGACTTTGTGAAGTACCCCCGTGTGCCCTTTCCAGGTTATTCAATGCTCCTTCGAGAAGTTTAAGGCATTTCCTGGGCCACACCAGCCACAGCCACAGCCCCCAGCTGATGATCTCTGAAGGATAAAAATAGTCAGTCCCTGTGTGTAAAGGGAGAGACCTGATCAAAACTTCCAAGCCAGCTGAGGACGTAACAAAGCCCGAGCCCTGGCCAGCGCCGCGGCTCACTAGGCTAATCCTCCGCCTTGCTGTGCTGGCACACCGGGTTCTAGTCCTGGTCGGGGCGCTGGATTCTGTCCCGGTTGCTCCTCTTCCAGGCCAGCTCTCTGCTGTGGCCAGGGAGTGCAGTGGAGGATGGCCCAAGTGCTTGGGCCCTGCACCCCATGGGAGACCAGGATGAGTACCTGGCTCCTGCCATCAGATCAGCGAGGTGCGCCGGCTGCAGTGCGCCAGCTGTGGCGGCCATTGGAGGGTGAACCAACGGCAAAGGAAGACCTTTCTCTCTGTCTCTCTCTCTCACTGCCACTCTGCCTGTCAAAAACAAAAACAAAAACAAAAACAAAAAAACAACAAAGCCCGAGCCCAGCCCTGTCCCTCCTGGGGCAGCGTGCAGAGCCCTGCATTTCCATGAAGGTGGAAAAGAGAACTGAGTACGCAGAGAGGTTGGGCCTGTGTCAGTCAGTCCCCAGGGTAGGCACATTGGCTGGGGCCACCCTCTGAAGCCTGTCTGATGACAGCTGACACTGGGATGTGGGGACAGAAGGCAGCCCCTTCCCAGCTCCGTCCCGAGGGTCCAGTCTACAGGGTGACCGAGGTGCCAGAGCTCCTGGAAGCATGCAGGGTGGACAGTGGCGTTTCAGGACCATGGACAGTAGCAGACCCCAGCGCCTTTCCCACCCCCAGCGTTAGTTGGCCCAGGGAACAGGTGTAGAAGGTGGGGAGCAGGTAACAGAGGGCCGCGCAGTGGGGACCCTGAGGTGTGGTCCCAGGGCCCCTACTTGAGGAGGTTCACGGCGCCTGACCTTCACTCCTCACCCCCACCGCTGCAGGAGTGCCCATCTCCCTGGTGATCAACTCCACGGGCCTGCAGGCCCCTGGCCGCCTCGACTCGGTGGAGCTCTCCCACAGCTCAGGGCAGCCCCTCCTCACGCTGCCTACACAGCCCCTTGCCAACGGATCCACCCATCGGCTGTGGGCGGGGCCACCCTTCCACACCCCTCCAGAGCGCTTCTACCTCAAGGTGAAGGGCAAGGACCACAAGGGAAACCCCGTCCTCCGTGTCTCTGGAGTTTCCTACAGCGGGGTGGCCCCAGGTGAGTGGTTGGCTCTGTGGGCTCGCAGGCCCATTTCTTCCTGGAAGCCTTCTGTGATTGGATCAGTTCAGTAAATGTGGGCAGCTGTCCCCTGTAAGGTGTCATACTGAAGACTGAGGTGCTTCCAACGTGGCCCCCAGGTCACGGATCTAGAGAAAGCTGACGCATCTTTCCGTCTGCCCACCGTACATCCACCACCTACCCAGTCACATATCAGCCTTATCCACCCATTCGTCCATCTCTGTTGACCTATTCGTCTGTCTATCCAGCCATCCATCCATCCATACACCCATTGATCCGCCCACCCTCCCACCTACCCACCCATCCATACATACATACATACACCCATTGATCCACCCACCCACCCATCCATACATACACCCATTGATCCACCCACCCACCAATCCATCCATACACCCATACACACATACACCCATTGATCCGCCCCCCCATCCATCCATCCATCCATACACCCATTGATCCGCCCACCCACCCACCCACACATACATACACCCATTGATCCACCCACCCACCAATCCATCCATCCATACACCCATTGATCTGCCCACCCACCCATCCATCCATATACATACACCCCATTGATCCGCCCCCCATCCATCCATCCATACATACACCCATTGATCCGCCCACCACCCATCCATCCATCCATACACCATTGATCCGCCCAACCCTCCCACCCACCCACCACCAACATACATACACCCATGATCCACCACACACCACCATCCATCCATCCACCATACACCCATTGATCCGCCCACCCACCCATCCATCCATCCATACATACATACACCCATTGATCCGCCCACCCACCCATCCATCCATCCTACATACATACACCCATTGATCCGCCCCCCCATCCATCCATCCATACATACACCTATTGACCCCCCCCCCCCATCCATCCATCCATCCATACACCCATTGATCCACCCACCCTCCCCCCACCACCCACCCACCCACCACACATACAACACCCATTGATCCACCCACCCACCAATCCATCCATCCATCCATCCATACACCCATTGATCCACCCACCCCCGATCCATCCACCCATCCATACATACACCCATTGATCCGCCCACCCCCGATCCATCCACTCATCCATCCCTCCACTCACCCACATATCCGCCCATCCATCATCCATCCATCTGCCTATTTATCTCTCCATCTACCCCGTTGATCTGTCCATATACTCACCCAGATACCCATCAGTCTACACGTCCACCCATCTGCTCATCCATCCGCCCACCCTGCCGCCCATGCATCCATCCAACACTCATTCTGATCGTCCTCTCTGTACCATGGAGGCTACTGCATGTGCTGGGCACTGTAGCTGCAGCGGTGGGCAGGGCAGACGTGGGGATTTGCTCTTCCCTGTCGTGATCAGGATCCCAGTCAGCATCGTGCCAGTACTCCCTCTGCTCGCTGTGTTAGTACTCCGCATGCATGGCTGTTTGCAGTCCAAACACGTGCCGTGGGCTAGCTCACCGAGTGCTCACGCCGGTTCTGAGACACGCCCCTGTTTTATAGATGAGGGCACTGAGACCAGCTACCTCCAGGGTTGGTTATTGAGGGTTATGTGAGCCTCCCAAGCTTTCCAGGTCTCCCCATAGTCCTGGCAGGGGGTATTTGGGCTCCCTGGCCGCTCAGCCTCCTAACTGGGTGCCACTGCCTTCCTCCCACCTACTGGCCCCTTCCCCTGGAGGTGGCCTGGGAGGAGCTCCCGGGGTGGAGGATGTCATTCTTTGTGGGGACCTCTGGGAGACACAGCCCCCTCTGTGCACTTGTAGTGGGGTTGTAGGTGGGGGGGAGGGCCAGCTGCTGAGGGCGCCCTGAGGTACACGACGGTGGGCAGCCCTGGGCCTCTTCTTCCTGGCCCCTCCCCGCTTGGCCTTTACAGCTCTGAGGAGCAGCGTGCATCCGGGGGCTTTGCAGGCTGATGAACAGCCTCTTTCCCACGATCAGGCCGTTGGAGTCCGGCTCTGGCTCTGGTCTCCGTCTCAGCTTTGATTCACGTGGAGGCAGCGGGGGGGGGGGGGGGGTCTTCTCTTCTTTCCCCGCCGTTCCTGTCTGGAAGGCTGGGACTTGGCCTGCCAGCAGGTGGCTTTGGATTTGGAGACGTGGGGGTGGGTCTGGGGTCCCTGGGCCCGTTCAGCTCCCAGGAGGGGGAGCCCGAGCCGGCTGGGGCGAGGCTTCCGCGTGGGCGAGCGGTGGCTGCTTGGCACGCAGCTGAGGACGTGGCTGGCTGGTCCAACAGCCCTCTCCCCCGGGACGTGGCAGGCAGCCTGGTGCATGATGTCACCCGCCGCCCTCCCCACCCCCAGCTCCGGGCTTCTGGGAGGTCTGGTGCATTGTGTCACCCTTGGAGCATCTCGCCCAGCTCCTCTCGGCTCCAACAGGGAAGGGGAGGGTTGAGTGCACCCCGAGATCCCCCAGAACCCGCTGATGGCCAAGCAAAGAAGAGGGCATCACCCCGAGGCCAGAGTCGGCGTCTGATGGGGGCCCCAAGAGGCTCATCGTGAGCTGTGCGATTTCATCGAAGTCTCTCGTTTTGTCTCAGAAATGTGTGTGAATTTTGCATTCGCAGCCGCGCCCCAAGCGTGCTGATTTTTAAGTGGCAAGGCTTCCCCAGCAACCCAGGCAAAGGGACAAGTGCACGGCCCCAGCCACATTCCCGGGGTCAGGACTGCTCCCAGGCAGTGGGGGCTGTAGAGTCCTGAGTGAGCCTTAAAAGCAATGCCAGCCATGACGGATGGGGCGTGCCGTGTGCTCCCCACGCACCACTTACGCCAGCTCCTCAAACATGATGAAGTCATTGCCGTGACTCCATTTTACAGAGGTGGCAACTGAGGCTTTGAAAGATGAAGCCACGTGCTCTTGGGGACCACTGAATGGGGGAGCCAGGGATTGAACCCCGTCTGGCTTTCTGGCTCCCGATTCGTTTGTGGCCGGGTGTCTGTTGCTGGGTGTGGCCAGGGTGGGCGGTGGAGGAGTTCTGAAGGCTGGTCCTTGGCTCCAGGCGCCCCCCTGGTCAGCATGCCGCCCCGGATCCATGGCTACCTGCAGCAGCCCCTGCTGGTCTCCTGCTCTGTGCACAGCGCCCTCCCCTTCCGGCTGCAGCTGCGGCGGGACGGAGCCAGGCTGGGCGAGGAGCGGCACTTTGTGTGAGTGGCTCCGGAGACCCTTACGCCCTGTGGGGATCGCGGGGGAGTGGGTGGCAGGAGGGGGACCTTAGTCTTGGTTGTATCATCCCCGTGGACAACCCAGCTCAGGGATCGCCAGGGTGGCCGGGGATGTGGAGGGTGGTTCAGGGACTCCCACCTCTGCTGGGTCATCAGCCCGTGGCAGGGCCTCCCCCGGGCTCATGCGGGACCCAGCTGCATGAGAGTCAGGGCAGGACGGACCCTCCCCATGCATGGGAGTCCAGGACACAGACGGGGCTTGACCAATGTCACACCGCGTACTGTGGAATGGGCACATCCTTGGCTGCTTACCTCTCGCTAAGGGGACTTGGGGCCTTCTCGGGGCAGGATTCAGGGGGCTGAGGCCCCCGAGGGCCAGACGAGGCTGGGGGCCCAGGCTGGGGCCAGCGTGATTGCGCGTCTTGCTGATCTTCGCTCACAGGGAGTCAGGAAACAGCAGCTGGGAGATCCCACGGGCCTCCAAGGCCGAGGAGGGGACGTACGAGTGCACAGCCGTGAGCAGGGCTGGGACCGGCCGAGCGAAGGCCCAGATCGTGGTCACAGGTCTGTGCCCGGGGCCCCTTGCAGCACCCCTCCCCACAGTCTTCCCTCCAGGACTTCCTCCCACCGAGTCTCCGTCTTCCGGGCAGCATCAGAGGGAGTTCGCCTGCACTGCCACCTGCCTGCATGCCTCTCTGGGAGTGGCCGTGGGTCCCAGCTGGGGGAAGCTTGAGAGCCCTGGCTTGGGCCGTGCCCACCCTGCCCAGCCTCAATCCCCTCTCTGACTTCTTGGCCTGCCCCCGGGGCTTGGCCACACCCCCAGGCCCTTTCAGGAGCCCCTGGCCATCTTGTAGTCTTGATCCCAGAACACCTGCGGGGCTCTGCCTGGGAAGGCTGAGGACACCCCAGACAGTCTCGGAATAAAACTGGCTTTACTATTTTTTTTTAAGGTTTATTTATTTGAAAGGCAGAGTTACAAAGAGAGAGAGGAAGGGAGGAAGAGAGATGAAGGGAGAGAGACAGAGGGATCTTCCAATTGCTGATTCACTTCCCAAATGGCAGTAGCAGGCCAGGTTGAAGCCAGGAGCTTGGAACTCCATCCGGGTCTCCCACAAGGGAGACAGGGGCCCAAGGACTCGGGCCATCTTCCGCTGCTTGTCCAGGCCATCAGTAGGGAGCCGGATTGGAAGTGGAGCCGCCGGGACGCGAACCGGCACCCACATGGGATGCCGCTGCGGCAGGTGGCGGCTTAGCTCGCTGCGCTGCAACATCAGCGCCTGTGTTGACAATTTGGCACCTAAGCTGTCTGGTTGGGAAGGAACCCAGGGAGCGTGCAGTCGCAGGAGAGCAGGCTCGCTGCTGACTGCAAGGCTGGGAAACTCCGGAAGCAAGCAGGAGCCCGGGGCCCCCACCTGCCGTTGGATTCACTTCCGCACAGCCCTTTTCCTAGGTCCTACAGAGTCACAGATGCTTGTCACAGCCTGGCTTGTCGTCATGTCACCACGCAGCCAGTCGGCGCGTGCTTCTGCGGCAGTCACTGGTGACATTTCGCTTCCGATAAACAACGAGGACACGGGAAGGAGACATTTGGCCATCTTTGCTTTTTCTCTTATTTGGTTAAGAGCTGAAACTGACTTCGAGTCATTCTGACATTTCATAGAAACGGCTAGATTTTGGGGGCCAGCGTGGCAGCCCAGCGAGTAAAGCCTCTGCCGCTGCCCCTGCAGTGCCGGCGTCCCGGTGTCCCGGCTGCTTCGCTTCTGATCCAGCTCCCTGCTAATGGCCTGGGAAAGCAACTGCTTGGGCCCCTGCTACCCATGTGGGAGACCCAGAGGAAGCTCCTGGCTCCTGACTTCAGCCTGGCCCAGAACAGCTGATGTGGCCATCTGGGGAGTGAATCAGTGGGTGGGAGACCTCTCTCTGTCTCCCCTTCTCTGTAAGTCTGCCTTTCAAATAAACAATTTCTTTTTGAAAAGGTAGATTTTCCTGTGTAATCCCAGTCCATTACCAGGAAAACCCTCCTTCTGCTTAGGTTTGCCCAGAGCAGATGTCCCGACTTGCCCCAGGATGGGCAAGTCTCTCATGATTCCGGGTGGCCGCAGAGCCCAGCACGCGTGTGCATGGACATCACCGTCCCTGGAGCGTGTTGCCTGCTGGCTCCAGGGCCTTGTCCCTGTGCGAGGTGACCTCTGAGATGGTCCCTTCTGTGTCCAGGCTGGCAGCGCTTCTCAGCTCTGCTCCGCCCCCCACCCCCCCGCCCTGGGGGCAGTGGCTCGGTCTTCAGAGCTGGGCTGTGAACAACAGCTGGGCTGTGGGAATGGGGAGTGGCTCTCCCTGCTGGCTGCTGCTTTGCAAGGCTTTCATTCCTCAGGGTGGGACGGGGGGGTTGGTGACGTGTTAGATGCTGCGGCCGCTGCAGGACGCACGCACAGGCACGCGGCCCGGGAGGGTGCAGGAAGAGTGGGGGGTGTCCCGCCCAGGTGGTGAGCAGATGGCTGCGGAGGGCTCTGCTGGCTGGTGCTGGGGCAAGGGTGGACCCTGAGAGCCTGGATACTCTCGGGCATCTGTGCCTCAGCCCTTGCGTCCCCCACCCCGTGCCTGTGTCCCACAGACCCCCCGCCACAGCTGGTCCCTGCCCCCAACGTGACCGTGTCCCCCGGGGAGACCGCCATCCTCTCCTGCCGCGTCCTCGGCGAGGCTCCCTACAACCTGACGTGGGTTCGCGACTGGCGAGTCCTGCCAGCCGCCACCGGCCGGGTCACCCAGCTGGCCGACCTGTCCCTGGAGGTCGGCGCTGTCATCCCCAGCGATAGCGGGCGGTACCAGTGCATGGCCAGCAACGCCAATGGGGTCTCACGGGCTTCCGTCTGGCTCCTGGTGAGAGGTGAGGCCCTTCCTGCCACAGCTGTGCCCCCCCAGAAGCCCACCCGTCCATCCCCCTGCTCCGACACAGTCTCTGGCAGGCAGCCACAGCACATTCGGTGCTTTCTGACCCCCTAGGGAAAGGGGCTTCTACAGCCTCCTAGCCAAAGCCAAGTGGTCCTCGTCGTTGGAAAGTTCTTCCTAGCATCTAGCCTAAGTTTCTACTGCTACAGGCCAAGCCAATTCCACGTGTCTTGTCCTTTTCTCATGCCATCTAGCTCCCCCTCCCCCTCCACGTTCCCGCTGCATATCTAGGGCACTGGGTGAGAGGTCGGAGCTCAGGGTTCAGCAGAGATTGGGCAGCCCTGCAGGGTGGGAGCACAGGAGGCAGAACGCTCACCCTCTCTTGTGCCAGTGACTCTGCCTGGGGCGTGTTGAGCAGGATTCCAAGGCCAGGTCTGGGCTCTGCAGGTTGGAGATCTACTAGTCATGCCTGTCGCAGGTGTGTGTGGTGGGGTGCCTGCCGTTTCCAGATGAGCTGGGTTCAAGCCTCGCAGGCCTGTTGTCCTGGGAACTTTCCCAAGTTTAGGGCTGATATTAGGGCAGACCTAGGGGCCTCAGGATCACCACAGGGAAAGCTGTCCCCGGCTCCAGCAGCTGCCCCCCGAGGCGCTCAGCCAGAGCAGAACCCTGGGAGCTCGATGCTTCCTGTCGGCAGGAGGTGGCTCCCATGTGGGGCGGCCACCTGGTCTACCCCAGGCCCCAGAGGATTCTGGTCTATCCCAGAATCCAAGGGGAGTCGGGCCCTTTGGGACCCTGCTTCCCTGTCCTGCCTGTCTGTGGCTGCAGGGAGGGGGAGAGGCCTGGGCTGGGTAGCGGATGGCACAGCCGCTCTGATGGGCTCGTCCCCACCTGTCCACTCTCCCTCTGGGCCACAGAGGCCCCGCAGGTCAGCATCCACACCAGGTCTCAGCACTTGCCCCAGGGCGTGGAGGTGAAGGTCAGCTGCTCAGCCTCGGGATACCCCACCCCCCACGTCTCCTGGAGCCGCGAGGGCCGCGCCCTGCAAGAGGACAGCAGGTAAGGGCCCCCCACACAGAGCTCTGGGGCTGGCACAGGCGGCCGAGGCTGGCTAGGCCTGGGCTTCTTGCCTGGGGTGGGGGGAGGGGGGCGGGGCACCCTTCTTCCTGTGGTCATTTGGGGGACAAGATTGCTTTGGAAATGCAGCAGTGGCCGTGGGGTCAGGGGCTCGGGCGCCAGGATCCAGCAGACCCTTCCGGGAACCTTGCTTCTCCCTTCAGGCTGCGTGGCCCTGGGCAAACACCCTTGCCTGTCAGCGTTTCGTGAACTAGAATTAAAGGCCCTGTAGGTAAAACGCCTGGGGCACAGCCCAGCCGCCGGCAAGCGCTCCGTGTGGGAGAGCGGTCGCTAGGGACACTGCTGCTGGTTAATTCGTCGGTAGTGATGAACGTTTTTGTGGCTGACTCAGAATCCAGGTGGACGCCCAGGGTACGCTGATCATTCGGGGCCTAGCCCCTGAGGATGCTGGGAATTATAGTTGCCAGGCCACGAACGAGGCTGGGACGGACGAGGAGACGGTCACCCTCTACTACACAGGTACCGGGCCCAGCGCACCTGCAGGAGGAGGGCCTCCCGCGTCCACTGAGCGTCTGGGCTGGGTCAGGCCGGGGGCACAGCAGTGCACACGTGGCCCCCTGGCCGGGGGGAGCTGGCCCAAAGCCAACAAGCAGGTGGCTGCGGATGGTGCTTTCCTGGGATGTCAGGGTGATGGGGGAGGGGCCGCCACACGCAGGGCCCAGCACGACCCTCGGCAGAGGTGACCCCTCTGCTGGTCCACGGCATTCCAGGCAGGGGTGGCGGGAGGGCAGTGTGGAGTGAGGGGTGCTGGCGCGGATGGCGTGAGGGGCTCCCCAAGGCTGTGGACTCCTCGCGCTGGGCCACGTGCAGGCTGGTCCCCAGCGGCCCCCCCTCCCTTGCAGACCCCCCGTCTGTGTCTGCTGTCAGCGCCGTGGTGCTTGTAGCCGTTGGGGAGGAGGCCGTGTTGGGGTGCAAGGCATCGGGGGTCCCCCCACCCCGGGTCATCTGGTATCGAGGTACGAAGGTGGGAGAGGGGCCTGAGGGGGGTCGGCTTTCCAGAAAACGAGTAGGGGTCTGGGGGGGCAGCACGGGTCCAGCAGGCCCAGCTTCTCCCCAGCCCGGTTCTGCAGTCGATGCTCGAGTTAGGAGCGGGATGGAGTCAGACCCAGATTCGAATCTTGGCTCTCCGGGGTGACCTTGGCGTGACTTGGAGTGTCTGAGCCTCAGTTTCCTTCACTGTCGAATGGGGCATTCCAAGATGGATTTGGTTGTGTGACGTGTTTAGAAGGAGCCAGACGCACCACACCTGGTGGTGGTGCTGAGGCCAGCGTGAATTCTGGAGAAGCAGGAATGGGGTAACCGCGGTTCGGAGGGCTGAGCGAGAGTGTGTGCAGTGTCTGCACGTGGCCCTGGGCGGAGCTGCTGCTCGCTTGTCAGGGCTGGGGGCCACTGCTTCGGCCCCCCTGGACGTGTGCAGGGCTCCCTCCCAAGGATCAGTCAGGACCACCGATGAGGCCCCTCCCACCGGTGGGCTCTGCTCTTTGCAGCACCTGTCGGGGGTCCCGGCCCTGCAGACAGGCAGGGCAGGCGCTGTCAGCCCGGGGCTGCAGCATTTTGCCTGTGGCCTGCCTAGTGTTTGTGACGCTGCCTGCTCTGGCCCTGGGCCCCCTCCTCCCAGCCCCTTTTGAAAGGGGGCTTGCAGCGGAGTGCCGCGCAGCCTGAGAAGGCCTGGCATCCGGACACGCTGCGGCGTGGGTGAGCCTCGAGGGCTTGCCAGGTGACAGGAGCCAGTCCCCTGAGGACAGATCCGCCAGGCGTCTGCCAGTTCACAGGGACAGAGAGTGGAGTGCGGGTGCCGGAGGCTGGGGGCGGGCCCGGAGCTGGATGGAGGTGACGGGCACACAGTGTGGAGGTCCCTAATGCCACTGCAGTTAGGACAAGATGAGATGTTTTATGGGATGTATATTTTCCTGCAACGTAAAATACAAAATTAAATTGAATATAGGAAGGAGCGGGCAAGGGTCAGGGGGTGTGTGAGGCCCCGGGGAGACGGACATGTGGGCTACGGCCACCTCAGCTCCCGTGTCTGGGTCTGACCCAGTGGGAGGCCCAGGCACGAGTTCCTGGGTGGTGAGCCTGACAAGCCGGGGGTTGGCTGGGCCTCCACTTTGGTCTACAAGGGGCTCAGGGAAGACCAGCCTCATGGGGTGCAAGAGCCTGGCATCTGGGAGGCTGGAATTACCGGCCTCTGTGGCGACCAGGGGATGCCAGCTGATGCTCTTTTTTTTTTTTTTTTTTTAAAGACTTGTTTATTTGAGAGGCAGAGTTATAGACAGAGAGAGAGAGGTCTTCCATCCACTGGTTCACTCCCCACATGGCCACAACGGCTGGAGCTGGGCTGATCTGGAGCCAGGAGCCAGGAGTTTCTTCTGGGTCTCCCACATGGGTGCAGGGGACCAAGCACTTGGGCCATCTTCTACTGCTTTCCCAGGCCATAGCAGAGAGCTGGATCGGAAGGGGAGCAGCTGGGACTAGAGCCGGTGCCCATACGGGATGCCAGAGCCCCAGGCCTAGCCCACAACCCCACAGAGCCGGCCCCGACTGACTCTCTTTCTTGTGTGGTCCAGGCGGCCTTGAGATGATTCTGGCTCCTGAGGGCTCCACGTCGGGGACGCTGCGGATCCCAGCGGCTCGCGAGAGGGATGCTGGGGTCTACACCTGTCGAGCCATCAACGAGCTGGGTGACGCCACCGCGGAAATCCAGCTGGAGGTCGGACGTGAGTGTGCCCCGCCCTGCGGCTCCTGCCCCTGGCTGCCATCGTGGCCTCGGGACAGGGTTGATGGAGAGAAGCTGGCGTGCGTGTCGCGGCTCCCTGCGTCGCACATCGCCCCACCCTCTGCGGCTGAAGCCGTGAGCGTTTGTTCTTTCCCATTCGGAGGGCCAGGCATCAGGCGTGGCTCAGCTGGACGGTTCTGGTGCAGGGCCTGCCACGTGGCCACCATCGGAGTCCCCTCCAGGCTCACTCAAGTGGCTGTGGCGTGAGGCTTCCATCCCTTGCCACGTGGGCTTTCCCCAGGGCAAGAGTGTGGGCGGGCAGGATGGAGAGAGAGGGTCCAGGGTGGAAGCCACTGTCTGTCCCCACACACTGTCCCTTCTGCCCATTCTGCTGGTCACAGACCAGCCCCAGGGCCCTGTGATTGGGAGGGGTCACACAAGCCAGAGAGTCCAGAAGGGAGGGGTCTCTGGGGGCTGCTTGGAGGCGGCATCCCACAGAGCCAGCGTGGTTCAGGCTGGGGCTGACAGCCGAGTTCGTCTCCACTCTGTCACTTTCCACCATTCTGCCCTGAGGGCCGGGTGTCGTTCCCTGAATGAGGCTTGGTGCAGGGTCTGGCCCCTCGACTGCTTGGCAAACAGAGAGGGGCGACTGTACTCGTTGTACATGGGGAGCGTGAGTCCTGTGTGTTCATGAGGTCTGAGTTCCAGGCCTGGCTCCCGGCACGGGACTGGCTGCAAAGCCACAGGCACAGCTCCTTGGCAGGCTGAGCCAGTGCAGGTTGGACTCCAAGGCTTTGCTGTGGCCACAGCGGGAGAGGCAGACGCTGGGGGCTCTGGGGAGGACGGAGAGCCGAGAGCGTGTGCGTCTAGGCTGGGTGGGCCAGGCTGGGCCGAGGCCGACAGTGGCTCAGGTAGCCAAGGGCTCCCCAAGGTGCCATCTTAGACTGGTGACCTTCCCGGCTTCGTGCCCTTAGCCTTCATCTGTTCATTTGTGCTATCATTCATTCCTCTAACAAGGGCCACCAGGTGCCCGTGTGCCAGGCCCTGTCACATGGAGCCATGGCTGGAGAGACGTGGGGACTCCCTGTAAGCTGAGAGCAGAAAAACCAGGCATCTGGAAGTGCATCCTCAGGGTGTGGGGACCCGAGGAAGGGGGCCAAGCTAACACCGGGAGCTGGGAAGGCTTCCTGGGCGAGGTGTTGTCCCAGCTGGAGCCAGAGCAGCCAGGCAGGCGTGGAGCTGGGGACAGTGTTCCAGGGAAAGGGAACAGCACGTGCAAGCTCCCGCCTCCCGGACACCATGGCCGGAGAAGTGAGGCAGGGAGCGAGTGACACCGGGCAGGAGAGGCGTGGAGGCCAAGGCAGCTGTCACCTGCTGCCGGTCACTTCCGGCCTGGGGTCCCTGAGAGGTTCTGGGAGAAGAGCTGTGTGTCCACACCTTCTGTGCTGTGTGGCCAGGCTCTCAGCTGGGCTGGGCCGGGGTGGAAAGTCATGGGCCCAGGAGCCTGAATGTGGCGGGAGTGGAGCCGAAAGCCACACTTCTGTGGCATCAGCCAGCTCTAAGCTGACACCTGTCGTCCTCAAAGCAATGCTGGGGGGTGGCAGCTGGCCTCGTCTCCTGCACAGGTGGGGAAACTGAGGCACGGGGAGATTCAGTGTCTTGCCTGAGACCATGCAGCTGGTGGGCGGCAGAGCTGGCACTGAGCCCTGGCCATGGTTGTGGTGCTGCCAGCATCCTTCTCTCTGGGCCCCGGGCTTCTGGTGGGCAGAAATGCTCCTGGGATGTGGTGCAAGTGAGAGGCGGAGGGGCCTGTGACGCAGTGGGCTCCGGTAAAGCCACTGCCGCAGGAGTCAGCCTGAAGGTCCCGGGAGAGTAGGGCACTGCTCCGGCGGGTGTGTGTGTGTGTGTGTGTGTGCTGCGGCCGTCATCCTGTGGGCCTCCTCTGGTCTCCAGCCAAGCTTTTCCTCTTCGGGGTCCAGGCTGATGTGCCCACCTCGCCCTGTTCCTTCCCTGTCTGCCGCTGGCCTTGGGGCTGTCTCTGCGCGTCAGAGGGAGGGTACGGCCGGCAGCCTGGAGGCAGAGCTGCGGAGGCACTGGCACCCTGTGGCCTTGGATCACGGACGGCGTGGAGGCCGGCCCAGCAGCTGTGGAGCTGGAGGGAGCCCGCTTGGCAGCGGCAGTGGGAAATGAAATTTTCTGCTCATCTGGGTGGCAGCTGCGCCTTGGCTCTCCTGGCCAAGCTGGCAGAGGCTGGGGATGGGTGGCACTGTGCCCACGTCCTGCTGTTGAGCTGGGAACAGGCTTCCTGCTGGTGTTCGGGGCACGAGAGGGGGGCGGCCTTCCCCTCCCGCCGCGGCTGTGCCTGCACTTGGGAGCAGCCCGAGGGCTCTTTGGTGTCCCCTGTGGGCGCAGGTGGGCTGAGAGGGGCGGCTGAGGCGGAGGGCTGGTCCCACAGCTGGTGATGTGGCTCTGCAGCGGGCACCCCCTGCCCGAATTCAGGGTCCTGATTACTTTGCTTGATTTCCTTTCCAAGGCTGCCCGCTGCCTGTCTGCCCTCTCACTCAGTCCTGGCTTCTCATTCGCTCCCAGCAGCGCTCAGTGCTGGATGGGTGAGCTGGGGAGTAGGGGCGGGCTCGTGTGGGCACTGCAGACCCTTGGCCAGCCTGGGGTGGGGGAGCAGAGAGAAGCGAGCCGGGGGGCAGGCATGGCCTGTCCCGCGTAGCTTCTCCATCACGCTCTGTGGGCAGAAGCCCTGCGATATATTTAGGAGCCCAGGATGACGTTCTGATGTTAATTTCCTTTAGAGTCAGGATGAAAAATGAGTAATAGTGATGAGAGGAAGATGACCAGCTGGAGCTGTAGGTGTCTTTGTACTGAGGCATTTAAAAATCTGTCTGAAATATTTCTTTATGGAGGAAAACGCTCGTGAGCGTCATCTGTGGGCCTGGCCAGCGGGGCCGGGGCTGCAGGCTGGTCGCAGCCTCTCCGTATGGGGACAGCATCGTGGAGTGCGGGCCCCCTGCTCAGGCACCACTGCCCCCTCAGGCTCTCAAGGCAGGGCCTGGGCCCGGGCCTCCGCCTGGTGCACTCTAGCCCTCTGCACAGCACCCCTCCCTCCTCCTGCTTAAACCGTGCAGGGGTCTCCCTGCCAGCCCCGCCCAGGGCCTGCAGGGGCTCCAGGCGGTCCCTGGAACTTTCAGGGGGAATAATAGAGCCCACTCTTTCCAGAGCGGGAAACTGAGGCTGAGTGAGGGCCTGGGGCCGTCAGCCCAGTGTCTGTTGCTCTGGGGGTCAGGAGGCGGCCGAGAAGTCACCACCTGTGCCATCATCCCTTCACTATGGCCAGAGCTTCCATGGGTTCCTTCCCCTGGAAAACCCCTGGGAGGGCAGTGTGGCCCCTGCCTGGGTCCTTGCTGACCCCACCCGCGCCATTCTGAAGAGCAAGGAGCTTGCAAGTGCCCCTCCCTGCACCCGAGCTGCAGCCTCCTTCGCACAGAGAAGTCGCCCACCCTCTTGCTTGCAACCCTTGTTCCTGCCGGTCGCTCTCGTGGGGCGGCCATCTTCCCTCTCTCTTCCCTCCCCCCCCTCCCCCTTGCACTGACTCAGTCCTGCCGGCTGCTGGCCCAGTCCCTGTACCCCAGGCTGCCTCACAGGAGGCACAAGGGAGCAGGTGCAGGGAGTGAGGCTGCCCCAGCAGGGACCTGAGGCTTTCAGGAGCCTGCACTTTGCTCCCTGCCCGTGGGAGCCGGGAGGGGACAGAGGCACAGTGACCTGGTCAGCTCGGGTGGCCAGGAACAGGCTCTCGTGGGCAGCAGTGCAACACAGAGATCTGTTTCTCACGGCTCCCACGGTGGATGTCGTGGCTCGGGGTGCCAGCATGGCTGGGCTCTGCCAGGGCTCTCTCGCGGTGGCCGCCCCCTTCCTGTGGCCTCCCCTGGGTGCATGTGAGTGGACGGGGGAGTAGCCAGCTGTCTGCGTCTCTGCACTAAGGGCACTAACCCCAGGTGGGGCTCCACCCCCATGACCTCATGCACACCTGATTCCTCCCAGAGGCCCCGCCTCCAGACCGCACTCCTCGGGGCCAGGGCTCCAGCCTGGGGATTTCCTGCGGTCACCGCTCAGCCCGGGGCTGAGCCCCCTCCTTGCCCCTCATGAGTCCTTGCTGCACACAGGCTCTGCCACCCTCAGCTGCAGAGGGGCCTCCCCGGGAGTGGCTCTGCCAACATCCACCTGTCCTGGCTCCTGCAGCTCCTGCCCCAACCTGTCAGAGGCCAAGGCACAGTGGGGGTTCCTGGGAAGTGAGGGCGCTGGGCGGCTGTGAGGAGGGGCTTGGCACCCCAGAGCAGAGATGAGCCCCTGAGAACAGCACCAGGTTGACATCCCGGTCCCCCTTCTCCCAACTTGGACTTGGGGCCTCAGCCTCCCCTCCACCCACTGAGGGGCCTGGGGTCCTGGTCGGCGAGACAGGCTTGGCAGCACAGCCCTGCTGATCCCAGTGCTCGGGGTGGGCCCCAGCTGGGTAGCCCAGGCTTGGGTCTGGCTGCTTTGGGAGTGACCCCTGCAGGAAGATGGAAGAGGCAGGCGCAGCTGTGGCTGGCACAGCACCCAGGGGTGAAGGGTGAAGGGTTGTGGGTCGGGAGTCTGGGCTTTGGTGTTGGTCAGCCCTGGGCTCCGATCGCAGCTCTGCCCTTGACTTTGAGCTGTGACCCTGGGCGGGACTCTCCATGTCTCTGACTCAGTTTCTTCTTGTGTAGAATGAGGGCTGTGGTAGTAACACCCACTTTGCGAGTTCATGGAAACACTGGGTGACATCGTGGTGCCCAGAGCACTCCTTTCGCTGCCTGTCACCCAGCAGGGGTGCCGAGCGCCATCCTCTGCACCTGTCACTCGCACTTCTCGGCCGTGCACGTCAGGCCTAGGAAGGGGATGGAGAGGAGAGGGGGCTTCAGAGGGCTCCAAGGTTGGGGCACAAAGCTGGGCTGGCTGGGGCGAAGGAGGGGAGGGGGTGGAGGCGCACTCAGGGCCCGAGCAAGCCTGAGACCCGCTCGGGGGAGGCGAGGCATGGAGGGGGCCCCAGTGTTGGCCTGTGCACAGCTGGGATGGCAGACTTTTGGGTACCTGGCCCTGGGCCTGAGCCCGGCTCCGCCTGGGGTGGTAGGGGGTGGCGGGGCTGTGCCGGAGCAAGGCCTGAGTGAAGGCTGGCTGCGAGCCTCGGCCTCGGTGGCTGCCGGGCCCGGGAACGGAGGGCGGCGTCTGAGGCTGGGTCCAAGACGTCTTCCTCCTCACAGTGATTTTCCAAGTTGTGTTTATTTCTCCTTGGAACTTCCCAAATCCCTGAGGCCAGGAGGGAATCTGATGTCATGGTTTGGACGGGAGAGGGAGGTTTCTGGAAAGGATGGAAAGAACAGAGAGGTGGAGGCTTGTCCGTGGTGCTGGGCGCCAACGGGTAGCAGGGGCCAGAGACCCCCCCGCCCCGCCCGGGGGGAGCGTAGGGGATGGGTCTGGAGACTCCGCTTTGGGAAGGGACTTGCTTCTGACTTCCTGATAATGAAGTGCAGACCAAGCGGAGAAGGAAAGGCGTGGACGCGACCCCGCAGGCCGTTAACAGCGCTTCCTTACCTCGGGGAAGGGCGGGTGTTGTGCGGATCAAGAATTGGGGGACTTTCCACCCTCCGTGGATTGTTGGAGCTTCCTACAGCCCCGGTGGCCAGGACAGCCCTTGTCCAGGCCTGCTGCCCGGGCTCAGTGTTTAGCACGGCCCCTTGTCACTCCTCAGTGTCCTGTGTATGCCATGAGGTGGCGTTTTATATGCTTCTTCCCGAGTCGGTGGCCCGTGATCCCCAGGGAGGCGGCTCTTTGTGGAGGCTACGACGCAGGTCAGGATGTCGGCATCTGGTTTCAGAGTGCTTGGGCTCCTGGCTCCAGCTCCCTGCTGATGCAGACCAAGTGACTGGGTTCCTGCCACCCACGTGGGGGCCTGGATTGGGTTTCCGGCTCCCAGCTTTGGCCCAGCCCTGACCTGGCTTTCGTGGGCACTTGGGAAGTAAACCAGCAGAGGGAGTGTACTCCCGTCTCTGTCTCTCTGTTTCTCAAATAAGTAAGTGAATACATAAAACTGAAAAATAGCAGAAACCCAGAAGGGGCCGTGGACTTGGCACCTGAGCCCAGCCGGCCTCTCTGGCCTGGTTCTCTGCACCCAGAGAGTGGCCCGGCCCAGGCCAGCGGGTTCGGCACTTCAGAGGCAAGTCTAGGACCCCTCCAAGGCGAAGCCCCCTGTGGCCCAGGGGGTGGGGGAGGGGAGGGAGGGGGGTCTGAGAGGCAGCGGGGGCTCCCCTCCAGCCTCCCAGTGAGCCACCACCCTGGCTGGCCATGGTCATGGTCAGACTCAGCAACGCACGCCTTCTTGAGGCCCAAGGGTGCCATGCAGCGGCTCAGAGGTGGACTTCCTGGGAGGGGTCACAGCCAGGAGCAGGCGTGTGGCTCCCCTGTGTGGCGGGGCTCCAGTGAGGGCCCTGAGACCCGATGTGGGGGTAGGAGGGGCAACGGTGGCCCCATCGCACTGCAGTCCATGCCTCCGCCTTGTCCCCAAGAGCTCTGTCCTGCAGCCTGCGCAGGAGTCAGCTGCCCGTTTGTAAGGGTGAAGCTGGAAGAGGGGGCTGCCAGGCATAGGGGGGGAGGGGCAGAAGGGCACAGGCGGCTGGGCTGGATGGGCGTGGCTGACCTGTGCCTCCCCGTAGATGCACCTCGGCTGACAGAGCTGCCCCGGAACGTCACTGTGGAGCTGGGCACCAGCGCTTTCCTGGCCTGCCGGGCCACCGGCCGCCCACCCCCGAAGGTCACCTGGCGCCGGGCAGACGGCCAGCCGCTGGGGCCCCGGCAGGGCAGCAGGACCCGGCAGCCCTCGGGCGTGCTGTTCCTGGAAAGTAAGAGATCAGGGTGGGCTGTGGGCGGTCCCGGTCCCCCAGCACTGACCGCAGGTCACTCAGAACCTGACTGTGACCGTGACAGTGATAAAACCTGCGCGTGGGTTGACTGTCAGGCCCGCTCTGTAGAGCTGTGTGGGTGACGGGAAGTGGCAATACCGCTGAGTGTCACGGAGGGGTCAGCGGCTCTCACGGTCACATGACGGCTGCTGCACCGCTTTTTAGCCCATGCTGTGCGCTTTCTTCACCTCCTGTCGAGCCCTTCCAATCACAGTACAAGGTTCCGGTGTGCTCTGTTATCCTGTTCTACAGATGGGCAAGTTGAGGCCTCTTCCCACCCTTTCCTCTCTGCCGTCCCAGCCCTCCTGTCTGATCCTCTGCAGGCCAGGCTGTGCTAAGGGCCTCCGGGCTCTGTGGAGCTGGGCCTGTGGGGCCGGAGGCCATGGCCCTGGAGGTCAGCCGCCTCTTTCCTGTCCTCAGGTGTAGGCCCTGAAGACCAGGCCCTGTACATCTGTGAAGCTCGAAATGTCTTCGGGAAGGTCCAGGCCGAAGCCCAGCTCACTGTCACAGGACACGGTTCGCTGGGGGCTTGGAGGGTCCTGGGGTTTGGGGAGGCAGATGCTCCCCGGGAACCCCCAGGGAGGCCCTTCACGGCCACCACATCCTCTGGGACAGAGGTGCCCATGGCCAGCGGTGTCCAGGGGCCCTTGGACCCTCTAGCACCCCCAATCTTGAGACACCTGTTCCCTGGGGAGGCAAGTGGGGCCTCTGTGCCCTGGGTGACCCACAGGGGCTGTGCTGTGGCCGATGCCGTCTCGTCTCCCTGCAGTAGCCCCGGAGATTGCCAGCAGTGCTTCCACGGTCCGCGTCCTGGAGGGGCAGCCCGTGTCCCTGTCTTGTATCATCCTGGCGGGGAGACCCCTCCCAGAGAGGCACTGGCTCAAGGACGGCCGGCCTGTGAGTGCTGGGCTCCTCCGGGCGGGGCGGGCGGGGGGCCTCGGGCATTGAGGGAGGGTGTCACGTGCACGTCCTGTTCACCTCTGCTTCGTGGCTCCCTTCTTTGGAATGGCCTCTCCTTCCTTCTCCTTCCTACCTTATTCCAGAAGTTTCTCTGGAATCCCTACAAGCTCCAGGCAGGGCTGCTGGCCCCCAGGGCGGCTCAGCAGGAGGATCCAGGGAGCAGAGACTCAGCGGTGGCCCTGACTCGATGCCTTCGTCACCACTGCTCTGAGGGGCAGAGCTGCGGCCTGTGCGGTGTCCTGTCTGCCCCGAGCACCCATGCACTGATGGACACACGCGCTGCTTTATCAGTTCACTCCGGCTGGATTTCCTGTTTCCTCTGTCCCTCCTGCTGGGTCTCTCCCCCCCCCCCCTCCCTGTCCTCAGTTCTCCTGTCCTGCCCTGGACACACCAGGGGTCCCAGTGCCTTCGAGGCTGTGAAGAGGGGCCCTCACCCCCTTACTTGTGAGTTAACTTTAAAAGTTGGATTTATTTGAAAGGCAGAGAGAGAGAGAGCGAGAAAGAGCGAGCGAGCGCTGTCCCATTTGGTTCACTCTCCAGATGCTTGCAACTGCTGGGCCAGGCCAGGCTGAAGCCTAGAGCCCAGAACTCACGCCAGGTCTCCCACGTGGGACGGGACCCACGTACGTGGGCTGTCACCTGCTGCCCCCAGAGGTGCGCCTTGGCAGGAAGCTGGATGCAGAGCTGGGCGTCCCAGGTGGCACCTTCCCTGCTGTGCCAGATGCCCACCCGCCCGTGTTTGTTTAAGCACCGACAGATGGGGGAGGAGGACACTTCAGGAGGCAGCGACCGCACGGCTGTGCTTTGTGTCCCTGCTGCCTGGCGTGGCCTCGTGTCCTGACCCAGGCGAGGGGCGCAGCCCCCTCACAAGTGCTCCCTGCAGTCAGACAAGCCCCTCGGCTGCCTCGCCTGCCCCACCCCCCACGGCCCATCTGAACTCTTTCCCTACAGTCCTGCCAGGCTGGACAACTCTCCACCCCCTGGGAAACCGCTGCTGTGCCGCGTCTCAGCTCACGCTGGTCCCGCCCTCAGGACGCTGTCCTTGTCCTGCCGCCTGTCTCTCTCTTCCTGTCCTCGATTAGAGCAGCAGTGAGTGGCGTAGGGCAGAGCCAGCTGCCACTTGTGGTGTTAGCACCTTCGTTCCTCAAACCTAACCTGGAAGAAGGAGCTATTATTCTTGCCCATTTGACAGACAGGGAAACCGAGGCTTAGTGAGATCAAGTCAGACGGTTGAGATCACTTAGCTAGTAAGTGGCCAAGCGGGGCTGGAACCCAGGTGCCGGACCCCACAGCCCAAGCCTTAAAACCGAAGCCGAGAGTCTCGGACGACTGCCCCTGGGCCCATCTGGCCGTGGCCGCGTATCAGGTTTTGGTGGAACCCAGCTGTGCTCACTCGGTTTGTCTGTGGCTGCTCTAGTGCCGCACCGCAGAGGGGGATGGTTGAGCTGTTTATCCTGGTCTCGGTGGACCTCTGGCTGACCCTGCTCTGAGCCCCAGGTTAAGTGTCAGCTCCTCCAAGGCCTCTGCTCATCCCCTGTGGGCCCCCAAGTTCCTTCTGTGCACCCCTCCTGGCTCTCAACCTGCGTGTTTCAGAACCGCCGGGGGAGTTTGCCGACACCTTGCTGCTCCCGCCTGGAGCGCATCGACTGGGCCAGCGCTCCTGGTGGAGCCCGCGTCACTGTCAGGGAAAGTCTGCCTGGTGCATCTTACAGACGGCCCCGGCGTTTCCCCACGCGCCACCAAGTTTGAGCACAGCCACGCTCGGCGCTCCTCTGTTAATGTTGCTTCTGGAGGCCAAGAGCACGACCCCCTCGTGGCTCCTCCCCAGATAGCCCCCTGCCGCACGCCTGCCCTGGGCCCCACTCCCTCGCCTGGGGCCCCTCGCTGGGCACAGGGCATGGCTGGGCCTTTCCAGGGGTTGCCCAGGCCTGGCTCTGGAGCTGCGCTCTCCTTCCCTAACTCTGGTCCTGCCGGGCGGCCCTGGGGCGCCACCTGGAGCTGCGCTCTGCATCTTGGCGTGGCCGTGCCCTGCTCAGCCCCTGGACGGGGCCTCCCTGCAGCCCTGAGCTCCAGCCCCTCCTCACTAAAGGCTAACATTCTCAGAGACCCCCAGGGGCCCAGCTTGTCTCCGAGTCCTGCCGTGGTCCAGTTGACAGAGTGGCAGTGGGGTTGAGATGTGCAGGGGTCCGCCTACCTCACCAGCTCGGGTCCGTGGGGGTGCATGAGTCTCAGAGAAGAGGTGGGGGCAGGGCGGCCGGGCTGTCACCCCCACTAAGGTCCTCCACTCCCAAAGTGCCGTCCGACAGCTCTGTCTCGGCTGCCCTGAGCCACTGCTTCCGCTCTCTCCCCAGCTCCCACCTGGCCGCCGGCCCTCTGTCCGGGCGGATGGCAGCCTCCACCTGGACCGTGTGCTGCAGGAGGACGCGGGCAGCTACAGCTGCGTGGTCACCAACACAGCTGGCTCTCGGCACCGGGATGTGATGCTGGTGGTCCAGGGTGAGCCCCGGGCCCCCGGTGGCAGGAGGGGGAGGGGCAGGGGCCAGGACAGGCTGGGGAGGGTGACCGGTCTTGAATACCCATGTTTAGAAAAACTGCCCAAAGAACACATACTTGCTGTAGGAAAATTAGGGATCTGACATGTTTAAAAAAACACAGCGCATTCCAGTAGCTAAGAATAACCAGATGTTACATTTTGCTGTGTATCTTTGCACATTCTGCACACGCACGTTCCCGACACAACCGTCCACAGCCGTCCTCGTCCCGTGGTGTCTGAGGGCAGGGCTTCCAGGACCCGCCGTGGATACCAGAGTCTCCCAGTGTGCAGGGCCCTAACATGGTGTCAGATCCAACTGCACACAGCCTCCCACTCCCTGACGGTCATCTCTGGGTGACTTAGGGTGCCTAATTCAACATCAGTGCTTTCTAAGTACTCAGACTGTAGTGGATAGGGAACAGTGACGAGACGAAAAGTCTGCATCTGTTAGCGGGGCTGCGATTTAAAAAATTATTTATATTTTAAAGATTCATTTATTTATTTGAAAGGCACAGTTGCAGAGAGATAGAGAGAGAGGCAGAGAGAGAGACAATCGTCCATCTGTTGGTTCACTCCCCAGATGGCCATAACATCCAGCACTGAGCCAGGGTGAAGCCAGGAGCTTCTTCCAGTCTCCCACACGGGTGCAGGGGCCCAAGGACTTGGACCATCTTCTACCGATTTCCCAGGCACATTAGCAGGGAGCTGGATCAGAAGTGGAGCAGCCGGGACCTAACTGGCATTCATATGAGATGCCAGTGTCACAGGTGGTGGCTTAACCCACTGCACCACAATGCTGGCCTGGCCGCCGGCTTCTGGCTTGTCCTCCCCACCATCCTGCTCCTAGTTGCCTGGCCCCTGCTCCTCTTCAAGACCACCCTTTGTAAGCTGGGGGCCCAGGTGGTGCCGAGGACGGGTGTGGCACCTGTTGCTAAGCCCACTTTGCCCAGCAGACACCAGTTTCTGCCGCTTGTCACCTGTACGTCCCTCCAGGGCTGAGCAGAGGGAGCTGGGGCTGGGTCAGCTTCTAGGCTGTTCCGGACAAGCCAGCCCCCAGCAGACGGCCAGGCTCACTCCCACGCCGGCCGCTCCGTCTGGGGGAGGAGTTGGTGATACTCGGGTGGCGATAGCCCTGGATGCCATGCCGTTTCAATTTTCCTTTGGACGGTTTTTAGGTGGTAGAACACGCATCCCATAAGCCTCGTCACTTTAGCCATTTGTACTTGCACTGCTCACCTCCCTGAGGTGGTTATGGGGTGGCTGTGGCTCTAGAACTTCCCACGGCTGACCTGGCAGCCGGCCCCCCAGCCCGGGAGCTCTGGAGTAAGTGGCTTACATCACTCAGCGTTCCCCGCGTGGCAGCGGCATTGCCTCCCCCCCGCCCCGGCACCCGGTTTTTCAGAGCAGTTCCACTGACAGAGCTGGCGGAGGCACAGAGCTCTCCCTGCCCCCTCATGCCTGCAGCCCCACCCACCCACCCACCTGTGCTCCTGCACTTGAGGCTGGGCCGGCTGTAGGGGGCAGCGACGTGCACCTGGCGCCACCCCTGCCCCGGTGTCCTGGGAGCTCCGCCCGTCCGTCCCTCGTGCTCCTGACTTCGGCCTTTCCCAGAATGCCGTGAGGCGGGAATGGGTTCCGCCGGCCTCTGAGGCAGAGCGGTGCCATGACCTGAGTGCATGTGGGCTACAGAAGGGGGGCTGCTGTGGGTGTTCCCGGCTGATGGAATCGGTTTGTTTGTCCAAGTGCCGCCCAGGATCCACCCCACGGCCACGCACCATGTCACCAACGAAGGGGTGCCGGCCTCCCTCCCCTGCCTGGCCTCTGGAGTCCCCACCCCCACCATCACCTGGACCAAGGTAGGCGGAGCCTGTTGCTGGGAGAGTCCCCGAGGGTGGGCCCTGTGCACCCTGGGGAGGGCTACGTCACCTGTGGCCCTGTCCTAGGAAACCAAGGCTCTGACCTCGAGGGGCACCCACTACAACGTGAGCAAGGACGGCACCCTGGTCATCGCCCAGCCGTCAGCCCGGGATGCCGGGGCCTACGTCTGCACAGCCACTAACGCTGTGGGCTTCTCCAGCCAGGAGATGCGGCTGTCTGTCAACAGTGAGTGACCGCGGGCCCTGCCCTGAGAGAGGGTTGCAGCTGGTGTGGGGGCAGAGTGGCTCCAACTCCGCCTTTGTAAGTCCCCGGGAACCAGGTCTGCCAGGAGGCCGGGCCCTGCCCACCTCCTCACACATTTCTGCAATGGCCCATCCTGCCACAGGGCCTTTGCACGGGCTGTCCCTTCTGTTTGGAAGCCCAGCTGGCTCCTGCCCCTGGCTGGACTGTCCTCTTTGTAGCATGGGTCACGACAGTGGTTAAGTCATTATTTGCACGGTGAAGGGTTCGATGCCGCTATGGCCTGCAGACCCTCACTGCTGTGAGGAGGCGGGGTGGGCCCATCTCCCAGCCATCAGGGCAGAGCAGGGCACCCTGTAACCGGGTGGGGGTTGATGAGTGAATGTCAGCCCGCCGGGTCCTCCCAGAGCCAAATTTTTCTATTGAAAAAAAAAAAAAAAGTTCAAAGGGGGTGGCATTTCTTCTCTGAACTAATGATGTGGGGGGACAAAGTGGGCTGGGGGGCTTTATGTGCCCCACTGGATGGCGGTGTCATTCTTGTCGCTCAGATGTGCCCTGGGTGCCTCCAGCATGGAGCACGGGGAGGGGGGGGGGGCGGGCAGAGGAAGGATGGGACAGAGTCCTCTCTGTCCTCAGGGGCTCCTCGGGCTTGAGAGGAAGACCCCAGGGGAATCTGCGTGGTGGGGGGGTGTCGAGAGGGGAGAGGACAGACTGGGAATGTCCTCAGGGAAGGTGGGGGAGGGGAGGGAAACCGCCAGCGCTCTCCAGCCACGCCCACATCCTGGGCCTCCCCAAGGTCCAGGTCACAGCACCAGCTCTGCTTCCTGGGGGAGCCGTCCAGCAGGCCCCGCTGCCCTCCCGGCCTTGCTCACGGGCCTGCTTGCTCCCCCCACCAGCCAAGCCCAGGGTCCATGGGAACGGGTCCCTCGACACCGACGCGCCTCTGAGGGTCGTGGTGAAGGCTGGAGAAGAGGTGACCCTGGACTGCGAGGCCCGGGGCTCCCCGCCCCCGCTGGTCACCTGGACAAAGGACTCCCACCCCGTGCTGCCCGGCGCTGACAGGTGAGCCCAATCCGTGGCCTCCAGATGGCCAGAGACCCAGCAGATGTGTGAGACTCTGTGGACGCCCCAGGGAGTGCCCACCACCTTCTGCACAGGAGGCTTCTCTATGGGGCCCCTGCGCCCATGCACATTAGCAGGGAGCTGGATCGGAAGCCGAGCAGCCGCTCAGATGTGGGCTGCCAGAGTCCCAGGCGGTGGCTTCACCTGCTGTGCCCCCGCCCCAGCCCCAGCCCTGAACTGCACAGGGACCCTGGGGATCACCAAGCAGGGTCTCCCGGCTAACGCGGAGCAAAGCCAGGGCTGAGACCTCACCCTGGACCTCGGCATATGCCGCCTCCCGGCCTGTGTGGGCGCCTACGTGTCTGGCATCTGGGGCCCTGGCTCCCTGCTTCTGCCTGGGACGCTGGGACCCTTCAGAACCAGGCTGTCCCCCTCCATCCTCCAAGGCATGAGGGGTGGGGGGAGCCTGGAAACTCCTGGGACCTTTGACCCTGGGGGGAGGAGCTGCGGCTCAGGCCAGTGACATCAGCCCTGGCGAGGTCTTTGAGATCTTCCAGAGACGGTCCCTGAGCAGCCTGCTCTGCACACTGTCCCCACCCGCTGCGTGTGTCTTTGCATCTCTGCACTTCTGTCTGATGAACTGTTCCTGACCTGGAGGCTGTGCACCACTAAATGTGGCCGGGGGCCAGGGGTCCTTCCCCGGGCTGTGTCTGCAGGGGCCCCAGCCCCTTGGCTCTGTGGGTGTCACCCCAGGAGGCCCTGTCCTAGCTGCTGAGTGGGGCTGGGGGTGGCCGAGTGCCTGCGCGCGTGCGGCTTGCTCCTGCAGTGGGAGCGGCGTTGTCACTCGCTGACTTCTCCTTGCCGTGCGGCGTTGATGGGTCAGCCGGGAGCTGTACAGTTGCAGGCGTTTTGCAGTCTGCCGTCGGTGGCCAGTTTGTTCTGTCCCGCCGCCGCTTCCTCCTCTTTGCTTCTTGCTGTTTGACTGTTTCTCGTAGATTTATGGGATGCTGGGAGTTTATGGGAGAGGGGAAAATGTGCTCGAGGGGTGACGCCCTGGGGTTCTTCGGCCCCGAGCTCGCCTCGGCTGCTCCCTGCTCGGGTGTGGACCTGGGTGGCCCCCGGCCGCCGTTGGCCGCCTTTCTCCATGGGTGAAGTGGACATTACTGAAATCCGCTTGGACAAGGACGGCTGGGGATGTCGTCAGGGCTGAAACGTCTCGCCTTTGATCTCATGTTCCCGCTGCTCTTCAGAAACGAGGGCAGCATTTGCGGCTTTTAAGAGATGCTCATCCTGCACATTTCTGCTGTTTCTCGCCCGCGTCCTGCACAGAGCAGCTGGCTGGGGCTGGAGTTCGCGCACTGGACAATTCGCGTATTTAAAGTGCATGCTTCTGCGGGCTCACCGCAGTCGCAGAGCTGGGCGGCCATCACCGCCGTCAACTTGAAAGCATCGTCACACCCCCCGCCCCCACAGCCCCCTGGGAAACTCCGGACCCACCGGCAGCCGCCCCCGTTCCCGCACCGTCCCTGCCCCAGCCCCTGGCAACCGGGAATCTGCTTTCTGTCTCTTAGGACTTAGCTCTTCTGGGGGTTTCTCATCAGTGGAGTTGTACATGGACCTTCACGGAGCCTGAGGTTGCGGGGTTCACCCGTGTTGTAACGTGGTGCAGAACTCGTTCCTCTTTGTGGCTGGGCGACTTTGCAGCATGTGGCCACACCCCCCATTGTCCATCCACTCCCCGGTGGATGGACCTCAGGTTGTTCCTGCCGTTGAAGACTGTGAACACCCTCACTGCTGATTGTATTCCTTCCTTCCTTTTTTTTTTTTTTTTAAATTTTTTAAGATTTATTTTATTTAATTGGAAGGCACAGTTACAGAGAGAGAGGGAGAGAGAGAGAGACCTTCCATCCGCCGCTGCATTCCCCAGTTGGCTGCAGGGGCCAGGGCTGGGCCAGACCAAAGTCAGGAGCTTCTCCTGGGTCTCCCACATGAGTGCAGGGGCCCAAGCACTTGGGCCACCTTCTGCTGCTTTCCCAGGCCATAGCAGAGAGCTGGATCAGAAGTGGAGCATCTGGGATTCTAACTGGCACCCATATGGGATGCTGGCACCGCAGGCAGGGGCTTTACCCACTGAGCCACTGTGCTGGCGCCCACGGATTATATTTTAACTACTCCTGTGGGCTCTGGGTCCTCAGAGCTCTTTGGGCCTCCCTGCCACCCAGAGATGCACCCACAGAACAAGGCTCCATCTCTCCCAGACCCCTGGGCTGCTCCCCTTGAGTGCCCCCTCAACTTGGCCTGAAAATGAGGACTTGTGAGGCTCCATGGGGCAGGCGTTTGACCCTGATGGTAAGACGCCTGCGCCTCCTACTGCAGCATCTGTGGCTGCTGATTCCAGCTTCTTGCTGATACACATACCAGGAGACAGCAGTGACTGGGCCCCTGCCACTCGTGTGGGAGACCCGGATGGAGTTAGCTGCAGGTTCCCGGCTCCCACCGGCCCCCACTGGCCCCCACCGGCCCAGCCCTGGTCACTGTAGGCATTTGCGGTATGCAGCAGATGAGGCATCTCTTTTCCTCTTTCCCTACCTCGCAGACAACAACCTCCGTGGAAAATGCACAGCGCGTGGTGGGGGGACAGGTGCTGGCTGTCTGCTGCCCCTGCCTCCTCTCCCCCCTTCCCTTCCCTTCCCTTCCTCTTCCTCCTCTTCCTTCTCCAAGGGTGCCCCAAGGTTTGGCATCCGAGCCGCCATTGTGGAAGCTGGAAACTCACTTCCGCGAACCCTAGTTGCCCTCTGCCTCCCCTCCCCTCTCCTTGCTCCTCGTCCTCTCCTCCTCTTCCTCCTGTGTGCCCTCATGCTCCTCCCACCTTTGTGAGCTCTGCCGTGCCCCTCCCTCTGTCCCTGGTTTTGTCCCTCCACCCTGCGTGACCCCAGCCGGGTGCTCAGCCGGGCAGCTGGGGTCCTGCACAGCTCCAGAACCCGGGGCTGCAGGTAGCCTGCGGCATAGTCAGGGCTGAGAGCAAAGTCCTCCGAGGACTCCTCTATCTGTGTTTGGCCAGGGGTGGCCTCTTTCTCAGCCTAGAAGTGGGTGGTCTGAGTGGTACCAGGCCTAGGACATGGAGGAGCAAACAGAACATGGGTGTGACGGAACCAAACCCTGACTTTCTGACTGCCAGAGCGGGGCCCTGGTCAAACACAAGCATGATCACATGTGGACACGCCAGGCATGGACACACGGACATGCACAGACATGGACACCCTCAGACACATGCAGATACACGCAAACACAAGCACACAGATATACCAGGCCTGCATAGACATGGACACAATCAGACACATGCAGATACACACAGACATGACAGACATGAGCACACGCAGACACACCAGGCATGGACAGACTTGGACACACTCAGACACATGCAGATACATGCAGACTGAGCACACGCAGACACACCAGGTGTGGACACACATGCACAGACTCATGCACACGCAGACACACCAGGCGTGCACACACAGACATGCACACACATGCACACACAGACACACCAGGCGTGCACACATAGTCATGCACACACATGCACACGCAGACACACCAGGCTGCACACACAGTCATGCACACACATGCACACACAGACACACCAGGCGTGCACACACAGACATGCACACACATGCACACACAGACACACCAGGCGTGCACACACAGACATGCACACACATGCACACACAGACACACCAGGCGTGCACACACAGTCATGCACACACATGCACACACAGACACACCAGGCGTGCACACACAGACATGCACACACATGCACACACAGACACACCAGGCGTGCACACACAGACATGCACACACATGCACACACAGACACACCAGGCGTGCACACACAGACATGCACACACCTGGTGTCTGGGCGGGGTCAGCTGGGTCATGTCACTGCCCTGCCTGGAGGACACACTGAGCTGAGCTCTCTGGGTGTCTCCTGCCCTTGAGTGAGCAAGTCCTAAGTGAGGGGAACACAGCGGGGGTCTGAGAAGCGTTGAGTGCTGCCCCGGCCCGCCCACGGCGGCGTGCCCAGTCCCTCTCGCTGCCGCGCCATGCACGTGCTGTCACAGAGTGACGTGGCGCCTCTTCTGCTCTGCCCTCAGTGATTCTCCCGCGCCTTCTCCCTGGCCCACGCCACTTGCTTCGCTTTCAAGAGCAAAGCGACGTCCGGATGGACTCTCCTTGCGGCTGAGCTGTCGTGGGTGGGGGAGGGGCAGCAGTCCGCAGCGGGGCAGCTGAGGGTCCTTGAACAGACACTGCCCTTCTCTCTGGGATCATTTCCATGGCGCTGAACCCTGCAAGTGGACGGCCGAGGGCAAGGGCGGGATGTGCTCCTTATCTCCTGGGCTGCTCTTGATGGAGAGGGCGCCGTGAGTCCAGCATTGTGTCGACAGCAGCAGTGGCGGAGCAACACCGCGTGCCCGGGACTGTGCCAAGGCCGAACCAGGGAACGCAGACCGGGGTCTCCCCCTGGCAGCATCCCGGCTGGCTCGGTGACCATGAACAAGACCCTGCCCTCCCCAGGCCTCAGTCTTCCCATCTGAGCGATGAAAGGGTTGGGCAGGTGCTGATAGCCAGACAGCATCCCTTGGCTCTGGTCCTGGGACTCGGCCCCGGGATGCTGGGGCGAGGCACGGTTTCCAGGCAACGGTGTTTGTTTGTGATTCTGTTGTGGAGCTGAGACAGCTGTGAGCCGCCCTGGCTCGCGCTGTGGCTCCCGGAGGCAGCAGGCCAGGGTCCCATGCGGGCCAAGACCCAAGTCCCGAAGAGGCGGGGGCAGCGAGAGGATGGAGTGCCTGCGTCTGCTTCCCCCAGGTTTTCTCAGTGCCCTACTCCCACCCACCCTGCAAGGGGGCGGCTGGCCCGGTCACCAGGAGCCCAGGCGTGCGGTCTCCACCTGTCTCCAGCAGGTTGCCCGCTGGAGGTTCAGTGGGAGGCCAGTGTCTGTCTTTCTGGAGAACATTCCAGCTAAGGAGACCCCAGAGTGGAACATCTAGGTCACCGTGGTTGGGGGCATCGTTGCAGATTGTGAGGGTCGGGACCCCTGAGCGGCTGGGTGGCCGTGGTCCCAGGAGCTGGGTCTCTCTCACCCATCTTCTGTTATGCAAAGGCAGTGAGGTAATGAGAAGGCCTTAGAGTCTGGCTGCTGGACGTGTGTGAGGGAATATGTCTGGCAGGTGCTTAGCTGTGTGGTGTACCCGGGAGTAGCTGAGACCGCGGGGTGTACCCGGGAGTAGCTGAGAGCCGTGTGGTGTACCCGGGAGTAACTGACAACCATGCGGTATACCTGGGAGAAGGTGTACCCGGGAGTAGCTGAGAGCCGTGTGGTGTACCCGGGAGTAGCTGGGAGCCGCGCAGTGTACCCGGGAGTAGCTGAGACCGCGCGGTGTACCCAGGAGTAGCTGAGACCGCGCGGTGTACCCGGGAGTAGCTGAGAGCCATGCGGTGTACCCGGGAGGCACTCGCAGGAGGCACTGGATAGCTGAGAGCTGTTCTGGCACGGGCGCCGTGCCTGTTGGCGATGCCGCACTGGTGGGTTCGTCATATCCAGGCTCATGGCGTGCCTCCCCCCTCCCCCCCAGCTCCCAACACATCACGCTGACCTCAGAGAATATCGGGCTCTTTTTCCTCAATTTTCCCAGCATGGCTTTGCCATCTGAGGTTTTCTGACCAGGGTCTGTGGCGCCAGTGCAGGCATGGTGTGCAGGTGAGGGTCGCGGTGACCCTCCAGGCTAGCCTGCCTCCCCCTCCCCACTGCCACTGTGGACACGGGTCCTGGCGCATGCCTAGTGTGCAGCAGGCTCCTGCTGAGGGCTGCCTGGCTGTGTGGGCACCCATGGGAAGTGCAGTCACTCAACAGCCAGGGACCCCAGTTCCGGAAGGCCCTCTGTTGCAGGGGAGCAGGAGGGACTGAGGCAGACGGACAGCCCAGACTCTGGGGAACCTGAGGATGGGCGTACTCCTGCCCAACTCCCGCCCAGGGCAGCCCTGTTTAACGATGCATGTGAATATGAATGACTGCACGAATGAATGGCTGCACTGGGCCCAGGGCCGCTCAGCAGGGGGAGTTCCAGCTTCCTGGGGTCATCAGGGAGGGCTTCCTGGAGGAGCTGCAGCCTGTGTTGCCTTGAACATGGGTCCAGGGAAAGCTGGACAGCACTGAGATGGGGGAGGTGGGGAGTGGGGAGCGGAACAGTGAGTGAGGGTTGGGAGGGGGTGGAAGTGTGCAGGCAGGGGACAGCTGGAATCCACCATCCCGTGGTCACAGAGCACCTAGGAGGGGCCAGGCCTGTGCCAAGGGCTGGGACACTCCGGGGACCTGGGCACACCTGACTTCTCCTCTGGAGCCAATAGACAGCGACAGGTGGTGACGGTGTCAGGAGCAGGGCCCAGCGGTGGCTGCAGAGGGGAGCCCAGCGGGCTGCGCTCAGGTGTGTCCTGGGGACCGTGTGTGACTGTGGCCAGGCTCTGCACTGCTCGAGCCCTGGCGGATGCCCCTGGTCTCTGGGGACAGGTCTGGAGCTCACGGGCAGGGTGGGGGGCCCCTCCTGGATCCCGCCCCCGCCTCTGACATCTGCTCGTGCCTCGCCCCCACAGTGTGGCCCGAGCCAGCTGGGTGTCATAAACAGGAAATTCCCCAGCACCTCGTCGCGTCCTCATCTGGGCGCCGCATGGAGCCATCTGGCTGCACCCGTGAGCAGGCGCTCCTGCTAATGACACCGCCACCGTGTCCTCCGCATTTCCTCCCGCCCCTCCCCTGCCCCTGAGCCTCCAGCTGAGCCTCTGGGACAGCGGATGGACAAACAGTGGCCTGGCGCAGCCGCGTGGGCTTCGGGGGAGGCAGAAGTGGGGGCCGGGGCTGGTTCCCGCGGGTCCCCGCAGGCTGTGCTGGGGTTCTGTCCAGGGAGCAGCAGTTGGTCACAGCATGGTTTAAAGCAGGCAGGGGTGTGACCGGGCCGGCGTTTCATGCAGCACAGCTCTGCTGGAGGCACAAGGAACTTCTTTTGGGCTCCGCAGGCCTCAGCCTGTCCATCTATAAAATGGGTTCTGTCCTCGAGGAGGACGAGGTGCCCGCTTCTACTGCTGGGAGCACTTGGCACCCCCACTTTGAGGGTGTCCTTTGTTGCTTATCTGTGTGTGTGTTAGTAGCTCCCACTTCCTGTCATTTCAAGGGGTTGGAAAGGGAGAGAGCAAGGGGTTCTGTGGTCCCTGAAGTCACCAGAAGAATTTCGAGGCCACCCTGAGGTGCCGGAGTTGGGATTTGGGCTCAGAGATGTCGACGCCCCTGCCTGAGGCTGCACAGCCCGTTCGGATCCAGAACGGCAGTTCCCAGCCCTCGTGGTCCCGGCTCGCGGTGGGGGGCTGGGGGCTGCTGTGCAGTCTGGGTGGGACCTGCGCCGGCCTCACACCCGCTCCTGAGCACTGGAGCCTCCCGGCGGCGGCGGCGGCAACGTGCCAGCATTGCCGCCTCATCGTCCACGCCTTACCCATCGTGCGCCCTGCCTGGTCCGGCCCGTTGGAGACTGGGCCAGGGCCAGGTCGGACGAGGTCCCCTTGGAAGGGCAGCCCCAGTGCAGGGGAGGCACACGCAGCGTGGGAAGGAGGGGGGAGGAGCCAGGTGCTGGAATGTCCACCCAGAAGCCGTGAGGGAGTTCCGTGCCGTGACGAGGGGGGACTTGGTGACACGTGGACACTGCGCGTGTCTGTGAGGTAGTGAAGAAGCGAGCAGCCCCGCGTGGCGTTCACGGGTGCAGAAGCAGCCGGCCCTGCGGGTGCCTCTCTGCTCCAGGTCTGTGCTGTGCGGGAGGTCACGCTGTCCTGACACATTCTGGGAAGGTTGAGTGACCCCGACCTCACATGGCAGGCACGTGGCCGTGCAGGTCGCCCCCTCAGCCACACACCGGGCCAGCACCCAAGGGGGCTGTTGGGGGGGCAGTGATTGTGCCACTCTGTGGACGGGGAGGGTTTCTGTGGTACAGACCTGGTGGAGGCCTGTGCCCAGCGCTTGGCTGGCAGCTGCCCAGGGTGGGTGGGGCAGGGACTGCGAGGGTCTCCGAGGGTCCTCTGGGTGACTCTGTGAGCTCCATTTCGTGGAGGACACTGAGACAGAGCAGAAAGGGGGCGGGGGCCAAGTCCAGAGCCCCCAGGGCTGTTGGCTTCTAGAACCCAGCTGGCGACCCCCACTGAGGGCAAGGCTGGGGACCGGCCCTTGGGGTCCCCCACCCCGGCACTGGCCACGTGCTCTCGGGGCCAGCTGGGGCCAGTGGCCGCAGCTGCCCTCCCTGTTTTACGGGGGCAGGGGATTCCACAGCCAGCACATGTGGCTGGTGACATCATGTCTGCAGGGGCCCTGGGGGCCAGCCCAGCTGCAGGAGCCTGGCTGGGGGTCCAGGACCTTGTGGGAGGAGTCAGGTGACTTCAGAAAGGTGGGTGGATTTGGAAGGCGAGGACGGGAGTCTCAGCTTCCCCCGAGGGTCCTCAGTACAGCTCTGGAGGAAGGGCCCCCCAAAGGACTGGGTGCAGTCGGGGGGCCTGGCACTTAGATGTGGGGGGCTTGGGATCAGAGGTTCCTCTCGCAAAGCTGAGGAGAGGCCTCCCAAAGGGGCCTCATCTTTGGGGGGGCAGGTGTGTGGTGTGGGAGGGAGCAAGCACTGGGTGTGACGGGGCCAGGACCCGGGCAGAGCCAGCCTCTGACGTCAGCCCTTTGAGTCCCATTTTACAGATGAGGTATGTAGACTCCAGGAGGTGCAGCAGCTGCCCCAAGTCACACGGCTGGGAAGGGTTCAGACTCTGGACTCCTATAGGGTTGGGGCTTGGCCCAGGCCAGGTGGTTTGGGACACGGAGATAGTTCAGGGGTGGAGTCAAAGTGGGCAGTCCCAGCAGGCTTCCTGGGGGAGGCGGTTGCTGCAGGTGGGGTCCTGAAGTCTTTCTGTTGGGTGGGGTGGGTTGGGGTCTCACTGGTGGCCGTCCTTCTCGCAGGCATGGCCTCCTCCCCTCGGGCTCCCTGCGTCTGGCCCAGGCCCAGGCAGGTGACAGTGGCCACTACGAGTGCACGGCAAGTAACCCGGCAGGGTCTGCCTCCCGGCGCTACATCCTCAGGGTGCAAGGTAGGGCTGGCTGGTGGGCTCGGGGTCTTCCTGGGTCCCTGCTCCCTGCCCCCCCCGCCTCTGTGCCAGGCCTCAGACCCCTTCCCTCCCCACACCCAGCTTCCCTCAGGTCCCGCCCCCTTCCTCACGCCTCCTGCTTCCTGTCCACCGCTGGCTCCACCTCTCCCATAGCCCTCAGCCAGGGGCAGGAGACGCTGAGCAGAGGCCCAGTGGGGACCTAGTGTGGGGTGCACCTGTGGGTGGGGAACCCATGGATGTGGATCTCAGGGATGCCCTGTCCAGTTCCCGGCCCCGCCCAGCTGTGCAGGAACCCGGGCATATGGCAGTGTCCACTGGACACTGGGCTCCCCGCAGCCCCTGGGGCACAGCCTTCCCCTGGGCCGGGGTCCTGAACACCCCGTTCTGGTTGTGGCCCCTGGCCTGATGGGGTCCCGGGAGTGGCCGTTCTCTGTGGTGCCCGGTCCCGTTCAGAGGAAGCCAGCTGGTGCAAGCCAGGGGCCTTGTCTCAGATAGCCAAGGAGGCGGTCAGGACGGGAAGGCCTGTGCGAGCCGCCCCTTGTGCACGGGGGCTGTAGGCAAAGAGCGGCTTCTGCATATTGAAACCACTGGCCCGGTGACCAGATCGTCTTCATGACATTGGTCAGTTATCTGGAATCTCAGCGTCCATTCACATGGGTCTTCCTGGACGTAGCTATCCACGTCCGTCTACGCATCGTCCGGGATGGCCTTGACTCTGTATGAGCTGAGCCATGTGGCCGAGACAGACCCTCTGGCCTGCAAACCTGGACCTGCTGGCGTTCCATTTCACAGATGGGCAGGCTGAGGTCCAGGGAGTGAAGGGCTGGAAGGTTTGCTGCAGGCTTGGGTGGGGGCATCAGCAGGAGGCAGGGGGACGAGCAGGGCCCTGCAGCGGGCAGAGCTGGGCTGTGTGGCCTTAGGTCACTTGCTTGGCCTCTCTGAGCCTTGGTTGTAAGGTGGAGCCATGATAGTGCCCATCCTGTCGTGGTCAGAGGGGTCGGTGAGCCCAGCAGGTGCGCGCGAGGGAAGGGCAGGCAGCTGAGCCTGCTCCCGGAGCTCCTGGGCGGCGAGGCCCCGGCGCAGGGGCCAGCCTTGACCCAGCGTCAGCGTATCTCCAGATACGACCTCGAGATGGTCACACCTCCAGGCTCCTCAGAAGCAGGGACAGGCTGGGTGTGCCTCAGCTTCCCCCGAGGGCCTAGGACACTTGTCCCAGATCCCCGGGAAGTCCCGGAGCAGGGTGGCCCCCGGGTCCTGTAAACTCCCATGAGTGCCCTGGGGCTGAGCTGCGGGGACCAGGGTGGTGGTGGCTGCAGCTCCTGTCAGCCGAGGGGCAGGAGTGACCCCGGCCAAGTCCAGTAACATTCCCAAACCTCAGTTTCCCCGTCGTATGACGGGCATGGCCTTGGCCAGCCTGCAGGAAGGGCCTCTGAGATGCGAGAGGAGAAAATGCATGGAGACCCGACTGTGAGGGGGTGGGGCCCACTGTCCTTGTCACAGCCAGGGGAGGGAGGGGGAGGGAGCAAGGGTGCCTGTGCCAGCCTGGCAGCCATGGTCAGCGGCCCCGCGGCGGGCACGCTGTGGCCAGCCCTAGGTCAGCAGTGTTAATGCTGCTCCCATTCCCTCCTCGTGTGGCTTGGTGACAAGGGGGCCCTGTGGCTGTGAGGATGTCAGTCCCTGCACCCCCTGGGCCTCAGTTTCCCCATATGGAGCATCCAAGGGGTGCTTCTCAAATGGTGGGTGGGGGTGGGGTCAGCAAGCTACACGCAGGGAGCAGGTGTTGGGATGGAAGGCCAGGGGTTCTCATGGTGGGGGGCAGTCCACGTGGGGTGTCCTAAAATCTTATCCTGCATGCCAACAAGAGTTTCCAGCCTTACATTGACCCTGGGATGACTTTATGGGTCTGTGACTCAGAGGTGTGGTGGGGATCTAGGCGCCGTGACCTCTCACCTGGGCCTCCCGACCTTGACCCCCTCCCCGGGACGCTGTCAGTGCCCCCTCAGGTGCAGCCGGGCCCTCGGGTCCTGAAGGTGCTGGCAGGAGAAGCCCTGGACCTGAACTGTGTGGCCGAGGGCCAGCCGGAGCCCCAGCTGAGCTGGTCCAAGGACGGAGCGGCCCTGCGGGGCAGGGGGCCCGAGGGCTCTATCCAGTTCACTGCTGTGGAGACCTCAGACGCCGGGCGGTACCGCTGTGAGGCCTCCAACAGCGCTGGGGTGGACGCGTGGGAGCTGGAGCTCAGGGTGCTGGGTGAGTGTCCCCGAGCGGCACGGCCTTCGGAGGGGCTGGGCTCTGTGCCAGGCTCGGCCACGCCCGGCCCTTGTTCTCTGGGACTTTCGGGGCCCTGCCTGCGTCGGGAGCTTTGGTGAGCCCTCTGCTGGTGAGCAGGTCCCCAGACACTCCCCCCACGCTCCTGCCAGGGCTGTGACCTGTGGTCCCTGAGCACCTGCGTGGACAGAGGCTCTGGGGTGGGGTTGGGGGCGGAGCAGGCAGCAGGGGCTTGGGCCAGGGTCAGCGTTCCCACTCCCAGCTGCACTTCGTCCGCGCTCTCGGACTCTCAGACTTTTCACCTGCAGAAGGGAGGCAGAGCGAGAGAGTGGCACGTGGGAAGCTCTGGGTCATGGGCGCTTTCATCACTGGGAATTTAGAACACGCTGGGGCAGCTGCTGCTGGGAGGAGACGGGAGGACAGGAGCCGGCTCAGCGCCTGTGTCTGAGGGCACGGAGCCTCCTGGGCCAGTGGGCGGGGCTGCAGTGGCTGCTGCGTGGGGCTACCCTGCAGGAGGTGGGCGTGCGCTCCCTGGGAGGCCGAGGGCCGGGAAATTCTAGCAGGGGATGTCCTGGCCCTGGGTGACCAGACTCGGCCTCGGGGTGAGTGTGGCTGTGTTGCCTCCCGCCAGAGCCGCCATACTGGGGGGCAGAGGAGACGCGTGACCTGCTGGAGCGAGTGGCGGGGGAGAACGCCAGCCTGCCGTGCCCGGCCAGAGGTGAGGCTGGGCCCGCGGGTCGGGGAGGAGGCCCCTGCCCTGTGGGATGGGCAGAAGCCTTGGCTCTCTTGTTAGGGGTGGTGCAGGCCTGGCGGGGGGTGCTCTGGGTTGACCCCAGCCCTGGCTGCCCATCAGGCCCGAAGCCCCTCAGCAGGTGGGGGCGTGACTGCTGGGCCGGAGTGGCCCCGGGTCCTTGGGTCGGGGCCCCAGACTTCCTCGCGGAGTGCGGATGCGTGGGGTCCTGGGCACAGCAGCTGTCCTAGGCCCCCTGTGGTCCGCGGTGCAGCGTGGAGCCCAGCTCAGCCCTTCCTGGCCGCGTGATACTGGCAGCTCACTCCCCTTTCCCGGGTTTCAGTCTCCTGCTCTTACCCGTGGACTCACAGAGTGCTGGGCCCCAGCAGCTGCCTGGCGCCTGGAGGGGCTCAGGGGCTGTGGTGGGCTCAGGTGATTCCCCCTCTCCGAGGACCTCACCGCGCCCCCAGCCCACCCCACCTGATGCTTCTCTCGGCGCTGGGCTCTTCTGTGACTGCTGCTGCTGCCCAGAGTGGCCGGGGGTCTCTGAAGGGTGGTCTCTGGTGCAGGGGAGCATGGGGCCGGTTCCCTAAGCAGCAGCCCAGAGAGCCTCCTCTGTCTCAGCTTCTCCTCCTCAGGTGTAGGTGCCGGGGAAGTCCCTGGACAGGACCGGGGAGAGGTGGGGGGGGGGCAGGGAGTGGGGAGCGGCACCTGTGGGCTCACCCTCACTCAGCTACTCCTCCTCAGGCCCGGGTGCCGGGGAAGTCCCTGGACAGGACCAGGGAGAGGTTGGGGAGGGCAGGGAGTGGGGAGCGGCACCTGTGGGCTCACCCTCACGGAGGTGCCCACCTGGAGGGCCTCTGAGGTCCCGGGCCTGGGCCGTGGTGCCGTCTTGTGTGCATCTGTGGTACCAGTGAGAGGCTGGTCTGCACTGGGGGTGGGGGTGGGGAAGCGACCCACCCGACCCCAGCTCCTGCCCTCTGGTGCCCCATCCCTGGCAAGTCTTGTCCTTGGGCCGGACTTCACCTGCCTGGCTCCCAGCCCTGAGGGAGGAAGGGACTGGCACCTGGCCCAGCGCCCGGCACCTGCAGCCGTACCCTTCACCTCCTTGTGAGGGGTGGGACGGGAAGGCCCGGAGCCCAGACCCCCACTTCCTGGTGGTTTGGGACCTCCCTTCCCTGCCTCTGCGAATTGGGAGGTGTGGGGGGCAAAGTGAGTGATTTGCAGGGACAGCCCCGGCCTCAGCCGCCAGACTCTTCCCTCCTCGGCTTCAGGGCAGCCCTGCCGTAAGGGCTCCTTGCTGGGTTAAAGTTTGTGCATTAAAAACATTTAAATAGATAGTTTTAAATACAAATAAAGACAACCCAGGGGTGGGGGGGCAGGGGCAGGGGTCAGAGGGTAGTGAGGGAGCTAGGAGGGGTGTGTGTGTGAGTGTGCTGTGTGTGTGCTGTGGTGTGTGTGGTGTGGTGTGTGAGGTGTGTGTGTGTGTATGTGTGAGTGTACTGTGGTGTGTGTGTGTGAGTGTGCTGTGGTGTGTGAGGTGTGTGTGTATGTGTGAGTGTGCTGTGGGATGTGTGTGTGTATGTGTGAGTGTGCTGTGGGATGTGTGTGTGAGGTGTGTATGTGTGAGTGTGCTGTGGGGTGTGTGTGTGCTGTGGTGTGGTGTGTGAGGTGTGTGTGTGTATGTGTGAGGTGTGTGTGTATGTGTGAGTGTGCTGTGGTGTGTGCGTGTGAGGTGTGTGTGTGAGTGCTGTGCTGTGGTGTGTGTGTGTGAGGTGTGTGTGTGAGTGCTGTGCTGTGGTGTGGTGTGTGAGGTGTGTGTGTATGTGTGAGTGTGCTGTGGGATGTGTGTGTGAGTGTGCTGTGGGATGTGTGTGTGAGGTGTGTGTGTATGTGTGAGTGTGCTGTGTGTGAGGTGTATGTGTGAGTGTGCTGTGGTGTAGTGTGTGAGGTGTCTGTGTGAGGTGTGTGTGTGAGTGTGCTGTGCTGTGGTGTGTGAGGGGTGTGTGTATGTGTGAGTGTGCTGTGGGATGTGTGTGTGAGTGTGCTGTGGGATGTGTGTGTGTATGTGTGAGTGTGCTGTGGGATGTGTGTGTGAGGTGTGTGTGTATGTGTGAGTGTGCTGTGTGTGAGGTGTATGTGTGAGTGTGCTGTGGTGTAGTGTGTGAGGTGTCTGTGTGAGGTGTGTGTGTGAGTGTGCTGTGGGATGTGTGTGTGAGGTGTGTGTGTGTGTGTGAGTGTGCTGTGGGGTGTGCGTGTGTGCGCTGTGGTGTGTGGGTGGTGACAGTCTGATGGCAGAGGGGATGCTGGGGTGTGGCAGGCTGGGGTCCCCCCGCCTGTGCCCTGATCTGACGGCACAGTGCAGAGTGAGCGCCAGGCTTGCCCGTCCACTTAGCACCTACTGTGTGCTGGGCACTGTGCTAGTGGCGAGGAGCCGGACCTGCCCTCGGGACAAAAGTGACAGCAGCGGTGTGGGTGCATCTCTGTGGAGCACTGGGGAGCTGGCGGGGTGGGCGGAGTGGAAGTGGGGGGCGGAACCAGAAAGCAGGATGTGGCCCTGGGCCCGGGGCCCCTCAGTAGGGAAGCATATGGGCACCTGCACCCCTGGGGGCCAGAGTGAGCTGCAGGTGCCGGGGGAGACACATCGGGGACAGAACGTGACAGACGGTGCTGATGGCTCCCTGCGCCTTCCCCCAGGGACGCCCCAGCCGCAGGTCACATGGCGCAAGGGGCCATCCTCGGAGCCCCTGGGCAGCCAGCCGGGCGTGGAGGTGCTGGCTGAGGGCTCTCTGTTCCTGGCCTTGGTCTCGCCCAGCGACAGTGGTGACTACGAGTGCCAGGCTACCAACGAGGCGGGCTCTGCGTCCAGGAGAGCCAAGCTGGTGGTCTATGGTGAGCAGGGACCCCAGGGCTGGGGGCTGGGAGCTGCAGGGGCCCCTTCTGATGGAGGCCCATAGTGATGCCAGCGTCTGATGGATGCCACCAGATGTGGGCGTGCCAGAACTCACTGCAGGGGAGGCCACCGGTCTCTCGGGGTGCCGGGGAGGGTGAGGGCATGAGGGTGCTGGCAGAGTGGCTGGTTGTCGGGCACCCCACTGCCCCAGAGCCACACCTGGCTTTTCAGATGGCCCAGCAGGTGAGTCCGTAAATGAGCCGTGGGGGCAGTGGAGTTCCTTCCCTCACCCCTAGGTCCTTGTCACCTGCGGGGAGAGCCCCCTGCCCCTGCAGTCATGGTGCTGTGTCCTGGGTTGGGGGAGCACTTCCTGCTGACGGATGGACACGGCCAGTGTTAGCGGCCCCTGTGGCCACCTGCCGAGGCTGCCCCCATTGCGCCGGCGTGCCTGGGTCGTCTGTTACAAAGACGTGCCCAGGCCCTGCCTCTGGAGGTTCTGGCTGCGAAGACCCTCCCAGGGCAGGCTGAGCCAAGCACCGTGTAGATGCGGGGGCGTCTTGCAGTGCTCAGTGTCAGAGAGACCCTGGCCTGGGCGCACGGGGCGCAGCTCCCAGGGTGAGGCTGCTGGGGCCGTTCCCAGTCTGCAGGGCCCCTTGTGGCCAGGTCAGGGGCTGGGGCAGAGAGACCTCCTGGGACCCCAGTGACAGCCATGACAGGCCCCACAGGTCTCTGAAGGATCAGGAATCAGGGCCTGAGCAGCTCAGATGGGGCCCCAGCATCTGTGGCTCTGAGGGGAGGGGCCAGCGTCTCTACGTCTTGCCCCCCAAGTGCCCCCCAGTATCCGTGAGGATGGGCGCAAGGCCAACGTGTCGGGCATGGCCGGGCAGTCCCTGACACTAGAATGCGACGCAAACGGCTCTCCAGCCCCCGAGATCGTGTGGCTCAAGGATGGGCAGTTGGTAGGTGGCCCCTTGGGGTGGACGGGCTGTGGGTGGGATTTAGGTGGGGCTCGGGCCTTCTGGGGCGTGCTCCTGCAGGTGGGGAAGTGGGGTGGGTTTCCCTGGGGAGGCAGTGGAGGACTGTGGTCTCCGGACAAAGCCTGAGGGGCTGCCTGGTGGAGAGAGCACAGCGGCCAGCTCTCACTGCTGTTGTCCACCCACTCCCTTGGCCTCTGCCCAGATCCCGGAGGAGGGCAGCCACCGCCTCCACTTCCCCAGGATCCGAGAGGCTGACTCCGGCCTCTACTCCTGCAGAGCAGAGAACCAGGCTGGGACCGCCCAGAGGGACTTCCATCTGCACGTACTCGGTGAGTGAGCCCCCAGCTGCCACGTGTGTGCCTGCAGAGAGCAGGACAGAGAAGCCCACGGCCAGCTTAGTCCCCGTCCTCGTGGAGCCCTGGGGTGGGGGTGAGGAGGGCCAACTTCAGTCTTGTGATCACCCCAGTGAGGCAGAGTGATCCCAGGAAGCTCAGGTGGACAAGGCAAGGGTGTGCCCACTGGGGGACCTGCATGGGCAAAGGCCCTGTGGTTGGCAAAGGCTTACAGAGCCTGTGCCATGTCCGCCACCCCTTCTTGCTCCCCAGTCCCTCCTTCTGTGCTTGGAGCTGGGGCCGCCCAGGAGGTGCTGGGCCTGGCCGGTGCAGATGTGGAGCTGGAGTGTCGAACCTCAGGGGTCCCCACGCCCCAGGTGGAGTGGACCAAGGACGGGCAGTGAGTGACTCCTAGGAGGATGGTGTGGCGGTGGTGTCAGGCGGGGCGGGCTGGCTGTCTGGGGGAGTGGGCAGGTTGATGGGCATGGTGAGTGCTACCTGAAACAGACCCCTTACCATTAGCAGTCAGTCTCCCCCCTCCACCCTCCCAGCCCCGGCAACCACTGGTTTGCTTTCTGTTCCTGTGAGTGGAGTCAGACAACAGGTGGCCTTTTGGGTCTCGCTCCCTGCACTCTGCCCCTTGTTCTCGGGGGCTCCCAAGCTGGATGGAGCATGTGTCAGAATCCTGTTCCTTCCTCGGCTGAACAGCGCCCTGCTGTGTGCACGGACCACATGCCGTGTGTCCGTCCCGGGGTCAGGGGACACTGGGCTGCTTCCGCCCCGGGTGACCGTGACCATGCAGCACTTTCCAGGCCACGAGCCCCGCTCTGCACAGCCTGCCTACCTGGCCAGCACCTTGGCCCGACTGGCAGCTTCCCTGTGACCATCTCTGCAGGCCTGTCCCCCCCGGAGACCCTCGTGTCCAGCTTCAGCATGACGGCCAGGTCCTCAGGATCACCAGCAGCCACCTGGGTGACGAGGGACACTATCAGTGCGTGGCCTTCAGCCCCGCCGGCCAGCAGAGCAAGGACTTCCGGCTCAGAGTCCAGTGTGAGCCCCGACCCCGCCCGGGACCCAGCTGCTCCGCGGCTTCCAGCTCAGCTGCCTGCTGCGGGGGAGGGAGGATGAGGGCAGCAATGGGGGCTCCGGAGTGCAGAGCCCCCAGGCAGGGCAGGGCAGACGGAGGCACCAGAGGCGTCTGGTCGGCATCCCCCAAGTTCCGTCCCAGGCTCCCAGGTTTCCTGTTTCTGCTACACGATTGGCTGTTAGTTTTCCGTTTACATGAGACCATTGCCTTCACACTCACTGACAAGGCTTTTTGGCTCAGCTCTGAGTGCGAAGCCAGGGCCACGCGGCTGTAGTGGGAGGAAGCGGAGAAGACCCTGACCACCAGAGGGGTCGCTGCGGACGCTCGCGAGTGGGCAGAGGCGCCCGCCTGCACCTGCTCGCTCCATGCTCAAAAGCAGTGGAAAATGCTAGAAAAACGAAGGAGCCTGTGGCGCCAGACGTGCCTTCCCTTGCTACAGCCAGGGCAGCAGGAGCTGCGGCTGCCTCCCCCCGGGTGGGGCCTGTCCTGGAGGAAGCCGTGACCTAGCCAAGCCCCTCATTTCACAGATGGGGAGACTGAGGTCCAGAGAGGGGACGGGACCCACCCGGGGTCATACAGTGAGTCAGAGGCAGGGTGGGGCCCAGCGCCCAGGCCTGGGACCCCCTCCCCCGACTGGGGCACCTCCCGTGAGGAGCGGGCTGCTTCTCCCTCCAGCACACCCCCAGGCTGGCCTCTGCCCTCCGTCCCCACGTGCCCCGAGCCCCACGCCTTGCCAGCCTCACAGTAGACGCCTGGGACGCCTGTGTGCACTGCTTGTGGCCCGAGGGCATGTGCATGCCACTCTGGGGAAGGTAGCCTGTGACCAGCCTCACCCCGCTGTCCTTCTCAGCACCCCCCACCATCCGGGGCTCCAACGAGACCGGCCAGGTGGCTGTCATGGAGGGCCACCCGGCGCAGCTGCTGTGCGAGGCCCGGGGAGCGCCTGCCCCTGACATCGCCTGGTTCAGGGACGGGGCCCTGCTCCCACCCAGCGCTGAGGCGCTCTACGCCAGGGGCGGGCGGCAGCTGCAGCTGAGGAGCGCCCAGGCCGCAGATGCGGGGCTGTACACCTGCCAGGCCAGCAACGCGGGCGGCGTCACCGAGAAGGCCACCCGGCTGCAGGTGTATGGTGAGCGAGCGGGGGTGGGGGCGGGGCAGTGGGCGGGACTCAGGTGTGGTGGCCACTTGGAGTAGTCACGGGCAAGCAGGTTAATGGGACATAAAGTTCTACAAGGAGAGGAGTCCTCTCAGCTCAGCCAGCACAGCTCACGTAGGCAAGGGCCTGGGGGGAGGGGGGAGGCGAGGGCCTAGAGGGGGAGGCGAGGCAGGGTTGGGTCTGGACTCAGCTCCCTCAGGGCGTGGGCTCCTCCCCAGCCTGCGCCCAGGCAGTAGGCACACACTTGCGCTCCTCTGTGAGCTTGCTCCTGGGGCACTTCCTGCCCCGGCTGCTGTCACCAGGTGCCGAAAGGGCTGGGACTCCCCGTGCCCCACTTGGGGACAGCACAGGAGGGTGTGGGGGCAGGGGCTTGCCCAGGGTCCCGCTGCTGGGAGGGCTGCCTCGGAATCGCACACTGTTCACGTGCGCGTCTGCCAGCTCTGCAGGGCTCGCCTCTGAGGATGCGCGGAGGACAAGGCGGGTGGACCGGGTGGGATCTGAGCGGGAGCCCCGGTGCCGTGTGAGGGACACCGCGTAGGCCCATGGGGGTCAAACCGGCCCCCGTGAGGAGTCCGCTGGGGAGTGTAGGGCCTGAAGCAAGGTGACCGTGTGGAGCCCTCGGGCAGCCCCTGAGGCCTTGGACGAGGGGTCAGAAATGTGTGAGACCCCAGCAAGGCGAGAAAGCCCACCATGGCCCATGGTGCCCTGTGTCCTCCGTGACGGCCCGTCAACTCAGGCGCTTGGGGCACCCTCAGAGGAGAGAGGGAGACTCCCTGCTCTGGCTTGGCAACACTGGGCTCCGAGCACAACTCAGATCCCGACTCCTCGGCCGCCCCGAGTCACGCTCTCCTCTGGCCAGGGAGGGAGGGGGCTTCCTGGAGAAGTGGCTCTGGCCCTGGGCAATGCCTTGCTTTGAGCTCAGTGGATGAGACCTACTGTGTGCAGATACCGGGGACCACACAGACAGGCCATGGTTGTATTCCTGGCGAGCTCGGGGCGGGGGGTGGCTGTGGGGACAGAAGATGCAAACAGTGCCCTCGTTGATGGGGGGCACAAGGGGTTGAGGGGGGCTGGGAGAGGCTTCCTGGAGGAGGTGGTATCTGGCAGGGGCCTAAGCAGCTCCTCCTTTCCCCCAGTGCCCCCAACCATCGAAGGTGCTGCCGGAGGGCCATACGTGGTGAAGGCTGTGGCCGGGAGGCCCCTGGCGCTGGAGTGTGTGGCTGGAGGCCACCCACCCCCGAGCCTCTCCTGGCACCACGAGGGGCTGCCCGTGGCCGAGAGCAACGGGACGTGGCTGGAGCCGGGTGGCGTGGCGCTGCGGCTGGAGAGCCCGGGGGAGGCGTCTGGAGGCCTGTACAGCTGCGTGGCCAGCAGCCCCGCGGGCGAGGCCGTGCTGCAGTACTCTGTGGAGGTGCAGGGTGAGTGTGGCCGCGTGCCTGGGGCCCTCGTCCCATGCAGCCCTGCGGGGAGGTGCCCAGCGGCCCTGTCCTGCAGGGAGATCAGGGCGCTGGGGGCCATCACGGTGAGCCCCAGGATCCTGCCCAAGGCCCAGGCGAGGCCCTGTATGACAGGACACTGTTCTGCCTCTGTGCGAGGGTGTGAGCAGTTGCTGAGCCCTCCCTGGGCCCGGAGCTGGGTGCGGGTGCTGGTCCCCCACGTGGCTCTCGAGCTGTCACTGAGCCACCCATGTGCCGCTGGAGAGGAAGCAGGGAGTAAGACTGGCCAGCAACCTGGGCCCCGGGTCTGCCGGGAGCAGATGTTCATACAGCGGCCCAAGCTGCAGGGAGACCCGAGGCGGCCCCTTGCCCAGCCTGGAGGTGGCTCTGGCAGGGGGAGCCTCTTAAGGGGAGGCTTGGAGGCAGGGCTCTGAGGGGTGTGGGGGTGCCTGAGGCCAGCACGTGCTGAGCTCCCGACACCTAACAGAGGGTCCTGCCCATAGTGCCCCCTCAGCTCCTGGTGGCCGAAGGCTTGGGCCAGGTGACCACCGTCGTGGGACAGCCCCTAGACCTTCCCTGCCAGGCCTCGGGCTCCCCGATGCCCACCGTCCAGTGCGTACGGGGCTGCAGAGGTTGGGGCTGGCGTGGGGTTAGGTGGGGAAGGAGGCCACGAACCCAGGGAAGAGCAGAGCAGGCGGGCGGGGCCTCCAGGCCTCCCGCTCTGTCCTGCCTGGCGCGGCCTGCCCTGCTCTCAGGCTGGCCTGTCCCCTCCCTGCCGGCCGTAGGTGGCTGCAGAACGGCCGCCCCGCCCAGGAGCTGCCTGGGGTGCAGGTGGCCTCGCTGGGGAGCACGCTGCGCATCGACCACGTGGAGCTGGGCCACGCCGGCCTCTTCGCCTGCCAGGCCACCAACGAGGCGGGCACTGCCGGAGCCGAGGTGGAGGTGTCTGTGCATGGTGAGCGGGCACCTGGGGCTCTGGGGCCGTGGGCAGCCTGAGATGCCGGGGTGGGTGGAGCCAGAGGCCGTGGCAGGCCACGGAAGGGCGTGCGCTGGTCTCTGGGTGGCGTTTGTAGCCTGGCTGCCCCAGTTCCCCAGAGAGAGGCAGGAGTGAGAGGCTGGCCTCGGTGGCTTGTCACATTTGTCTGTCCTGTGCATCCCCTGGGCTCTTGCTGTCCTCCCCAGCTCCCTCTCACCACTCGCTCACTTCACACCAACCACGCTGAGCTTTGTTCTGCTCCTTACCGGTCAGCACAGGCCCTCTGTCACCTCCCAGTCTGCACAAGCTGTGCCCTCACCCGGAACATTCTTCCTCCTCTTTGCCTGCCTACCCGCTCCCTATCTTCCTGCCTACCCGCTCCCTATCTTCCTGCCTACCCGCTCCCTATCTTCCTGCCTACCCGCTCCCTATCTTTAAGGTCTCTGCAACACGCCTTCCTCCAGGAAGCCGTCTTTGATTCCGCCATGTTTCTAATCTACGCTGCTCAGCCTTATGGCCATACTAACTGTATAAACTGCTTGTTTATCTCTGCTGTCCAGTTCTGTGGCTTCTGAGAGGACAACATGGTGACCAGCTTTCTCTGCTGTCTGGGGGCCTGGAACATTCTGGGTGCAGGGTGGATGCTCAACTCACTTATAGGTGGTGGGTCAGTGGGTGGATGGGGAGATGAGTAGGTGCATGGGTGGACTGGTGGGTGGGTGGGTGGATGGATGGATGGGTTGGGGGTGGATGGATGAATGGATGGATAGGTAGGTAGGTGGGTGGGTGGATGGGTAGGAGAATGGATGAGTATTGAGCAATAAGAGGGTAGATGGGTGGGGGGGTAGATGGATGAATGGATGGATAGGTAGGTGGGTGGGCGGATGAATAGGTTGGTGGGTGGGTGGGGGGATAGGTTCGTGGGCGGGTGGATGGGTAGGAGAACGGATGAGTATATGAGCGATAAGAGGGTAGATGGGTGGAGAGGTGGATGGATGAATGGATGGATATGTAGGTAGGTGGGTGGATGAATAGGTGGGTGGGTGGATGGGTGGGTGAGTGGATAGGTAGGTAGGTGGGTGGATAGGTAGGTGGGCCGGTGGATGGATAGGTAGGTAGGTGGGTGGGTGGATGGGTAGGTAGGTAGGTGGGTGGATGGATAGGTGGGCGGGTGGGTGGGTAGGTAGGTGGGTGGATGGATAGGTGGGTGGGTGGATGGATAGGTGGGTGGGTGGATGGATAGGTGGGTGGGTGGATAGGTAGGTGGGCGGGTGGATGGGTAGGTGGGCGGGTGAGTGGATGGGTAGGTTCGTGGGCGGGTGGATGGGTAGGTAGGTAGGTAGGTGAGTGGATAGGTAGGTGGGCGGGTGGGTGGGTAGGTGGGCCAGTGGATGGGTAGGTGGGCGGGTGGATGGGTGGATGGATAATGGATGGATAGGTGGGCGGGTGGATGGGTAGGTTCGTGGGCGGGTGGATGGGTAGGTGGGTGGGTGGGTGGGTAGGTAGGTGGGTGGATGGATAGGTGGGTGGGTGGATGGGTAGGTGGGTGGATGGATAATGGATGGGTAGGTAGGTGGGTGGATAGGTGGGCGGGTGGATGGATAGGTAGGTAGGTGGGTGGGTAGGTTCATGGGCGGGTGGGTGGGTAGGAGGATTTGTAAAGGAAAAGTCTGCTCTGCTGGCTCCTGGCTGGAACTCTGCCCTAAGCCGGGTGCCTGGGGGTAGGGGCAGGTGGTTAGAGGGGAGGGAAGCTAGAGGCCAGTCTGGCTGTGCCCAGCAAGGCCACTTCCTCACCTCCAGACCTTGAGGGGAGTTTTGGGTGCCCGCTGGGGCCCTCCTGGCTCTGACCCGGGCCCTCCCCACTTGCCCACTCTCCAGAGCTCCCATCAGTCGACGTCATCGGAGGTGAGAACATCACAGCCCCCTTCCTGCAGCCTGTGAGCCTCCAGTGCGTGGGGGCTGGCGTGCCTGCCCCAAGCCTCCGCTGGTGGAAGGATGGGGCGGCCCTGGCGACCTCAGGAGGGAGCCTGCAGGTACGTGCTGGGCAGGGCCTCGGCCTTGGCAGCCTGCGGGCAGGATGGACGCAGAGCCCGTCGGCTGGGGATGCTCGGGGGCTCTGGGACACTGAGCATGAAGGAGAGAGCCACCCTTGGCCTAGTCCACGTCCTGGGAGCTTCAGCTCTAAGAACATGGGGATGGGGTGGGAGTGGAGAAATATGGCCAGCGATCAGAGGGACTCTATGGAGTCTGGGTGCTTGGCTCGGCACTGCAGCCATAGCCAGACTTGTGCCCATGCCTCGTTGGTTCTGACCGTGGGGGTCAGCACCAGCCTGGCCACTCACATGACCCGTCGTCCTCTGACTGCCCTCCTGTCCTGGGCCCTGTGGCTCCCCATGCACACAGCCCATGGCACACACCCTCTCCTCCTGTCCCTGCCAGATTGAGAAAGTGGACTTGAGGGACGAAGGCGTCTACACCTGTGTTGCCACCAACCTGGCTGGGGAGAGCAAGAGGGATGTGGTGCTGAAGGTGTTGGGTGAGGAGGAGGGTGAAGTGGGGCTGGGGGCCCGGGGTGGTGGGGGGTCCCCGAGGGCCTCGGCTGGGGCGCATGGTCGTTGTGCCCTTACTTAGGAGACATAGAAAGTCCCAGGAGGAAAGCAGCAATGTCGCTCTGTGGTCATTTGCAGCGGCATGTCCAGGGGCAGGCCTCGTGCCTGTCCTGTTTTATTCACTCTGCGGTCCCTCCTGGGCACGTCCCTGTCTTGTCACTGTCCCTGGCTACGAGGGACTCCGCCCTGCTGTTGTACCAGTTGAGGCTCTTCCTGGGGGGCTGGGGGCTGGGCAGTCCTTACATGATTGCAGCAGGGCTGTGGCCGCTGCTCCGCATTCTTGGTTTTGGTTCCAGGAGTGGGGTTCCTGGGCCCTTGTCACCCGGGACGTTTGGGGAAAGCTGGGTGGGGTGGGTGGCATAGGGAATGGCTGGGGTGGGAGCTGCCCAGAGCACCCAGCCACGTGAGCTGGATCTCTCCTGGGTCCCCTCTAGTGCCCCCCAACATTGAGCCAGGCCCAGTTAACAAGGCAGTGCTGGAGAATGCCTCAGTGACCTTGGAGTGTCTGGCTTCGGGCGTGCCCCCGCCTGGTAAGACCCCTCCTCCCGCCAGCCTGGCCCCATCTGACGAGGTGGGGAGCGCCCCGGGCACTGCTCTGGCTGTGGCCTGTGGGGAGAAGCCGTTAAGTAGCCTGCTCTGTTCTCTTCTTCCCCTCCCTGCCTCCTGGACGGCTGTCAGGGCACTGTCAGGGCCCCAAGCGTTTTGCTGGTGGCTGAAGCAAAGCCGCAGGGCTTCTGCTGGACTTTGTAAAATCACAGGGCTGCCCCTCGGCTGGGGCAGGGGTCAGGCCCTCCGAGTTCTGTCTGTGACAGCCTCTGGTCTAGAGCGGCAGTGACGACAGGGCGGGGTGCTTGGGCTGCGGTCAGGGGTGCTGGGGTGTGGCTTAGGGAGGCCTGTCTTCTGCCCCCTTGGCCCCGGGCGGGTCAGCCCCTCCCACAAGGGCACCCTGGCAAGTTCTGAACGGGTCTGCTGGGGTGTGAGGAAGCTGAAGACCCCAGCCATGCCTGTGACAGGTGGCTGCTGTTTGGGGTGCCCCATCCTTCCCCAGGGATCTCCCTGCTGAGAGGTCTCCTGGGGTGTAGGAGGAGGGGGTGCCAGCCTGGGCCCCCACTCTCCCTGCTGTGGGTGCTCCAGCCCGCAGCCATGGGCCTCTTCTCAACCCTTGGCCCTGTCTCAGCACTGCCCTCTTCCCTCTACTTCCTTTCCTAAAGAATTCTGGCTTTTTTCCCAAAACAAATGGAAGCTCCTCCTCTTGGAAGCCTTCTGTGCCGGCACAGCCTGCAGGTCTGGCAGGACCCTGGCATCTGTCTCCTCCTTCCCCAGACGTCTCCTGGTTCAAGGGCCGCCAGCCTATCTCTGCCTGGCCGGGAGTGACGGTGTCAGCTGATGGGCGAGTTCTCCGCATTGAGCAAACCCGGCTTTCTGATGCTGGGAGCTACCGCTGTGTGGCATCCAATGTGGCAGGCAGCACAGAGCTGCAGTTTGGTCTGCGCGTCAATGGTGAGCTTGGGGCTGTGGGGGCCCCAGTCTGAAAAGTTGTCTTCCCACCTGTTTGTTTGCCTGACCATCACCCACCCACCTGTCCATGCACCAATCCGCCCATCCATCCACCCATCAGTCCATTCTTCCATCCATTTGTCCATCCATCCAACCATCCATGCATCCATTCATCCTCCCATCTAAATGTGTAAACATCCAACTATCCATTGATTGATCCAACCATCTGTCCATTCGAGTCCTCTGCCCACCCATCCATCCACCCACCCCTCCATCCAACTACCCAACCATCATCCACCCTCCATCCAGCCACCCAGCCATCGTCTACCCATCTACCCATCCACCTGCTCACCCACTCACCCATCCATCCACCCCTCCATCCAGCCACCCAACCATCATCCACCCCTCCATCCAGCCACCCAACCATCATCCACCCCTCCATCCAGCCACCCAGCCATCATCTACCCATCCACCCATCCACCTGCTCACCCACTCACCCATCCATCCATCCACCCACCCCTCCATCCAACCACCCAACCATCATCCACCCCTCTATCCAACCACCCAGCTATCGTCCACCCATCCACCCACCCACTCACCCATCCACCCACTAATCCATCCATCCACCCCTCCATCCAACCACCCAGCTATCGTCCACCCATCTGCCTGCTCACCCACTCACCCATCCATCCACCCCTCCCTCCAACCACCCAGCCATCATCCACCCCTCCATCCAACCACCCAGCCATCATCCACCCCTCCATCCAGCCACCCAGCCATTGTCCACCCATCCACCCATCCTCTTGCTCACCCACTCACCCATCCATCCACCCCTCCATCCAACCACCCAGCCATTGTCCACCCATCCGCCCATCCACCTGCTCACCCACTCACCCATCCATCCAATCATCCGTGCACCCATTCATCCTTCCACTATCTATTGATTGATCCAACCGCATGACCTTCCAATCCACTGCCCACCCACCCACCTATCCAACCATCCACTACCCATCCATCTGTCCATCCGCCCACTCGTCCTTCCAATCACTCAACCATCATCCATCCACCCATCTACCCGCCCACCCATCCACGCATCCATCAAACACCCATCCCTGCAAATAGCCGTCTTCTGTCCAACCACACTTACTGAGTTCATGCTCTCGGCAGACTCTGGGCTGCAGTCCTACACCAGACAGACCCAGGAGCATTCAGTCTAGTGTCAGAGACAGGAACTCGATCGTTATCCCTAATGTGAGGTGCAACCGAGTGCCTATCACTGGGGTACCCCGAGCTGAGACCTCCACCGGGGCCTGCGGCTGCCGAGACCTGGGGACTTAGAGGCTGGAAGGAGGCTGGGGCGTGGAGCTCACAGAACAAGAGGAGGGCCAGAGTGCTGCTGGTGGCCATGGGGAGGCTGGGCAGTCGGGTCACAGGAGAGGTCAGGTCCTCGTCTGAAATTCAAGGGTAGCGGGCAGGGGCCTGGGCCTCAGGGCAGCATGGCTCATGCCCGCCGCCGCAGTGGGGTCTCCTGACCACTTCCTGCCCAGTACGGGCTGTCTTTGAGTTGATGATTTTTTCTGACCTCTGGGTTGAGAGGGCCCTCGGCACTTCCTCCCCGTAATCTGCTGACTCGAGGCCCAAGTTCAAGTGCTGCCTCTGTTGCTTCCTAGCTGGCCCACGCTGGGCAGGTGACCGCCCCTCGGTGAGCCTGTTTCCCAAACCTCGTGGCAATGTTGGGCGGATGATATGAGTAGCCTGTGAAGTGTGCAGTGGCCACCCGTGTCAGGATGGCTGGTCCTGCACGTGGCTCTCTGACTGCGCACTCCTGGGGGCTTGCCCAGCCAGGGGTCCTGCCTGCTTTGCCCACTGAGGCTGAGCCTGTGCCCCGTGCCTCCCCACCCTGCAGTGCCTCCACGAATCACCCTGCCGCCCAGCCTGCCAGGCCCCGTGCTGCTCAACACCCCCGTGCGGCTGACCTGCGACGCCACCGGTGCCCCCAGCCCCACACTGATGTGGTTGAAGGATGGAAACCCTGTGTCCGCTGCAGGGACCCCTGGCCTCCAGGTCAGTTGGCTCACCTCCCTGCTGCCTCCTGCAGGTGTGCTGGGAGAGAGGTCAGGGCCTGGGAGCTAAGGGTGCGGGAGAAGCAGAGACGGCCTGGGACCGTGGGCAGGAGGGAGTGTGTGGGGGAAGGGTGGGCAGAAGAGCCGCCCAGCCCCAGTGCCAGCCAGGAGCGTCATAGCCACATTAGAGCAAGTGGAGAAATGGCGAAATCCATTCAGTAACACACGTTAGTTAATCCAGTGTAGCCAAAGTCGTTTATTTCATCACACGATCGATTAAAAATGATTAAAAATGATTAGTGAGACTTTTACGTTCTGTGGGGCTCACTCATTGAAATAAGTAGTGTGTTTTACACCTTGGGCCTGCGACCGTGCAGGCTGGCCACGTTTCGCCGCTCACTGGCCCCGTGTCGTGGCCCCGTGGTGGACGGGTCTCGCCCTGTGCAGCTCACGGCTCTTCTGCCTCGTGGGGGGCACGGGGGCTCTGGAACAGTTTATGGAGGGTGCTGTCCCCTGTGGTGTGCTATGAGGGACATTCCGTCTAAGGGAAGGGGCTTCCGTCTGGGGCACAGGTCTTCCCAGGGGGCCGAGTCCTCACCTTGGCCAGCGCCCGGGCCTCCGACTCTGGCAGCTACTCCTGTGTGGCTGTGAGCGCCGTGGGCGAGGACCGCCGAGATGTCACGCTGCAAGTCCACGGTGAGCGCCAGGCGGGGAAGCCCTGTGGGCGGAGCAGCTGCGGCAGGGCGGGGGTCAGGTGGAGGAGGCATCCACCTGAGACTATGGCTGGCTCCAGGTGGGGGTCGGTGGCCTCTGACCTGTGGCCGAGCGTGAGCCCTCCAGCCAGGGGACAGCTAGAGGGGTGGGGGCGGGGGTGACCCTGTGTGGCCAGCAGTGCTGTGTTCAGGGAAGACGAGGAAAGAACCCGAAGCAGCAGGAGGAGCCCCAGGCCAGGGGTCAGGAAGACCCAGCACTCTCTCTGCCTCGGGTCACGTGGGAGCGCCTGTGCATCTGGGCAGGCAGTGCGGGGTGGTGGTCGGGCACCAGCCTTGCCTGTGAGGCCTCCGCCACTTCCTCGCCCGGTGGCACTGAGCTTATATGAAATGCAGGGAGAATGACACCGCCTGCATTGGCGTGGGCAGTCACCAAGTGCGTGACACCCACGGCGAGGGCGGCTGCTGTCTGATTTCCTCCTGGCGGTCTCTGCGGGATCTGGAGAGGTACAGCAAGAACTCTGGGGAACACAGAGGCGAGGAAGCCCTGGGCTCTGTTCCTGCCCTTTGCAAGAGACCAGGTCGCCGTGAACAGGTGTCCTGCACCCAGCTGCTCCCCCGGTCGCTGTATCACCTCACATAACCCCCGCCTCACAGATGGGGAAACTGAGGCCAGGGAAGCTGAATAACATCTCAGGGCCTCACATGGTAGGCGGGTGCAGAATATGGGGCTCGAACCCAGGGATTCTGAAGTGCCTGCAATGGCCAGGGCTGCACTGGGCTGAAGCCAGGAGCCTGGAGCTCCATCCAGGCTCCCACATGGGTGGCAGGGACCCAAGTCCTTGAGCCATCATCTGCTGCCACGCAGGGTGCACATGAGCAGGGAAGGAGTCAGGAGGCGGAGTTGAGGTGGAGCCCAGGCGCTCCAGGGCGGGCTGCAGGCTGGTGCCGTGACTGGCGTCTCCTAGGCTCGGCGGCGGCCCCGGCCCTGGCGCTGCGTTCTCAGCCTCCAAGCCGCACTGCTTGTGTTTGTCTCGGGGGCAGAGGTGGTTCTGCGGCCTGCTTTGTGCACTTTTTAAACATTAGTCATAATGTTCAGGGGTGAGCCTTTGGCCCAGTGGTTATACCGTATTGTAGTCCCGGGGTTCGAATCCCAGCTCTGCTTCCGATTCCAGCTCCCTGCCAATGTGTACCCTACCTACTCCCGAGGGTGCCTGAGCTCCTGCCCCTGTCACCCCCAGGACGACATCTGGCAGAGCTCTGGGACGGTGCCCCCCCAGGGCATGTGGACTCATTTTTGGGGGTTTCCTGTTGAAGCAGGACTGTGGAGGTTGAGCGGTGGGAAGAGGGTGGAGGCCCTGGGGCGGCCCCCATCTTCAAGGCGACTCCTCACCGCTGGTGTCTGCTCCCAGGCGGTCCCGCTGCCCCTGCCCCCGTGCCTGAGAGAGCCCCTCCTGCCCCTTCCCACAGTGCCCCCGAGCATCCTGGGAGAAGAGCTGAACGTGTCGGTCGTGGCTGGCGAGTCAGTAGCCCTGGCGTGCCGGAGCCGCGCCGTGCCCCCACCCGTGCTGAGCTGGTGGAAAGACGGGCAGCCCCTGGCGCTGCGACCTGGCATCCGCCTCCTGGAGGACCAGGCCTTGCTGGAGGTATGCGGCCGCCCAGCCGGCTCATGGGGCAGAGCTGCCCTGGCCTGTGGCTCCCCCAGGAGCATCCGGTCTGTGACCTGCAAGCTCTCCCCGGGGACCAGGAGCAGAGCCCCCAGACAGAGCCCTCGGGGCCCCTGACGACAGCCCAGTGTCACCTCCTTCCCCACCCTGCCACACCTTGTGGTGTGACTCCTGACCGGGGCGTGGCCACGCAGCTTCCCCTCCCCTCCCTTCAGTCACAGCCCAGCCCTGCCGCCCTGCGCCTCCATCTGCCCCCTGCACCCCACTGTCTCCCTCTATTTTCCCCCCTGGCCTGGCCTGGCCTGCTGTGCTGTACAGAGACTGAGAGCAGGCCGAGGCCAATTGGCGCTGACCCAGCCACGTGGCCACCCTTGGGAAGGTCTGGGCTGTGGTGTGACTGCGTCCCATGCCAGGCCCGTGGCAGGTGCCGCCTCTGGAAACCTCCTGGTGTGGTTGGTGGGGGAGGCGCTCAGCGAGGCTGTGGGGCAACCTGGGGACCCCAGGGTCTGTCCTGGGCAATCCCTTCTCTGCGCTGCCCCCGCCGACGGCTGCCTTTGCTCTTGGCCAGGTGGACGCAGCGCAGGTGGGGGACGCAGGCCGCTACACCTGTGAGGCTCTGAACCAGGCAGGCCGCTCGGAGAAGCACTTCAACCTGAACGTCTGGGGTGAGCCCTCCCAGGGGCCCTGGGCTGCCCTGCCTGGGCCGGCCCTCACACCCAGAGGCTGGGGACCCCGCTCCATCCTCACCACCCCTCCTCTGCTCTGACGCAGTGGCTCCTGTGTTCCCCTCCCGCGAGCCGCTGACCCTGACTGTGAGCGAGGGGCACCCTGCCAGGCTGTCCTGCGAGTGTCGGGGCGTCCCCTTCCCCAAGATCTCCTGGAGGAAGGACGGTAGGATTTTGCCCTCACCCACCTGCCTTACCCCCAGCTGGAGGGGGCTGCTCCCACCCCCAAGCCCCTCTGAGCCAGGTGGGCTCGTGGCCGTAGGGGTGAGTGTGCTGCCCACAGAGTGCTTTCCTCGGTCCTCTCTGCTTGGGGCCCTACCTGCAGGGCCCCTCCCAGTCAGCAGGAGCTGCAGGCCTCCCTTCAGAGGACCCCCCCCCCCCCCCGAAGCCCTCCCTGACTCCAGGCTGGGGCAGGACCTCGCTGTCTCACCCAGCATAATCCTCCATGTGTCTGTGAGCCCCGCTCACTTCCAGTTCAGTGCTGCTACAAAGCAGGCACTCAATTAATCTTACGAATCCACCGAACCCAGATTTAGCGAGAGCCTTCTGTGTGGGGCCCTGTTCTCGGCACTGGGAGTGCAGCAGGGGGCAAAGCAGTGCGACGCCAGCACTCAGAGTTGGGGGCGAGACGACAGACAAAGTGAGTTGGCGACTCGGCCTCTGGGGGGAAGTAAAACCAGCGCGGGGGAGGCCTGCTGGGTGGCCGTGTGGTTTCGAGGTGGGCGGCCACCATGTGCGGCCAGCCAGTCTCGGAGGACAGGGATGGACGTGAGAATGTCGCAGATGTGGTGTGGGGATGGTAGGTGCAAAGGCCCTGGGACAGGAATGAGCCAAGCACGAGTGAGGCAGAGCAGAGGCCATGGGACGGGAGCAAGGGGGACAGAAGTGGGAGGGGTCAGCAGAGGGAAGGGGGCTGGACCAGAGACTGTTGTAAGGATTTGGGCTTTTTTTTTTTTCTCCAAAGATTTTATTTGAGAGGCAGGGTTACAGACAGAGAGGGGGAGATAGAGAGAGAGAGAGAGAGAGAGAGAGAGAGAGAGAGAGAGAGAGAGAGAATGTTCCATGTTCACGCCCCTAGTGGCTGCAAAGGCCAGGGCTGGGCCAATCTTAATCCAGGAGCCAGGAGCTTCTTCCAGGTCTCCCACGTGGGTGCAGGGTCCTAAGGACTTGGGCCATCTTCCACTGCTTTCCTATGCCATAAGCAGAGAACTGGATTAGAAGAGGAGCAGCCGGGACTTGAACTGGTGCCCACATGGGATGCCAGTGCTGCAGGCAGAGGCTTAGTCTCCTACGCCACAGCGCCAGCCTCTTGGCTTTTATCTTGAATAAGACGGGGCCACTGGTAGGCCCGGGCCCCAGGAGGGCACAGTCCGGCTCACCCTCTAGCAGGGCCAGCTGTGCTGAGAATAGGCCATGGGCAGCAGCCAGAGAGGGGCTCGTGCGGGACCTCCGCGAGAGATTCTGGCTGCCTGGCCTGGGGGATGGGGAGGGGGTGCCAGGAGGTGGTGAGAGGGGCGGGACCTGGAAGTCACTCCAGGTGGGGCTGGCAGGATGTCCTGACCTGTGGGGTGGGGGAGTGGGAGAAGCCAAGGGCCAGGGACGCCTTGGAGATGAGGGCCTGCCAGGGAGGGATGGGAGGCTCTAGGGGCATTGCACTGAGTTCTGTTGGGGGCCCCCTGAGGGGCAGGAGGGGCCGAGTGTGGCGCACAGAGGCGAGGGCCGGGCAGGCTGAGGGCAGAGAGGAGAGGGTGGAGGGCAGGCCCATTGTCAGATGGCCCCGAGCCCTCCTCTGCCGTTCTGTTCCTTGGTGAGCAGGTGCAGGCGTCAGTCACCCCCGCCACGGGCTCTTCCAGCTGCCAGGTGCTCCTGCGGTCTGATCTCCCTCAGGCCGCCATTGCAGGGAGAGACCAGTGAGTCGTTAACTGCCACCAAGCCCTGGGGAGCCTCTGAGGACCCCAGGGAGAGCTGTGGCAGAGGCTGGTGCCTGAGGCCCAGGCCACGGGGGGTGGTCAGACGGTGTACCTGCAGGCAGGGCTGAGATGGGAGAGGCTCGGGGTGAAGGTGGGTGGGGGCTCAGAGGGTACCAGGATCAGCTGTGGCACTCGGGGGAGGCTTCCTGGAGGAGGTGATATCCAGATGGATGCCTGACAGCTGAGCAGGAGTTGGCAAAGAATGGGTAGGAGGCCCTCGAGCCCCTGCAAGTGCCCTGGACCAGGGGCTTCTTTCTTAACGCCCCCAGGTCAGCTGCTGCCTGGGGAGGGGCCCGGCCTCGAGCAGGTGTCCGCCGTGGGGAGGCTGCTGTACCTGGGGCAGGTCCAGCAAGACCAGGAGGGGACCTACACCTGTGAGTGTAGCAACGTGGCCGGGAATAGCAGCCGGGACCTGCAGGTGGAGGTGCACGGTGAGCAGGGCTGGGGCAGGAGGGCAGGCGAGGGTGGGCCGGCCGGGCAGACCCCCCCAGACCTGAGCAAGGCAGGGAAGCCGAGGCTGAGTGCCCTTCCTGTTCCCTGGTGGCAACTGCCCCTCCCTATCAGCTTCTCGTGGCTCCTCCCCCAGGCAGGGCGAGGGGACCCACGCCAGGTGTCTGCGTACCCCAGTGGCCCTGGAGATGCAAGAAGTGTCCATCATGCGACTGCACTTCAAAAACTTGCATAACAATGAAATTAGAAGGTCAGCTTATTTTGGTGCAAAACAAATTAAAATCCACACATAAGCAAGGAATGCAAAAAGTTCATGGAAAATAGGTGTTGTGAGAGCACTGTGTCTGGATTTCAATCTTTTTTGCACCAAAAGAAACTTCTAGTTCCCCTTCGCGGGAAGTTTGGAGTGCCTCGTGTCCAGTGGGGGCTTGCATCTCCGCCTGCAGTGGTGAAGTCCAGCGTCTTGGCTGGTAAAGATGGTGCTAGGAAACAAAGCTGAGCGAACACGGTCAAGTCCCCCCGGGGACAGTCCCCACCCCCAGCCGGGGCTGTGCCGGGTGCCTGCTCCCCACATGCAGGGCCAGGACTCCCGGCAGAGGGCCCTGTCACCAGCTGGGGAAAGGCCCAGAGCGTGAGGTCACCTGGCCAGGTCACACAGCCAGCAACACAGGCCTCTGGGGATGCCGGCCCGGCACCGGGCGCCCAGAGCGTGCGTGGTACCCGCAGCCCCGGCCTCTCTCCCTGATGCGCTTCTCCCCCTGCCCAGTTCCCCCTCGGATCGCTGCCCCCCAGGAGCTGCACGCGCAGGTCTCCGTGGTCCAGGACGGGGAGGCCACGCTGGAATGCAACGCCACCGGGAAACCCCCGCCCACGGTCACGTGGGAGCGGGCCGGCCAGCCCGTGGGGGCTGAGCCTGGCCTGCAGCTTCGGAACCAGGGTCAGAGCCTGCACGTGGCGCGGGCACAGGTCGCCCATGCCGGACACTACACCTGCGTGGCTGAGAACACGGCCGGGAGGGCCGAGAGGAGGTTCACGCTCTCTGTGCTGGGTGAGGACCGGCAGTGCTGCGGCGGGCAGGGCCTGTTCAGTCTCCAGACGCCGCCCCTTGTTCCACCCGGAGCCAAGGCTCAAGGAGAGCTGCTGCCCTGGGAAGCCACCAACACTGCTCTCAAGTCAGGACTGGCCCAGATAGCCCGAATGCCCCCACCGCTTTCTCCCTACTCCCTCCCATGTTTTCTGTTCCCCTCTCTGTTCCTGACAGTCTCTGTTCTTCATGGCTGGCAATGTGCTGGGCCTGAGAGACCAGAGTGACCTTGAACACTGTCATGAGAGATCAGGGCAGCCTCCTGGAGGAGGTGGCCTTTGAGCAGAACTGCCAAGGCTGGGCGGGAGTTAGATGGCTGCAGAGTGTGCCAGGCAGAGTGGGGGCTGGAGAGTGTCACCCAGGTGGAGGCAGAGGGTGGGGAGAGAGAGGGTGGGATGGGCGGGCAGGGGTCTGTTTAGGGAGGCCCGCCTCCCAGGGGTCCCCAGCCTTGCCCCGTCGTCCCACTGGGTGGGGTGTGGCCCCTTTCTGACCAGGGGCCCTCACACCTGTGGCGTGGCCACTGTGTGCCACGTGTGGACTCCTGGCTGAATCCGGGCCCCTCTGCTCTGCACTTGCTCACAGGCACCGGGCTGAGTGCTTCCTGTGCGCTCGTGTCGCGTCTTCCCAGCCTCCCGCCGAAGGTTTAGGGAAACTGAGGCCCAGCCTGTGGGCACCCTTCCTGCCTCCTAGGGGCCACAGCTTCCGTGGGAGCAGCTCTGATCAGAGACCCGGCTCCTGAGACCCTGCCCCGGGGGAGGTGGGGGCCCAGGAGGGAGCACACAGCCCCGGTTGGTCCTGACTGCTGATTCCTCCCTGTGCCCAGTGCCCCCCGAGCTCGTGGGAGACGCGGACCCTCTGACCAACGTCACCACAGCCTTGCACAGTCCCTTGACGCTGCTCTGTGAGGCCGCGGGGGTCCCGCCCCCTGTGGTCCGCTGGTTCCGAGAGGAGGAGCCCCTCAGCCCTGGGGGGGACACCTACCTGCTGGCAGGTGAGGTGGCAGCGGGGGCTGCGTCCTGGGAGTCAGGTCCAGCTGCTGGTGCCCAGCGCGCACCGCACACACTGGCCAGGAGAGGTGCTCCCTGAGGGGAGGGGAGGCGGAATGGACTGGGGCTTCCTGCTGGGGTGCCCTCCTAGAGACCCGCGGTGAACGTTTGCATGGTAAAGGTTCTGACAAGTCCTGCACCAGGAAAAAAAAGGTCCCCTTGGCATCTGTGCACTGAGCAGTCAAGAAACTTGGAAATGCTGACCTCAGCAGATTCTGTGAATTGTCATCCTCCTCACAAGATTGGTTTTGGATGGTTCCTGCTGGTACCCACATAGGGAAACTAGGCCCAAGGGACAGTGTCCCATTCGGGTCTCAGAGGCCCTCAAGGCCCCGCAAGGCTCATGGATAATGGATAGGTGGTGGGCGGGTGGGCGGGAGGGTGCATGGGAGGGCTGATGAATGGAGGTTGTTCCCACGGCCCGTGGTGGGTGGCAGCCACATGTCCCCGTGTGCATCACTTCGGAGCACTCACTAGGGGCTGCCAGGTGCATGTGCAGATGCAGATTCAGAGACTGCATTTGGGTCCAGCAGAAAGGAGCGTGGCAATCGATTAGTGATGTCTGTCCTGGGAGCAGGAGCAGCAGTGAGGGTGTGTCCTGTGTGTCTGCCCTCCCCAAGTGATCTTAGGCGACCTTGGTTCTTCTGAGGGAAGGACTTTGACCATCAGAGAGAGTGGAGGTCTGAACTGGGCAGGACTGCCTTGCTCACTGCTGTCCCTTTAGATCCAGCCAATCCTGAGAGCCGGTGAGGTCGTCGGTCTTTCTTGCTAGGACAGGGTCCTCAAGTTCTCTCTGGTGCGTGTCCCATGTCCAGATGGTTCCATCCATTTGTTTACCCTCCTCGGCCTCAGTTTGCCTAGCTGAGGAATGGGACATTGAGAGGCAGACATGGACACATCCGCTATAGTGCACGTTGTGCTCTGCCTGGCGGCAGCCTGGGCTCCACATGGGCCCAGGGGCTGCCTACAGCTGTGCCCACACCGCTCTGTCCCCAGGTGGCTGGATGCTGAGGGTGGCTCAGGCCCAGGAGCAAGACGGAGGCCTCTACTCGTGCCTGGCCAGCAACGAAGTGGGGGAGGCACGGAGGAACTTCAGCGTGGAGGTGCTGGGTGCGTGACAGCCCCTTCTCTAGGGAGCCCCACGAGTTTTGCCCTCCTGCCTGGCAGCTCCTGGGGGCAGGGCCATCACAGGGGTCCTGGCACGGGGAGGGGGAGGGGGAGGGGGAGGCCAGGACTTCTTGGCCTCATCAGAAACCCCAGGTCTGAGGCTGCCATAGAACTTCCCAGAAACACTAGGGACTCAGCCAGAGTGGAAGGAGGGAGGTAATTTTCAACCCCCTCCACACTGCCTCCCACTCACGAGGAGAGGGAGATGGAGGCACATGAAACGAAAATGAGGAGCCCTGGGCCCTCGGCTCCTTGCCCTGTGACGGTGCAGCCTGGTCAGTGCCATCCATCTCCCTGCTTCCCCAGTGCCTCCCAGTATTGAGAACGAGGGCCAGGAGGAAGTGATCAGGGTCCCCGAGGGACAGCCTGCCCACCTGGTGTGCAATGCCACAGGTAAGAGCCACCCAGTGCGGTGGATGGAGCGGGGGGGCCTCGGAACCCAGCGCACCTGCCCCAGCCCCGCTGCTCCCTGCTGCTCCCCGCTGAGGGCCCTTTCCCTTGGATGTGATACCTCCCAGCTCATCTTCACACTTCCCCGTCCTCCCCTGAGGATCCACAGGGAATCTCTGGCTGTCCCCTCAGGCCCAGTGGGCGACCCCCACTCACCCCCACAGGGGATCTGACCAAGGGGACCAGAGTGGCCTTATGAGGTCTGAACCCCTTGAGGACCCAGGGGATACCTTGTCACCATAGTTCCCCCAGTGCTTGGTAGAGTAGACACCCATTCATGCTGGTGGGCTGAAGGATGGCGGCTGGGCGGGTGGTGGGTAAGTGGGTAAATGAATGAACAGGGCAATAGACGGGAAGATGGTGGGTGGATGGATGGGTGCATGGATGGGTGGATGGGTGGATAGATGAATAGGTGAGTGGACAGATGGGTGAATGGATGGATGGTTAGGTGGATGGGTGGATAGGTGATCGGAGTTGGGTGGGTGGATGGAGGGGTTGATGAATGGATAGGTGGGTGGATGGGTGAGTGGGTAGATGGATAAGTGGATGGATGGGTGGGTGGATGGATGAGTAAATGAATGGGGGAGCAGATGGGTGGATAGATATATGGGTAGATGATGGGTGGGTGGGTGAAGGGATGACTTGCCTCTCCTTCTTGCCTGTTCGTTGCCCACTCAGTGAAGAGAAGGCAATCAGATCACAGATATAGGGCCCAGGCCATGCCTGGTGGCTGCTGCTGCGTCCTGCTCTGCGTGGACCAGATGGAAAATGCATATCCCCACCCTGTCTGTGAGCCACCTCTGACCCCTGGGCTGGCCAGGTCAGAGCTGCTGAGCTGTCTCCTGGTCTCCGCCGCAGGCTTCCCCCAGCCCACAATCACGTGGTTCAAAGACGGCCGGCCCCTGGCTAGTGGAGACGCCCAGCACATCTCCCCAGATGGAGCCCTCCTACAGGTGCCCCAGGCCAACCTGTCCAGTGCCGGCCACTACTCCTGTGTCGCAGCCAATGCTGTGGGGGAGAAGACCAGGCACATCCAGCTTAGCGTCCTGGGTGAGTCTGGGGCTCCGCCGGCCACTCGGGTGCTGCGGGCAGGGAGAGCCAAGGTGACGGTGACTTGCAGGTGCACCTGCTCTTCCCCCTCCACTTCCGCGAGGGCCAGGACAGCCACCGCCGTCCCTGCACCTGTGTCCTGCACGGGCCTCGCGTTTGGCCGCGGGAGTGGGGAGATGTGCTCGTCCCCATGTCACCCGTGACATTCTGAGGCTCAGAGGATGTGCCTCGGGCTGGGCCCCACATATGCGCCGCGGGCTGTCTCGCGAGAACCCATCCTGTAAGGCGAGTGCGGGCAGTTTGTGAAACCTTATTTCTGAAGATGCTGGCACTAGCAGTGTGGGGGGAGCACTGCAGGGACTCAGGGAGACCTTGGAAGCCCCGCCCCTCGCCCCAGCAGGGGCCAAAGCCCCGCCCCTCGCCCCAGCTCAGGGTGGCTCGCTAAGGGGACTGTCAGAAATGAGAAGGCTCCGGTGGCCTGAGAGAAAGGCCAGGTGCGGGGCAGCTGCTGGGGGGAGGGAGGCAGAAACGACTCTGCTTCCCCTCACGGCGTTGCTCGTGGTGGGCAAGGCGGGCTCTGGGTCACCCAGGCCTGAATTCCGGTCTGACCGTACGGGGCGTAGGCCTCTCTGAGCCTCAAATCACAGCAGCACTGAGGCTGAGCGCCGCGATCCGGGGCTCGCCTGGTCCTTGGGACCAGGGTTGGGAATCTGTGTACACGAGGGCCCCCCTGCCCGCTGCAGTGGTTCCCACCATCCTGGGAGTGACCGAGGACGGCGCAGACGAGGAGGTGACCGTGACCGTCAACAACCCCATCTCTCTGATCTGCGAGGCGCTGGCCTTCCCTGCCCCCAACATCACCTGGATGAAGGACGGGGCCCCTTTCGAGGCCTCCAAGAACATCCAGCTGCTCCCAGGTGACGCGCTCAGGTTGGGGGAGTGGCGCGGGTCACTGCGCTGGGTCAGAGGTCGGGGCCGGTGAGTGTGAGGCTGCGCTGCGGGCTGACTGTGGCTGCGGCCCCAAGCAGGGACCCAGGGCCTGCAGATCCTGAATGCCCAGAAGGAGCACGCCGGCCAGTACACCTGCGTGGTCACCAATGAGCTCGGGGAGGCCGTGAAGAACTACCACGTGGAGGTCCTCAGTGAGTGGGGGCCCCGGGACACCCCCGGGCTGGTCTCCGGGATGGCCGCCAGGCAGCTGGGTGGGCTCGGTCACGCCCATTGCGGCGCTGAGAACTCTAGGAGGGGAGGTGGTGAGCCAGGCCTCGGGCCACAGGGGCTCCGCTGCCCCCCCCCCCCCCGCCGTGATGGGGCCGTAGAGGCTTCTCTGCTTGAGACCCGGGAGACCCCAAGAACGCCTTCAGGGTCACCCGGGAATTCCCCCGCCTTGCACTTGCCCTGGCCATAACCACCACAGACACCCTTCCCCGAACTGAACCAGAGGCTGGGGGCTCACAGGGTCCCCGTCCCTCCACTCTCGGAGCCACCCCCACTCCTGGGACTGCCCCCAGGACCAGGGTACCACCCCCAGCCTGCTCCTCAGACCACTGGTACTTTTCAGTCCCCCCTTCCATCTCCAAAGACGACCCCTTGGGGGACGTGGGCGTGAAGGAAGTGAAGACCAAGGTCAACAGCACCTTGACCCTGGAGTGCGAGTGCTGGGCCATGCCCCCACCCACCATCAGCTGGTACAAGGATGGGCAGGTGAGCATAGGTCCAGCTCTGACCTCTTGGGGCTTGTTGGTTCTTAGAACCTTCCAGAAAAGAAAGCTCTTCCAGAAAGGGCTGGTCGAGGCTATGCCTACCCTTTATTTATTTATTTATTTATTTATTTATTTATTTATTTATTTATTTTTAAGAAGAAACCAAATTCTGTAGGGAACAGGTGTCCTAACACTAGCCTGCTGTCTCTGCCCGTTTTCTTTATGTTCCGTGGTTTGGTTTTACAATGCTGCCACGGGTTCCTCTCGCTGAAACATAACTCCCTCAGTCTAGGTGCTGTCTGACCTCTGTCCCCACCCTCTATTCCCCCTGCCCCCAGCCTGTGACCCCCAACCAGAGGCTCCACCTCCTGGGGGAAGGGAGGCTGCTGCAGATCCAGCCCACGCAGGTGTCCGACTCAGGGCGGTACCTGTGTGTGGCCACCAACGTGGCCGGCGAGGACGACCAGGACTTCAACGTGCTCATCCAGGGTGCGCTTGACAGGGGCGGCGGGCAAGGAGAGGTCAAGTGGCCGAGGCGGGAGGGAGGGTTTGGCCTGCATCCTGCGTGGCCGACAGGGGGCGCTCTTCACCAGCTCACACAGGCATTTTCCCTCCACCCTCACCACAGCCCAGGGGGAGCTTGGGCTGTGGGCTCCTGCTGCTGGGGCTGGTGGGGGGGGGGGGGTGGAGGAGGTTGAGGGTTCTCGCCCCCCAACCACCCACAGCATGAAATGTGGAAGAAGGAGGGGCAGTAGGAGGAGGCAGGTGGCCAAGTCTGGTGCCGGGGTAACGCTCAGAGCCAGGTGTCGCGCTCCGTGCTTTGGGGGCACCTGGCAGGTGCCATGCCCATTCTCATTGCTGGCACCTCTGGCTCTGCAGTGGAGTGGCTGTGTGACCGGGGCAGTGGTGTCCCTCTGGGCCTACTTCCTGTTCTAGCCGAGAACAAGCGCTGGCCTAAGCTGAGTAGCTGGCCTGTGCCCCTAAGGAAGGTGCCGGTGTTATAAGGAGACTTTTGGGCCCGGGGCGGGGGTGGAGGACGATGTCCCTCCGGCACCCCCGATGGGCAGGGTTCTCGCTTGGAGCAGAGCAGCACTCCCCCTGCCCGAGGTGCTTCCTGACAGCCTCCTCTCCCCCGCCCAGTGCCCCCCATGTTCCAGAAGGTGGGCGACGATGAAGCCCTGTCCCGGGAGCTGGAGGAGCTGGAGGCCCGGGGCGGGGTGACGGAGTATCGGGAGATTGTGGAGAACAACCCAGCCTACTTGTACTGTGACACCAACGCCGTCCCGCCCCCGGAGCTCACCTGGTACAAGGAGGACCAGCGCCTCTCGGCCACGGAGGGGGTGTCCTTGCTGCAAGGTGGGCGCGGTGCGGGAGGAGCCGGCCCTGCTTTCTCATGTGCTGCTGGCTGTGTGGCCTCGCACGGGGCGCACAGCCACTCTGGACCTAGCGGTGATGCTGACGGGGCCCAGGCTTTCTCCGCCGCTCTGAAGGCAGGAGTGGGCCCGCCTCCCCCCCCAGTTTCCAGAGCAGAGCTTTGTGCTCCATACTGCGCTGACCTCTGGGCAAGAGCTCCCCCCACCCCGCCCCTGCTCGTGACCCCAGAGCGGGAAGAAGGCCTCCCTCAGGCCGGGGCTCCAGGCTTCCGGGGCTTTTTTTTTTTTTTTTTTTCTTTTTACCACTTGGCTCATTCCCTCATTTAAAGTTATCTGAGTCTTTCATTCATAGTGTTGGTGGATGATTCTGCATGCAGAGGCTCCGGGGGTGGGGCTTGGAAATGCCTGGCTCCTTGGGCAGCTCAGCCAGCTCCCGTGATGGGCCAGGGCCCGGCTGCTGTGTGGCACAGTGCCCTGCAGCCTGCTGAGGGCAGATCCTGGTGGAGGATCTGCACCGAGGCCCGCCAGGGTCCGGCAGCCGGAGCGCTGGTCGGCACAGGTGCTCCTGCTTGTCCCAGGCTCCTGCGAGCAGAGTCTACCAGGGCTGGCACTTGGTGCTTGGGAAAAGGAGGTCTGGGGGATCCGGGAGAGGCAGCCCTCACGGCGGGTGTCTGTTCCTGTTGACGCCACCAGGCCACTCCTTCCCCTGGCCGCTGACCTCCGATCCCAAGTACAGTGACAGCAGGCACGAGCTGACCTGGACTCTGACCCCAGCTGTAGATTCACCTCAAACAGTAACTGGCCCAGGCTAGTGAGCCCCTGGTTCTGACCCCACTCAAGCCTCTCTCCCCAGATGCCACGACCTGGCCTGGCCGGCTCTTGGTCACAGAGGGCCCTGGTGACAGCCCCTAGCACCCTCACCTCACTCCCCGCCCCCGCCCGCCACACCACAGACCTGGAGCTGCCTCTGTGCCTCCCAGGAGCCTCTGCTTCTCCTTCTGCCCTCTCCTGCAGCCCGGCCAGCATGCAGCAGACCTGAGCCCGCAACTGCTGTCTGTCGCTGGGCAGGCGCTGGTGGGAAGCCTCTGTTTTTCCATCTGTAAATGGGGTCTCAACAGCACACGGCCCGCAGAGTTGCTGGGTGAGGCTGTGCTGGACTTGGTTCCCCCTTGCAGGCCCACACTCTGCATTTCACGGGCGATGTGTCTCAGGTCCCACGCAGGGGGAGGAGCAGTCTGTGAGCCCTGGGGGAGGCTCAGGCCTCGGCTCTGTGTCCCTGCAGGAGGCCGGGTGCTGCAGATCCCCCTGGTACAGGCAGAGGATGCTGGGAGGTACTCGTGCAAGGCCACCAACGAGGTGGGCGAGGCCTGGCTGCATTATGAGCTGCTGGTGTTGAGTGAGTAGCGGGGCTGGGGCAGGCTCAGGGCCTCTGTCTGCAGCGGAGCGAGGCCACATGTGTCCGTCTGGCCGTTCTCAGGGGTTGATGGGGCGTGGGGCTTGGGCACTGACACCAGGCAGAACTGGGTTCCAGTTCCGGGCGAGCTGCTCCCTAGCGATGTGACTTGGGCCCATGACAGCCCTCTGTGTGCCTCAGGCTCCCGAGCTGGATCAGGGGCTGGGAGCATTTGGTGAGCAGGGCCCGGGGAGCCCAGCCAGCCTGGGCACCTGGTGCCTCTCTCGCCTCCATGCCAGCCCTCCCTCTCCTGTCCCCACGCCAGCCCCACCTGTGATCCTGGGCGACACGGAGGAGCTGGTGGAGGAGGTGACCATCAATGCCAGCAGCACCGTCAGCCTGCGATGCCCAGCCCTGGGCAACCCCGTGCCCACCATCTCGTGGCTCCAGAACGGGCTGCCTTTCTCCCCGAGTCCACGGCTGCAGGTCCTGGAGGACGGGCAAGTCTTGCAGGTCAGTGTGGCCCTCGTCTGGGCGACAGGCAGAGGCTGCCGCCACCCAGCCCAGCTTGCCTGGGAGCCAGGGAGCAGGCACTGTCCGCCAAGTGGGGCTCTTGCCGGATCTCCCGGCCCTGAGAGCTGACACAGCCCTGCAGATCATCTTGTGGGAGGAGCCACGTGGTGCCTAGAGGGCCAGGTGACACCTGGAAGGAACGCACGGGCCACGTCTGGAGCCTTCTCCAGGGGTGCCCCTGACGCTCAGAGCGGCTCTCCATGGGGTTGGGGGAGGGGGCTGTTGTCATGCCCTCTCCCCACAGTGTCCCACAAAGCCCTCCACCGGTGCCGTGAGCTACATGTCCGACGTGGAGTGGAAGGGGAGTCCATACCTGGGTTGCTGGAGCCCCTCCCAGCACCGGCCCCCTGCACCCGCAGGTCTCCACGGCCGAGGTGGCTGACGCTGCCAGCTACATGTGTGTGGCTGAGAACCAGGCCGGCTCCGCCGAGAAGCTGTTTACCCTCAGGGTCCAAGGTGAGCTGCACCGAGCAGGGCCCCTCCTGTTCCTCGGTGCTTCCGGGACCCTGGGCTGTAGGCTGGGCTGTAGGCCCCAGCTCCGAGTTCCCGGGGCCTTGCCTGGGGCCAGCCGCATCCCCCACAGCACAGGGGTCCTGGTCACCACTGGAACGGCCTCGGGTGGTTTTTAGCTGCTTCAGAGGCAGCCAGGGAGGGGCTCTTCTGAGGCCTTTTGGCACCGTTATTGGGCACTTGCTGTATACCTGGTGTGGGCTCAGGCTTTCCCTGCACTGACTCCTTCCAGCAGAGCCGGAAGCCGGGCCTGACTTCCTGCAGGGAGCTCGCTCGGAGAGCCTGCCCGGGGGCCTCACGGCCCGGAGTCTGCGCCTTTGTTTCTTTTTAAGATTTATTTACTTATTTCCCAGAGAGAGGGAAAGGGAGCGAGATCTTCTATCCACTGGTTCACTCCTCCCCGCCCCCCCACATGGCCACAACAGCCAGGGCTGGGTCAGGCCAAAGCCAGGAGCCTGGAGCTCCATCCTGGTCTCCCATGTGGGTGCAGGGACCCAAACACTCGGGCCACCCTCTGCTGCTTCCCCGGCGTATTAGGGAGCAGCCAGGACTCAAGTGGCGCTCTGCTATGGGTGCTGGAGTCTCAGGCAGAGGCTTAAACCTCTGCACAACGCCAGCCCCGTCTGCTCTTGGTCTCTGCCGCCCCCGGTGGGGACAGCTGTGGCCTTGGGGAGAGAAGGTGTAGTGTGGCGCACTCCAGGTTGTGGACTGAACCCTGGATTCCTATTTCAGCTGTGTGACCTTGGAAAAGGGGCTCTCCCTTTCTGGTCTCTGGGCAGGCTTACTTGCAGTGCACCGAGGTGGAGCCCCAGGGGCTGGGAAGAGCTCTCGGTGTTTCACCGCGCGGCCCGTTGCTCCCTGCTAGCAGTCTCACATCTCTCTCTGTCCTGGTGGCCATGGGACAGTCCCACCGCGAATCACAGGCCAGCACTCGGGGCAGGTCACTGCCACCCTCAACAGCAGCGTCTCCCTGCCCTGTGAGGCCCACGCTCACCCCAGCCCCGAGGTCACATGGTACAAGGACGGCCAGGCCCTCTCCCTGGGTGAGGAGCTGTTCCTCCTGCCCGGTGAGTAGACTGAGGGTCGGGGCCCAGCCTGGAGGCCACGAGGGGAGGCAGCTGTTCCCCCAAGCCCGGGGGTGTGGCCTGGGCGCAGCGGGGCTGCTGGTGCGAGGGCTGGGTCTCCCTGGCAGGCACCCACACTCTGCAGCTGGCGCGGGCACAGCGCTCAGACTCCGGGACCTACGTGTGTGAAGCCCTCAATGCTGCCGGCCGGGACCAGAGGCGGGTGCAGCTTAGCGTGCTGGGTACGGCGCCTCGGTCCCCACCCTCCCAATCAGCCCCACTCCCCTTGAGCGGCACAGCCAGGAGAGGGGCTGCCTGCTTGGGGGAGGCTGGGACAGCCGTGCCTTAAGCTCTGAGGTTTAGGAAGCTGGAGAGGGACCCGGGAGACAGATCCCAGGGGCCTGGGCCTGGGGGGCCTTTCCTACGCCTGTCTGAGCACGGGCGTCACCGCCGTGGTCCTGGGGAAAAGCTGGTCTGAGGTGTCCTGAGCCGGGACTCGCTGGAAGGTTCTTTCCAGTCCCCGCCCAGTCCCCACGGCTTGCGTCTGTGCCAGGGGCTCCTCTCTTGGTTTGCTCGGGCATCTGGGGCTGACCCTTAGGCAAGAGGCTGAGGCCCAGGGTGGGAGCCTGGCCCTGGCCCCCAGCAGGGTGTGGTGTGCTGGCCGGTGTGCTCCCCTCCGGCTCCCCCTGCCCCAGCCCCTGGGGTTAGAGCTAATGTGTGACCCTGGGGGCTCCACAGGCTGCTCACCTGCCACTGGGCGGGGGTCTGGGGGGTGCGATGAAGCTGCCTCACTCACTGGGCTGTCTCCTGCCCTCAGTCCCCCCCACCCTCCGGCAGCCTCCCAGAGGTTCCCAGGAGACAGTCCCGGTGCGGGCCGGGGACAAGGCCGTCCTGAGCTGTGAGACAGACGCGCTCCCTGAGCCAACTGTGACCTGGTACAGAGACGGACAGCCCCTGGTGCTGGCACAGCGGACACAGGCTCTGCAGGGTGGGCAGAGGCTGGAGATCCTGGACTCCCAGGTGAGTGGCCCGGGGACATGGGCAGTGTGGGCAATGTAGGTGGTGTAGACGGTGTGGGCCGTGTGGGCACTGTGGGTGTTGTAGGTCGTGTGGACGGTATGGGTTTTGTGGGCACTGTGGACGTCATTGGCAGCGTGGGCATGGGTGGCATGGGTGGTGTGGGTGTTGTGAGTGGTGTGGGTGCTGTAGGTATTGCGGGCAGCATGGGTGGTGTAGGTATTATGGGTGGTGTGGGCAGTGTAGGTGTTGCAGGAGGCGTGAGTACTATGGGTGGTGTGGGCAGCATGGAGAGACAGGTGTGTGGCAGGGTGTGGGGGCTGCTGCCTGCTTAGCCTGTGGGACCCCAGACAGAGCCCACCAGCCTCTGGGGCAGGAGACAAGGGAAGCCACAGGGCTCCAGAGAGCTGGGTTCCAGGTCTGTGTGCGGGACTCACAGGATGAGCTCGAGCAGGTCCCTGCCTGCCTCAGTGTCCCCAGGGCCCACGTGCTAGGCCCTCTGGCTGCCCCCCGTAACGCCCAGGAGGGCTGCCCTCCCTCTCCGGGGTTTGAGGCCGAGTTCCCTGTCCCTCTGGAGTCCTGGGCCCCCTCTCCTGGCTCAGCGCCATCCCCGCAGGCTTGAGACTCTGCCTGACGTGGACTCCCCAGGCAGGGGTCCCTGCCCTGGAGACTTCGGGGAGCCCTGGTGTCCCACCCAGCCCCGCGCTGTCCCTGCCGCAGGTGTCAGACAAGGGTGTGTACAGCTGCAGAGTCCGCAACGCCGCCGGGGAGGCCGCGAAGACCTTCAGCCTCACTGTCCAGGGTAAGCCGGGCCGGCCTGGCCGCCGTGGCCAGCGAGCTCTCGCGGCACACGGGGCTGCCCAGGAGGAGAAGGGTGTGGCTGGGAAGAGGCGGGGTTGCCAGGGGTAAGGTGTGCAAGGTCTGGGATTTAGGATCAGTGGGTGACACACAGGGCTGTGCGATGCCCGCTCTGGGGGCCGAGGAGAACGCTCTGTCCCTCAGGCTGTGCTTCTCAGGCACTGTTTGAGGTTCCTCCTGACCACATCATGACTGAGCAGGAGTGTTGGGATTGATTAGTGATGTCTGCTTTGGCATAGGTTTATTGTATTTGAAAAGGAGAGGGTCAGACCAAGATCTTCCATCCACTGGTTCACTCCTCAAATGCCCACAACAACCAGGGCTGGGCCAGGCTGAAGCCAGGAGCTGGAACTCAGGTTGGGTCTCCCACATGGGTGGCAGCAGCACAGGAACCTGGGCCATCATCTGCTGCCTCCCAAAGTATGCGTTAGCAGGAAGCTGGATTGGAAGCAGAGTAGCCAGGACTCAAACCAGACACTCTGATACAGGCCGTGGACATCTCACTGCACCACGGGCCTGCGCCTGAGCCTCAGGTTTATCTTCCACAAAGGAGACGAGAGCAGACCTGCCTGTGGGCACATCGGAGGTACCCGGCCCACTGCAGAGAGTAGGCAGAGCCTGGCACCTGGCCCTGGGATGACGGAGCCTGGAGATGAGCCACTTGGAGGCCAGGGACTGCTGAACCCTGAGGAGTCGCGACCCCAGAGCCTGGGGGTGGAGCAGAGAGACTAGATGGGATGTGCAGCTCGTGCTGGGGTGGGGGCAGCCTGCCTGAGCATTTAGAGAGCGTGGCCGGGCCTTCCTGGGGTTGGATGTCATGTTAGGACATGGACTTAGCTGTGTGAGAGGCCCCGAAATGTGGTGGATTCGTCTAGGCTGGTGGGGAGCTTGGTCCACGTGGTAATCCAGGAACCCAGGGCCCTTCCACCTGCCGCTCCTCCACCTCTGGGGGTGCTGTCCCTACTCACTGGATCCTGTTCCTGCCCGCGGCCAGCAGGGGGCAGCAGGTGTGGGAGGCAGCGTTGATCTAAGCAGATGTTGTACCGGCCCCCTCTGCTCATGCTCCACGCGTGATAATCTGGGCAGCAGGCACGGCAGGCCGCAAGGGGCGCTGGGAGATGGAGTTCCTCCCAGAGTGACCACATGCCCAGCTGAGCAGGCTGGGGGACACAGCTGAGTGCACGGGTGGCCACGCTGAAGCCAGGCTCCTCTTCTGGGTCTCCCACATGGGTGGCAGAGGCAGAAGCACTTGGGCCATCTTCCACTGCTTTCCCAGGCCACTGTCAGGGAGCTGGATCGGCAGTGGAGCAGCTGGGGCTCCAGCCAACGCCCTCAAATGCTGATGCCAGCATCGCAGGTGGCAGCGTTACTGGCCATGCCACAGTGCCGGTCCCCAAACACAGTTGTTCTAAACGGCAGATGGCAGGCTTATTGCTCCCAGCTCCCAGCTCCTTCTGACAGCTCCCTCCATGAGCCATGAGAGAGGGCCATGTCTGGTCCCCAGGGGCAAAGACCTCACCTCTTGAGCTCAGCCATTTGCATGCCAGTGGTAGTGGCTGTTTGAGGTTCCTGACTTCATCCTGCCTGAGCAGGAGTGCTAGGATCCGTTAGTCATGTCTGCCCTGCTGTAGGTGAAGAGCTGCCTGTGCATAAGCCCTGTGTTCACCATCCGTGGGCTGAGTGGACCCCTGTTGGGCTCGGCTTTGTAAATGTAGCCAAGTAGCTCCAGGACAGGACCTCCCTGACCTGCCCGAGGAATCCGGGGAGGTTGAGGGTTCTGGGAGTCTGCCTTCTCTCCCGCAGTGCCCCCAGCGTTTGAGAGTCCTGAGACGGAGATGGTGAGCCAGGTGGCCGGGAGCCCACTGGTCCTGGCCTGTGACGTGTCCGGGGTCCCTGCACCTACCGTTACATGGCTGAAAGACAGAACACCCGTGGGTGAGCACACCTGTCCTTTGTACTAGGCAAGGTCAAAGCCTGGCAGTGCCTGTCGGCCCAGCCTGCTTGTCTTGTCATGTCACTCTTGGGCCCGTGGCGCCCACACAGTGGGAGCCATTCCTGTGACCCTGGTCGGTCAGCTTCTGGGAGACAGAGGACACGGGCTCTGTCTTGCTGAGAGCCCTGCACAGCCCAGCTGGCTGAGCCTGGACTTGGCATTGGCCCAGAGCTGCTCTGCCTGCTCCCCCCAGAGTGTCTGGTCACCCCCACGCAGGCCTCTGTCCTCACTCTCACCCTCCCCGCACCGCAGCTGTCGGTCAGCAGACCCCCTCATCCTGTCACCTGGTCCACACCTGGGGTGCCTGCCCACTCTTCTGCCACAGCCTCCCTTTCTGGCCACCACTGTGCCCTGGTGAAGGCGGTGGCCCCTGCACTGGTCTCCTGGGCCCTCTCCGTGCCTCTGGAGCAAGCGCCAGATCTGACAGCACAGCTCTGAGCAGGTGCCCTGCCTAGGCACAGCCTAGCCCGCGGGAGCACCTGTGGTGCCAGGCAGCCCGCCTCTCCCTGGCCCCCCACGCGCAGGTGGGCCCCACTGTTTCAGATTCTCTCCCCGCATCTCTTGCTCTCTGTCTCTCTCAGTAATGATACGGAGATAAAACTCACACAGTATACAGCGCGCCCATTGAAGCTCAGTGATTCTAGCACACTCTGGAGCTGTGCGCCCCTCTCCACAGCCGTTTTCAAACCGTTCCTCTCACCAGCGAGAAGCTCGGCACCTGTTAGCCTTCTCTCCCACCCCTTGCCCCCGGCTCCTCCTCCCCAAGCCCCCCCCCCCCCCCAGCCCCTGAGCTGCCCTGGGCCCCGCAGATCTCTCTCCGCAGCGTTTCACAGTGGCGCCGCCTCGCCCGCCCGCCTCTGCCGCTCGCGCCTGGCTTCCCCACTGGCCTCTTCATTCTTCATTCTTCCTGTGTTTGTGTGGCTGGATGCCCCCTGCTGCGTGACGTGTCACATTCTGATTACCTGGCCCTTGGTCGTTCCTCTCTCTGAGCCGCTGTGATGTGACCCTCATCACCTCTGCTGGTCCGGGAGTGGAGCTGCCGCCTCTCTGGCCTCAGCTCCTGCACTGCTGTTCCCTGCCTGGAATTCCGGCCCGGCTTCCCCAGCCTGCTCCACGTGCACCTGGCTGCTTCCTGCTCACGTTCCCGTCTTGGCTGGCACTTCTCCTGCCCCGGGAGCCTGTCTGACCGCTGCCATGCGCAGGCCGCCCGCTCTGTGAGGGCCCGCGGGGCTGGCACTACACCGCGGTCGTACCTGGGCAGCTCTTGGCCTACAGGGGCTGTAGTGCGTGCATCCTGGGCTCCCAAGTTCACAGTCAGCGTAGGGCAGCTGCTCGGTGCAGCTTGTGCAGAAAGACGGGGCTGATGAGGCTCAGGGAGGGCGGCCAGGCTGGGCTGGTGCAGTTAGAGGCCGGCAGGGAGAAGTGCGGCTTCGGGGGGAGGCGGCTGGCGAGCAAGGCCCTGGGGGAGCCGCAGGGTGACCCGCATGGGGTAGTGCGGGCCTGGTTCTCCTTGATCAGAAGCCTCGAGATGGGGGGAGGGGGCAGAGCTGGGGGTGTGGGAGGTGAGGGCTGGGCCGGAGCGAGTCCTGAGGGGAGAGATGGAAGTAGGGCCGTCTTCCAGAACAGAGCAGTCCGAGGCTGGGCAGGGGAAGGCAGTGATGGACAGGAAGGATCTCTGCCCTGCCCCCAGGAGCACAGGTAGGGGGTGGGGGTGTTCAGGGAACCCGGCCTGGGAGTCCCGTGGGCTTTGTGTTCAGGCCCTGTGGTCGTGCCTGGGGTGGTGGCACCCCACAAGTGAAAGCCCATCCCGTCCCCGTGTCCCACAGAGAGCAGCACGGCCCACGGCGTCATCTCTCGGGGCGGCCGCCTGCACCTGAGTCGCCTGCAGCCGGCCCAGGCGGGCACCTACACGTGTGTGGCCCAGAACGCCCAGGGCGAGGCCCGCAAGGACTTCGTGGTGGCCGTGCTGGGTAGGTGTGCGCCCCGCCCCGCGGCAGCCCCTGCCGCCCCCCTCTCCCAGCCTCACCGCAGCCCCTGCCGCAGAGGCCCCCCGGATCCGGAGCTCAGGCGCCACACAGGAGCACAACGTCCTGCAGGGCCAGGAGGTGCGGCTGGACTGCGAGGCCGAGGGGCAGCCGCCGCCCGCTGTGGCCTGGCTGAAGGACGGCGGCCCGCTGGACCGAGGCGTGGGTCCCCACCTCCGGTAAGGTCCTGCCCGTCCTCCCGCCCAGGCGGCAGGGCCTCCTGAGCCTCACGCACCTGCCCCCGGCCCGTTCCAGGTTCTACCTGGACGGCAGCTCCCTGGTGCTGAAGGGCCTGCGCGCCTCAGATGCCGGCGCCTACACCTGCGTGGCCCACAATGCGGCCGGTGAAGACGCCAGGCTGCACACCGTCAACGTGCTGGGTGAGGAGCCGACAGCCAGCCTGGGAGCGGGGCGGGGTCTCTGCAGGGCCCCCGGAGGGTACTGGAGACCTGGGTTCCAGGCCCACAATGCCCATGCTGTGACAGAGCTGTGGCCTTGGGTCTGACTGCTCTAGGCCCCCAGCCTCATCCTCACCTCGGCCCAGTGGAGAGTCCAGGGTGGGGTGGTGGCCTTGCCCCTCCCGTGGGGGTGGGGCTATCAGGGCCCCTACCCTGGTGGCTGCTGGTCTTGGCAACATCTCCCTGGGAGGAGCCCACCCTCCGCCCAGCCCCCAACCAGCCCTCTTCTCTCTGCCCACGGCTAGTTCCTCCCACCATCGAGCAGGCAGCGGACGGCAGGGAGAGCCTGGTGAGCAGGCTTGGGGAGCTGGTGACCATGGCCTGTCCCGTGCGGGGCTCCGCCCCCATCCACGTGAGCTGGCTCAAGGACGGCCTGCCCCTTCCGCTGTCCCAGCGCACCCGCCTGCACAGCTCTGGCCGCAGCCTCAGGTAGGGGAGGGCTCCGGGCCCCCAGCCTGCGAAGCCAAGGCCCCGGACAACTCTAGACAGCTGGGGCTTGAAAACATTCTAAATGGGTTTTAGAGTAAAAACTCTGTGATGGGCAGAGCGATGGGACCCCAGCCCCACAGAGAGGGGCCTCTGCCCTCAGGCACTCTCACAGTCTGGTGGGGGAGGCGCAGAACCAGGTGAAGAAACCTGATTGAACCTGACTCAGCCTGGCTGAAGGTGGGAAAAGTCAGGAGGGCTTCCTGGAAGAAGGTGCCTGAGCCGAGCCGTCTTCATGCATCCAGCCGCACGCGCTGAACAGTGCTTACTGGCCCAGGCCCGGGCCCAGCAGTGAGCCTGAGCTCTGAGTCCTGGGGAGGGGAGGGGGTGGAGATAAACAGAAATGAAATGTCCCGGGGGTGGTGGGTCCTGGAGAAGGAGCAGGGAGGGGAGTAAGTGGGAGGGGGCAGAGGCGGCTGCCGGGGACAGGGGCTTAGCAGGGCCGGGGGTGGTGGGGGAGTGGGCTCCGTGGGGAGGAGCGTGCAGGCAGAGGGAGGGGCAAGGCCAGAGGTCCCGAGGGAGGGTGGGGTCCTGTGTGTTCAAAGAGCAGAGTAGGGCCTGGGGGAGACCGGGGAGGGTCAGGTAATGGGGGCGGGACCTTGGGGGTCCTGGGAGAGACTTGGATTTTCCTTGGAGGAGATGGGAGACCCTGGAGGGCTTTCCCAGGGGCACTTGCTGACTTGGAGTATTTCGCTGTGGGAACCGTTACTAAGTGCCCAGTCCAGTGGCACTAAGCGCACTCACACCGTGGCGTGCCCAGTCCGGTGGCACTAAGCGCACTCACGCCGTGGCGTGCCCAGTCCGGTGGCACTAAGCGCACTCACGCCGTGGTGTGCCCAGCCGGTGGCACTAAGCGCACTCACGCCGTGGCGTGTCCAGTCCGGTGGCACTAAGCGCACTCATGCCGTGGCGCAACCATCACCACCATCCCTCTCAGACTGACACTCTGCCCATCAGACCCCGCCTCCCTGCTCCCCCTCCCCCACCCCGGGCGACCACCCGTCTGCTCTGCTCTCCCGGCCTCACGGGAGTGGGACCCTCAGGTTCGCCCTTTGGCGCGTGCAGCTGGCTTCACCAAGCGTCATGTCCTCACAGTCCGCCTGAGCCACGGCGTCAGACTCCTGCATGCTCAGCGCTGGGCACTGTGTCGCCGTGGGGCTGGACCACATTTTATCTGTGCGCTCAGCTGTTGATGGACGTTTGGTAGCTGCTGCAGACGTGGGCGTGCAGACACGTGCGCAGACTCCACTCGCAGTTCTCTGGGGTCGGGACTTGGGTTTCTCAAAAGATCCTTCTGGCTTCCGTGCGGACAGCAGGATGGTGAGGCGCTGTCGCGACACTCGGGGAAACTGATGTGGCCTGGAGCAGGGCCGCCGTGAGGGGCGGCCGCATCCTAGAGGTTGATCGATGGATCTTAACATGCGGGCCGGTGTCGTGGCACAGTGAGTTGAGCTGTCGCTGGCAACGCCAGCATCCCATAGCAGAGTGCCCGTTCAGGTCCCAGCTGCTCCACGTATGATCCAGCTCCCTGCTGGTGCGCCTGGGAAGGCAGCAGAAGACGGCCCTGGTGCTTGAACCTATGTGGGAGACGCAGATGGAGCCCTACATTCCTGGCTTCAACCTGGCCCAGCCCTGACTGCTATGGCCAGTTGGGGAGTAGACCAGTGGATGGAAGATCTCTCTCCTTTATCTTTCAAATAAACAAATATGTATAGGAAACAGAGCTCTCCTGTCCACTGGTTCACTTCCCAAATGCCTGCAACAGCCAGGGCTGGGTCGGGCTAAAGCCAGGAGCCAGGAACTCCGTGCAGGTCTCCCACATGGATGGCAGGGGCTCGAGTCCCTGAGCCGTCACCTGCTGGGAGCTGGGACGGGGAGAGGGGCCGGGACGTGAGCTCAGGCACTCTTGTGTGGGAGACAGCCGTCTAACAGCAGCAGCACGCTGGATGGATTTGGAGGGGAGCTGATGGTGTTTGTAAAGAGGTGAGAGAGAAGGGGGTTACCCAGCCTGCCTGGAGGCGGAGGTGCCACTGTGGGCGGAGCCGGTGGGAGAGGAAGCCTGGAGTTCTGGTTGACCGCGCTGGGCTGTGTCACCCCAGCTCGCCGTCAGAGGGTCTCTGAAGAGAGGTGTGTTTGCAGTAGGAACGCACACAGGGAGTGTAGCCAGGAGGCTGAGCGGTGGGGGGGAAGGTTTAAAGGCGAACCGAGCAGCACGAGATCAGATATTTGGATGAAACAACCCCAGGCCCCTGGGTCAGTGATGAAGGGTGGTGCCCACCGAGGGGGGACAGACGCCCCGCAGACTCTGCTGTGTGTGTGACTGTCACTGTCGGGCAGTCACGTGAGAGCCCTTCTCTCTCCTCCCCACCCCCGTCTCTGTCTCTGGGCGTTCAGGATCTCCCAGGTGCAGCTGGCAGATTCTGGCGTCTTCACCTGTGTGGCCTCGAGCCCTGCTGGTGTGGCCGACAGGAACTTCACCTTGCAGGTGCAAGGTACGGAGCAGGGGCTGGGCTGAGCGGGTCCTTCCGCCTTGCTGGGTGAGAACCAAGGCCTTTGCCCCCTTCCCACCTGGTGCCAAGGGCAGAACCAAGGGCTGGCCCTTGTGGTGCCGAGGCAGGGCAAATCCAAGCTCCGTCTTGGGTTCGTTGGGTGGGTCACTGCTTTATCGCCAAGTGGTCATTGGGCACTCCCGTGCGCCTGGGATACAGCAGTGGGCAGGGTGGCTGCTCTCCCAGGGGAAGGAGAGGACTGTAGGAACATGGATGAGGGGGCATCTCGCCTTGGGGACCCTGGGGAGGCTTCCTGGAGGAGGTGAGGTCAAAGCCGAGTACTGGGGACGAGCAGGATTCTCTGGCCTGTGCAGAGGTCCCGGCGTGGGGTGAGACGGCTCCCGCCCGTCCTGTGTCTTCCACAGTGCCCCCCTTCCTGGAGCCTGCAGAGTTCCAGGAGGACATGGTGGTGGTCCGCGGCTCTACGGTGGTCCTCCCGTGCGAGGCCCGGGGCAGCCCCCTGCCACTTGTGTCGTGGGTGAAGGACGGGGAGCCCTGGTTGGCTCAGAGCCTGGAGCAGGGGCCGGGGCTGCAGCTGGAGGCCGTGGGAACTGAAGACTCGGGGACCTACTCCTGCGTGGCCGTGAGCGAAGCGGGCGAAGCCAGGCGGTATTTCCAGCTGACCGTGATGGGTGGGTCCCCGGTCCTGGGGGGTGGGGGATGATGGGAAGGCAGTGAGGGAGACGAGTCCACCCCGCGTCTCCTGGGAGTGGGGCTCAGAGACGGGCTTGGTCCTGGACAGAACCCCGCGCTGGCCTGGCCTGCAGGGGCGGCCGGCCGGATGCTTGATGTCCCCGGGGCTGGGCTCGTCTGCCTTGCCCACCAAACGTTGGTAGCAGACGGAAGAGCAAGAGTCACCCCAATCAGGGGGCGGAGCCCTAAGACTCGGCACGAAATCCTGCGCGTGTGGTGCTGCGTGGGAAACTATCTCCCCTCCCCATACCGTGTCCTCGCTGGTTTGAAAGCACAAGTAACTGTCCCTGGGAGATGATCCTGATGTCTCCAGGCCTCCCCACCCGTCGCGAGCCTCTGTTCGGGCTCTGAGTACCATCAGCATCTGGACTGGGGCTGGGCGGGGGGGAGAGGCTCCGGTATCCAGGTCCTGGCTGACACGGTGGTGTGGCTGGCAGATCCCCCCCACATCGAGGACTCGGGCCAGCCTGCAGAGCTACTGCTGACCCCCGGCACCCCCATGGAGCTCCTGTGTGATGCCCGGGGCTCCCCCCCACCCGACATCACCTGGCATAAGGACGGGCAGGCCCTAACCGGGCTGGAGATCGGCGGCCGAGCTCCACGGGCGCTCCAGGTGCAGGCTGTGCAGGTGCTGTGCCTGTCCGGGGGGGAGGGGGGGCTGCGCTTCCCCCAGGGTGATGGCCAGAGCTCCTCCTAGGGCGGGGCCTGAGGTTGTGGAGGTGCCCGGGCCGTGCCCTCAGGATCTCCCAGCCAGATCAGAGCCACGGCTGGTGCCAGAGCCAGATAACTCCCCTTCTAGGCGGAAGGGGGCTGGTGCAGTCAGGGGGACTTCTGGGAAGAGGCGGGCCTCGCACCAGGGATGAGATGGAGGTGGAGAGATCCAGAGAGAGGGGCAGAGATTGGCTGAGGAGGGAGAAGGGCCGCCCCAGCAGCCTAGGAGCAAATCCTGAGTCCCTAACAGCGTGGGAAGGGGCCAGAGAGGGGGATGGGCAGGCTGGGGCCGGGGCAGCTGCTCACCCTGCTCGTCCCCAGGTACGTGACGCTGGGCTGTACACCTGCCTGGCCGAGAACCCAGCAGGTGAAGTTGAGAGGAGCTTCCGGGTCAGGGTTCAAGGTAGGGGGTTTAGGGTGGCAGGAGTGGGAGGCAGGATGGACCCCGAGGGGATGGGTCGGTCTCTCACGCTCTCTCATGCTCCTCAGGTCCCCCAAATGTTGTTGGGCCCCAGGGCCTCCGCTCTGTGGTCGGCCTGGCCCCAGGGCAGCTGGTCCTAGAGTGCTCGGTGGAGGCAGAGCCAGCGCCCGAGATCCAGTGGCACCGAGACGGCATCTTGCTGCAGGTAAGCACCAGGGCCCAGCCTTCTGCCCCTCACGGCAATGGCCCTCGCCACACTGTGTCCCGGGTCCCAGCGCTGCCCTGGGCGGCTCCATGGGTAACTGCCCCTCGCCATCCTATCCTCAGGCTGGGACAGGCACACCCCAGCATTCTCCCCAAGCCACCTTCGCGCTGCGCGGCCTGGCTGTGTGTCCTGGGGCCAGGAACTGAAGCTCTCTGCGCTCACCCGCCAGTGGCGCCAGTTTGCAGCCGTGGACTCACGGGTCACAGTCTTTGGACAGGAGCTCTCTTCCTCCAGGGGGTCAGGGCCCGCGGCCAGCCTGGAGTGGGGCAGAGACCATCGTCTGAGACCCTGGTCCCCCTTGCCTGGCCCAGCCAGGCACTGCTGAGGGTCTGTCTCTTGTGGGGACCCTGCAGGCGGACGCCCACACCCAGCTCCCCGAGCAGGGCAGGTTCCTCCAGCTGCAGGCCCTGAGCACCGCCGACAGCGGCAACTACAACTGCACAGCCCGCAACGCGGCGGGCAGCACCAGTGTGGCCTTCCGTGTGGACATCCACAGTGAGTGTGGCCTGCCCCGCCCTGCCCACGCTCCTCGGAGTGACAGGTGCCCAACCCACTCCCTCTGTGCCCCTCCCCAGTGGCGCCCACCATCCAGCAGGGACCACCCAGCGTGAACACCTCGGTGAACCAGACGGTCCTGCTGCCCTGCCGGGTGGACGGTGCACCCTTGCCCCTCGTGACCTGGAGGAAGGACGGGGCCCCTCTGGATCCTGGGAACCCCAGGTGGGAGCTGGAATGGGAGTGCATCCGGGAGGGTCTTTGTGGGCTGTAAACAGAAACCGACTTGGGCAGGTGGAGCAGAAAAGTGAGTTTATCGCCAGGTCATGGGGCACCTCTCCAAAGCCAGGGACAGGGAGGCCACTGCTAAGTGATGGAGTGGCCAGGGGTTTCTCCCAGTGTCTCTGGTTGTGTGTGGCTTGTGTGTGCTCTTTCTCTCTCCCCACCCCCACCAATGAGCAGGCAGAAACACACCCTGACCCACCCAGGGACCCCTAGTTGTTGGCTCCTCGGCTCCAAGGCAGAGTGAGCTCCCTGTGAATCACACATCCCAGAGCGGAGAACGTCATTGGCTCAGTCTGAAGGAGGGATCTGTCCATCCTGGTCCAATCAACTGGGGCTGGGGGCGGGATTATACAGTCCAGCCAGGTACTTGGGGAGGAGCCATTCCCAGACACCACGGACATGGTGCTGCCTGTGGGCTCCTGGGGAGAGGCAGGGGCCAGAAGGAGACTGGGGAACCAGAAGCAGCCCCTCTCTAGACCTGTCTAATGCTGGGCTGAGGGCGGGGTGCCGCTCATGCTGTCACCCTGACCTTGACCTCACAGGTGCAGGACTCAGCCCCAAGTTGGTGTCTTCTTACTGAAGGGGTGGGGAACATCCGGCCCTGCCAAGGCACCTGGCTGCAGGAGAGGCTAGAAATTCAGTGAATGAATAGCAGGCTGATTCTTGAGTGGAGAATTTTGCAGGGCCCGCGAATGATGCTATGGATAGCCAGTGGCCCTTGGCAGGAAAAAAGGTCCCCACCCCTGTCTTACTGGGGAAGGGCCCCGCGGTCTCCATGGAGACCCCTCTGTCCACTCCAGATTGGAGCTGCTGCCCGGGGGTTCCCTGCGGATCCAGCCAGCCCTCGCCCAGGACGCCGGCCACTACGTGTGCGTGGCATCCAACTCCGCCGGCTCTGACCGGCAGAGCCGCCATCTCCGCGTCTTTGGTGAGTGCCGTGGGGAGGGCTGGCTCCTGCCTTGAGTGCCCAGTCCCTGCCAGGACCCGGTCCTGCTTAGCTTCCGGGTCGGGAACCAGGGCAGTGGTTCCCAAAGGTTTCTGACTGCAGCGCCCATTAGTACAAAGTGTTGATTCCTGTGCACAAATCACGCAGCCCTGGGACGATACCGTCCTGCTAAATGCATGTGAAGTGTGTGCCGAAGGGAAATGCAGGCAAACAAGTGACGCAGTCACCGGGATCTGTGGCCTTGCGGGAGGCCCCTCTGCTGGGCCCTGGCCTCAAGCAGGGGCTGATGGGTAGTTGAGCGCTGCAGGTCTCGCTCAGGGAAGCCAGGCCCAGCCTTGGCTGTTGGATGTTCTCCCCCCGGGGTCTCTCCTGACCCTGCCTTTGCCATCTCAGGATGGGTTGCGGGTGGTTTGAACACCCCCTCTCCCGGGCTCCACCTCGGGGCACAGCCTTAAGAGAGCCCACAGCCCTGCCCCCACCCGCACCTGTCTCCTGACAACTTGTCCTCTCCCCAGAGCCGCCAGCCATCAGCCCCAGCCCCTCCAACGTGACCCTGACAGCCCACGTCCCGGCCTCGCTGCCCTGCGAGGCTAGCGGCTCCCCCAAGCCCCTGGTGGCCTGGTGGAAGGACGGACAGAAGCTGGACTTCCGCCCACAGCCAGGCGCCTACCGGTAACACCTGCCCTTCCTGGGGCTTCCTGAGATGCACGGGGTGGGGGGGAGGGGTGCCCACCTCACACTCGGGGCCAGGCCAGGAACAAGGCGGGGACCAGAGCTTGTGTTGCAGCCTTGGGGGGCTCCGGGGGTCTTTGCACTGAGACGGAGACGCCCGGCAGGGGACGAGGGCGTTTGGGACACACAGCCCGACAGTTACACTCGTTACAGTCACCGTAAAAGAACAAACTGTGAGGTCTGAGTTCATTCTGGCTGAGCCTGGACATGCCAACTGCTCCCCCGGCTCTGTCTCCCCACTGCTCAAGGCAGCTCGTGTTAAATGATCGTGGGGCGCACTGAGGGACCTGACCCCCCCAGTGCCTCTCCCAGCATCTGCCTTGCAGGGTGCCGGGTCGCCACGGGTGCTCCATCCACCTGCTTTCTGGACAGGGGCTTGAGCGTGGCTGTTATTACAGAAGTTATCCCTGTGCGACTGTGCAGGCACACACAGGGCGGGAGATAAAGACACACCCTAAACCCAACTGCTAGACCTTTGGTGGGAGAAACTTCTAGAAGAAATACTACAGTCAGGGCTGGGAGCCCGAATAGAGGGAGGGGCAATGGTTGTGAGACCACGCCCATCCAGACGCCTGGGCAGGAAGGCCCTGGCAGCCTCGTCTTGGCCCAGCCTGGCCAGTCCCTCAGCCACCCGTCTGCCTCTCCCAGGCTCCTGCCATCCAATGCCCTGCTCCTCATGGCCCCCGGGCCCCAGGACTCAGCCCAGTTTGAGTGTGTGGTGAGCAACGAGGTGGGCGAGGCCCGCAGGCTCTACCAGGTGACCGTCCTCGGTGAGTCGGGGTGGGAGGTGGACCAGGAAGCCTGGGTCGGGGCAGCCCCTGTCCCCTGTCTGCTTGCAGGACTTGCCCTGGTTTCCTGCCAGTCTTCCTGCGCTTCCCACAATACCTCCTCCAGGAAGCCCTCTTGGATCCTGCCTCCTCCCCACCGCCCACCAACTCCAGCGCCAGCATAGTTGCTGGTGTATGGGACAGGCAGAAGGCCCCTCCCGATCCTGGATGTTCTAAACCCAGGTCGTACCTTGTCCTCATCTGGTTGAAATCGGCCCCTCTGGGGTGGGGTTTGGCCTAGTGGTTAGGACACTGGGTTCTAATCCTGCTCTGGCTCCTGTCTCCAGCGTCCTGCTCATGCCATAACCACTTGTCAGAAAGAAGTGTTTGAACACCACAGGGGCGGGCACTCACCTTATCAGACACCTACGCTCCACATCAGAGCACTGGGTTCAGTCCCCGGCTCCGGCTCCTGGCTCCAGCTTCTCGCTAATGCAGCCCCCAGGAGGCAGTGGAGATGGCTCCAGTGGTCGACGCCTGGATGGAGGGCCTGGCTCCCAGCTCTGGCCCCAGCCCAGCTACCAGAGGCAGTGAACAGGCAGCTGAGATCTCTGTCTGTCAGTCTGTCTGTCTCTGTCTCTCTGTGTGTGTCTGCCTCTCAAAGAAAAAAAAAGAAAAATTAACATTATGAAAACTGCATGGATTTCAAGGGGATTTTTGCCTCAAAATGAACTTACCTTGCAATTCCATCTCTCCGTGAACTTTTATTTTTAAAGATTTTATATATGTATTTGAGAGGTAGGTTAGTCAGTGAGAGGGAGAGACAGAAAGGTCTTCCATCCACTGGCTTATCCTCCAAATGGCTGCAATGGCTGGATCTGAGCCGATCTGAAGCCAGGAGCCAGGAGCCAGGAGCTTCCTCCAGGTCTCCCACGAGGGTGCAGGGGCCCAAGGACTTGGGCCATCTTCTACTGCTTTCCCAGGCCACAGCAGAGAGCTGGATCGGAAGAGGAGCAGCCGGGACTAGAACTGGTGCCCACATGGGATGCTGGCGCCACAGGTGGAAGATTAACCCACTGCGCCACAGTGCTGGCCCCCATGAACTTTATTTTTAAAGATAGATAGATAGATAGATAGATATTATTTATTTATTTTTTGACAGGCAGAGTGGACAGAGAGAGAGAGAGAGAGAGAAAGGTCTTCCTCTGCCGTTGGTTCACCCTCCAATGGCCGCCACGGCCGGCACGCTGCGGCCGGTGCACCGTGCCGATCCAATGGCAGGAGCCAGGTACTTCTCCTGGTCTCCCATGGGGTGCAGGGCCCAAGCACTTGGGCCATCCTCCACTGCACTCCCAGGCCACAGCAGAGAGCTGGCCTGGAAGAGGGGCAACCGGGACAGAATCCGGCGCCCCGACCAGGACTAGAACCCAGTGTGCCGGCGCCGCAAGGCAGAGGATTAGCCTAGTGAGCTGCGGCGCCGGCCAGATTGATAGATTTAAAAGGCAGAGTTAGAGAGGGAGAGGGAGAGGGAGAGGCAGAGAGATCCGTCCCCTGGTGATGGGCCAGGCCGAAGCCAGGAGCTTCATTCGGATCTCCCACGTGGGTGCAGGGACCCAAGCCCTTGGGCGTCCTCTGCTGCTTTCCCAGATGCATTAGCAGGGAGCTGGATCGGAAGTGGAACAGCTGGGCCTCCCGCTGGAGCCCGTGTGGGATGCTGGCGCTGCAGGCAGAGGCTTAACCTTCTACACAACACCGGCCCTTCTCCATGAACTGATTAAAGTCCTACCGTGTCCCTGAGCCCCCAGACACTTGCTGAATGAGCGAAGGAGACAGCCCAAGTCTGTTGTCCCTGCCCATCTCCCCACCCCCCCCATGTCACCCTGCCCCCCAGCCTCTGCTTAGGGTCCCCAGCCAGTGTCCCTGTGCCCTCAGCAAGGCTTTGTCTCGGGTTTCAGTACCTCCCACCATTGCGGACGACCAGACGGACTTCACCGTGACCAGGATGGCGCCTGTGGTCCTCACGTGCCACAGCACAGGTGTGCCGGCCCCAGAAGTTTCCTGGAGCAAGGCGGGCGCCCAGCTCGGGGCGCGGGGGAGCGGCTACCGCGTCTTGCCTTCAGGTAAGTGAGGGCGGACCCCAGAGACACAGAGAATGGGCACAGAGCCCCTAGGTAGAGCCAGGTGGACAGCCCTGGCTCTGCTGCCCCGGCTGGGTGGCCGGGGGCGCCCTCTTTCCCTCCCTGAGCCTCTGTGGCCTCCAGCTGAGCCCGCAGTGGTTCCCGGATGCTCGCTGGCAGCTCAGTGCTGTTTCAAGGCAAAACGAGGGGAATAGCTGTGAGCTGAGCGCTTTGCGAGGGGAGGGGGGGGGGGATTTATCCCTGATTCGGCGACGCCGCGCTCCCCCTTTGGTGTGGAAGTCTCTCTTCCTCTGATGAAGTCAAGCTTGGTGTGATGGCAGCTTTCCAAACACCGTTGCTTGTCAAAGTAGAAAGGTAGCAACTTCAGGGGACTCTCCACGCTCAGCCGACTTGTCCTGAAGTGTGTGCGCCACAGCCCAGAGCTAAGGGGTTCTTACTTAAGAGACAGAGGGGCTGGCGCCGCCGCTCACTAGGCTAATCCTCCACCTGCGGTGCCGGTACTCCGAGTTCTAGTCCCAGTTGGGGCGCTGGTTCTGTCCCGGTTGCTCCTCTTCCAGTCCAGCTCTCTGCTATGGCCAGGGAGAGCAGTGGAGGATGGCCCAAGTGCTTGGGCCCTGCACCCGCATGGGAGACCAGGAGGAAGCACCTGGCTCCTGGCTTCGGATCGGCGCAGCGCGCTGGCCATAGCAGCCATTTGGGGGGTGAACCAACGGAAGGAAGACCTTTCTCTCTCTCTCTCTCTCTCTCTCTCTCTCTCTCTCTCTCTCTCTCGTCTAACTCTGCCTGTCAAAAAGAGAGAGATAGAGAGACAGAGAGGGCCCTGGTGCTGTGTCATAGCGGGTGAAGCTGCCACCTGCAACACCAGCTTCCCATATGGGTTCTAGTTTGTGTCTTGGTTGCTCCACTTCTGACCCAGCTCCCTGCTAATGACCTGGGAAAAGCAATGGAGGATGGCCCAAGGGTTTTAGCCCCTGCCACCCATGTGGGAGACCCAGATGAAGCTCCTGGCTCAACCCCGGCTGTTGCAACCATCTGGGGAATGAATCAACAGATGGAAGATCTCTCTCTCTCTCTGTCTCTCCCTCTCTCTCTTTCTTTGACTTTCAAATAAATAAATCTGTTTTTTGAAAGATTTATTTTATTTATTTGAAAGGTGGAGTTACAGAGAGAGGGGAAGAGAGAGAGAGAGAGAGAGAGAGAGAGCGAGCTGCTATCCACTGGTTCACTGTCCAGTTGGCTGCAATGGCCAGGGCTGGGCCAGGCTGAAGCCAGGAGCCAGGAGCTTCTGGGCCTCCCACAGGGGCACTGCTTTCCCAGATGAATTAGCAGAGAGCTGGATCAGAAACGGAGCAACTGGGACTCGAAGTGGTGCCCAGTCAGGTGCCAGGGCTGCGGGCTGTGGCTTAACCTGCTGTGCCACAGTGCTGGCCCCAGTAAATAAATGTTTAAAAAAAAAAAGAGAGAGATAAAAAAACAAAGAGAGACCTCCCATCTCCTGGCTTGCTCCCCAAATACCCACCCTGGCTGGGGGTGGGCTGAGCCAAAGCCAGGAGCCAGAAACCCCACCCAGATCCGTCCAGTGAGTGGCAGGGACCCAGTTCCGTGGGCCATCAGCATCTGCCTGGCAGGAAGCTGGAACCAGGAGCAGGGGCAGGTGTCATACCCAGGCAGCCCGATGTGGGACGCGCGCATCTTCACCGCTGGGCCAAAGCCCGCCCCCATGGTGTTCAGGCCCTTCGGGAGCCATGGGCCACTCCTTCCGACCTGTGGCTACGGCAAAGCCCCCACGCAGTCAGCCACGGTTCTGGTTTCGTCTGGGGCCGGGGCGGGGGCTGCAGGGAGTTGCAGAGTCCTGTGGGTCTTGCTCCCCGCCCCCCAGCCAGTGCCCAGAGGTGCAGGAGGATGGTGCTGAAACCCCCTCACTCCCTGGCCGAGGCGCAGCCTGCAGTCTGGGGAGACAGACGGTGTTTATCGGGCAGCCGAGGCCGAGGGCGGGTGGGCAAGAGGCAGAGAGAGGCGGCAGTAACCCCGGGAGGCCCCGTAGGATCAAGTCCTCTGGCAGCGCCTGGCGAGAGCGGCAGGGTGTGGGCCCGTGAGCCAGGGGCTGCAGGCAGGGCAGTGGCAGATCCTGGAGCGTCTGAGCCCATCGTGTCTGATTCTTGTACACGTGGGGAAACAGACACCAGGAGACTGGCTCTGCTCCGGCCCACACCAGGTTCCCCATCTGACCCCCTGTGCTGTGTACCGCGGGTAGGGAGGCAGGTGAGTGTCCAGGGCCAGAGCACCAGGCCAGGGGCGCGTCAGAGCCCAGCCACCTCCATCGCCGGGGCCCCCTCTCCCCCTCAGGTGCCCTGGACATTGGACAGGCCCTCCCCATCCACTCCGGCCGCTACACCTGCACAGCCCGCAACTCTGCCGGCATAGCCCGCAAGCACGTGGTCCTCACTGTGCAAGGTAAGAGGCAGAGGCCTGGGCCAGGGGAGCTAGAGAGAGGGGTGGGCTGTGGGGGAGGCAAGGCCTTGGGTCCCGGATGCCCGGCTCTGCCTCTGATCCGACTCCCTGGTGGGATCTTAAGAGAAAAGGGCGGCGCCTTGCATCACTGCTGCTGCAGCTGAGGCTTCCAGAACCTTCTGTCTCTTTAGAGACTGCTGGGTGGAGGGGCTGGCGTTAATGGCACCCGAGGGACCTCTGCCACCCCACCCCCACCACCTCTCCGTGCCTTCGCAGCCTCCCCCGTAGTGAAGCCACTGCCCAGCGTGGTTCGGGCAGTCGAGGAAGAGGAAGTGCGGCTGTCCTGTGAGGCCCTGGGCATCCCCCGGCCCACGGTCACCTGGCAGAAGGAGGGGTTCAGCGTGCCCGCAGGTGAGACCCACAGCAGCCAGCCCTAATGACCCGGGAAAGCAGTGGAGGACGGCCCAAGGGTTTGAGCCTCCCCGGGTTCTCCTGCCTGCCCCAGGGGACCCCACGGCCTTGCTCCGCCCAGGCACGTCCCCGCCCCTGCTCGGTGTCCCCACAGCCTGAGTGGTCAGGGACGCGTGGCTCAGCTGGTCTCAGGGCTGGGTTTCCGCTCGCTCCATCACTCGTCCGCCGGGACCAGTCAGTCATCTGCTGCTTGGCGGGCAGCATGGCTCACGCCGCTCTCCTCCCCTCCCCGGGGGTCCCCTGCCCCAGCTACCACCCCTCAATTTCTCTGCCACACCCAGCGTCCAGGACCCAGGTCCTCCCCAGCGGCCAGCTGCGGATTCTCCGTGCCAGCCCGGAGGACACCGGCAACTACTTTTGCATCGCGCAGAACAGCGTGGGGAGCGCCATGGGGAAGACGCGGCTGGTGGTACAAGGTGGGCCGAGGAGGGGCTGGGGGCCCTGCTGACCAGGGGGCTTTGAGGCTCCGGGAGCCCCTCCCCTCGCTACCCAGCTCTGGGTCCCGGCAGGACACACCCCTGCACCCCACCCCACCCCCACGCCAGCACTGATGGTTCTAGAAGGAATTAGGGGGAATTGTCTTCTCCTCTTGACCTGGCCTCAGACAACTCCACCCCCCATGCTCTCGGCCTTCCCCTACTCCCTGCTGGACACCAGTGTGGCCATCATGTGGCTTTGCAGGAGCACATTCAGGATTCACCTATTAACCTCACCCTCCTCTTTGACCGTTCATCTCCCCGAAGACAAAGGGGACCTCACCAGCCACACCCTGGGGAGTCTGCCGGGAGTGGCCGACACGGCACTCCTGCCTTGGCCCCATGGCCTGCTCGGTGGGCATCTCGGGCTGTGCTGGCGGGCTGCTGGAGAGGGACTTCAGCTATGACCTCAGGGGGTCTCCTGGCCCCACGTCACCTTTGCCTAGCTGGCTCACCCACCCTGTGTGATGTGGAGCTGTCAGACATGAGGCGTCTGCCCAGGGACAGTCTGCTGGGCCTCTGTGCTGAGCTCCCATCACTGTGTGTGTGCACAGGTGCAATGGGTCACCCATCACAGCTTTGCCAAGTTCAGGGAGTCCTTGGTGACCATGGGCAAGGACCTTGGACCAGAGTTAGCAGGGGCAGCCGATAGGGTAGGGCTGAGGGGCCATGCCAAGGTCAAGGGCCCTAGGGCAGAGGCGGCCCACCCAACACTGGTCCAGTTTCCAAGTGGGCCTTTTCTGCCACAGTCCCGCCTGTGATCGAGCCCACCCTCCCCGACCTGTCCACCGCCGAAGGCTCCCACGCCCTGTTGCCCTGCACAGCCAGGGGCAGTCCCCAGCCTGACATCACCTGGGAAAAGGACGGCCAGCCTCTGTCTGGGAGCCAGGGGAAGTTCACCCTCCAACCTTCTGGGGAGCTGCTGGTCAAGAACTTGGAGGTGAGGCCCAGTCCACAGGTTCAAAGGGTCAAAAACCATAGCAGCTTGGGAACAGTGACTGCCTGCTGAGCCCCAGTCCACTGAGCCCTGGTGCACTGAGCCCTGGTCCTGCACTCTGAGCTGAGCCCTGGTCCCTCTGTGCTGAGTTCCCGTCCTCTACTCCGCACTGAATCTGGTCCCACACTCTGAGCTGAGCCTGGATCCTGCATTCTGTGCTGAGCCCTGGTCCCCCGCTCTGAGCTAAGCCCTGATCCCCCACTTTGAGCTGAGCCCTGATCCCCCACTCTGAGCTGAACCCTAACCCTGCATTCTGTGCTGAGTCCTGGTCCCTCACTCTGAGCTGAGCCCAGGTCCCACATGCTGGGCTGAGCCCCAGTCCATACTCTGAGCTGAGCCCTGGTCCCCCACTCTGGGCTGAGCCTCAGTCTCTCACTCTGAGCTGAACCCTAACCCTGCATTCTGTGCTTAGTCCTGGTCCCCCATGCTATACTGAACCCTGGTCCCCCACTCTGTGCTGAGTCTGATCCCACACTCTGTGCTGAGCCCTGGGCAGCCTAGGAGCCTGGAACTTGAGGCACACAGGTGCTACCATCCCACACACAGCTGACAAAGCCGAGGCCCAAAGCGTCCCTGGTGGTCCTGGGATAACACTGGGGCCAAGAGACAGAACCGCTGTTTGAACCTGGGCCTCCACAGTCAGCTCTGGGGGCAGGAGCTCCGTTGGGAGCCGCTGGGACTTGGTGATGACTTTGTGTCTCCAAAGCAAAAACACATGTTGACGTGAAGCATTCTCCATGCCTGGGGGAAGTGTTGAGCCAGGGGTGCAGGTGGGACCCCAACTTCCATCAGATTCTGTCATTGCAACATGGCAGCCCCTGCCCCACAAGGGAGCAGGTAGTGCTGTGTCGAGCGCCCAGCCCTGCAGTGCGCCCGGGAACCTCCCCTTCAGGGTCTCGGCCAGGCCCTGTCTGTGGAGACCTTCCTCACAGGAGAGTCAGGCGTGGGTCAGCTGGTGCAGGCCAGGACCTGACCACAGGACGCTCCCATCATGCCCCTGGCTCTGGGCTCCTCCAGCTGCAGGAATGCGCTGGAGCCAAGGTGGAGCTGGCCCGGTTGCCGCTGTGTGACCTTGAACACGTCGCTTCACTTCCCCGGGCCAGGTGCTCCCGGGGATCAGCGGGAGTGGGTCCCCTGGAACATTCCAGCCCGTTACCAGGGTGGGGCCAGTTCTGAGCCCCTGCCTCCCTCTGCCCACAGGCCCAGGACGCTGGCACCTACACATGTACCGCAGAGAACGCCGTGGGCCTGGCTCGCCGCCGCGTGCACCTCACCATCCTGGCACTGCCCACACTCACCACCCTGCCCGGGGACCGCAGCCTGCGCCTCGGGGACCGGCTGTGGCTCCGCTGTGCGGCCCGGGGCAGCCCGACCCCCCGCATCGGCTGGACCCACAACGACCGGCCGGTCACAGGTCTGGGCCTGCAGTGGGTGGCCGGGACAGAGACCCAGGACCCCGGGGGTGCTGAGGAGGGCAGGAGGATGCACAGACCAACTCAGTGGACAGGAGGTGGAGAGACCATCGGCCAGCCTTGGGCGGCGGGTCTGCCGACTTGGCCCTGGGCAGGGTGCGGGGCAGCCCAGCACGTGACCAGCCACACCTGTCAGAGCCCACCTGCAGGGCCAGAAGGAGGTGGGCTCCAGCCCAGAGTTGCAGCTCCCATGTGGCACCCTCGGCAAACCCTGCTCCCTGGGCCCCTCCTTACATTAGAGGATGCTTCTCGTGTTCCTAAACCCAGGGCTGGGTGCTGGGAAACCCCCGTGCACACCTGCAGTCGGGCTTAGCGGGGACCACGGCTCCTGGTCGGGCCTGCGCGAGCCCAGCCTTCCTGCCACACGCAGACAACGAGGGGTCCCAAGGACGCAGGCAGGAGCCACGCCCACAGCTCGGTCGTTAACAGGCTCTGCCGCCCCAGGTGTCATGGTGGTGTTTCCACTCGGGTCGTGTGAGGCTCACAGCATGCCCCGTAAGGCAGTAAGGGCCAGCTCTTCATCCAGGGCCTACAGGGCCTGTGCCCCCCGGCCAGGGAGAAGGGCCACCCCCTACCATGTCCGGGTCTTTACTCAGCACATGCAAGGGTCCCTGACTCGGGTCCCGGGACCTCTTGCTCTCTGCTGCAGAGGGCGTGTCCGAGCAGGACGGGGGCAGCACACTGCAGCGGGAAGCGGTCACTAGAGAGGACAGCGGGACCTACGTCTGCTGGGCTGAGAACAGCGTGGGCCGCGTGCAGACCGCCAGCTTTGTCCACGTGAAGGGTAAGCCGTGTGCCCCAGGCCTCGGGAAGAGCCCAGCTGTTGCTTTCTAAGAAACAGGCCCCTGACCTCCAAGCTGCTGGCCCCTCACCCTGGCGCGCGGCCATCCCCTGGAGGGCTTTACAGAGTGCTGAGGCCCAGGCCGCACCCGTGATTCAGTAAACAGCCTCTCCAGGGTGGGGCTGGGTGTCAGTACTTGTTACACTCCCCAGATGAGCCGGGTGTAGGTGGAGTTGGACTGGCATCTGCCACCGGACAGTGAGGCTCCCGGCCTGCCAGTCGTCCCCAGTGTTCTTGCTCCCCTGGGAGCAGCCCCATGGCCCTCAGTGACCTCATGACGTCACTTGCTCAACCTTAGCGGGGGTGGGGTTGGATAGAGGGAAGAGCAGCCCAGGACACCAAGTCATAGCTGCAGCTTTGGGGAGACTCAGCCTCAGGAAACCAGGAAGAATGGGGACCCGCACGGGACAGCCAGGAGTGGTTTGAGAGCCACACTGAGTGCAGCAGCTGCCCTGATGCTCATGTTTTCCAAAATGCCTCTGCAGCAAGTGTAATGCGTCTCTGAGGGCAAGGTTACGACACACGTAGCACTGCATTCCCTCCTGTGCCCGTCTCAGGCATCACTAATCGATCACTGCACTCAGTTTCAAATCAGCACAGTTCCTGGTGACTCTGCCATCCTGTGAGATTTGACCCATGACATGGAAGCTGTTTGTCTTAGCTGATGCATTGAGCACCCACAGCCTTGCTGGGCTAGCAGGAGCCTCGTTGAACCCGAAGGGAACCTGACTATTCCCTTGCTGTCGCCCCACACAGAGGCTCCCACCCTGCATGGGGAGGCCTTCTCCTACCTGGTGGAACCTGTGGGAGGCAGCATCCGGCTGGACTGTGTGGTCCATGGGGACCCAGCGCCCAACATCCACTGGACCAAAGATGGCCTCCCGCTGCGGGGCAGCCGCCTCCGGCGCCGGCTGCAGAATGGCTCGCTGACCATCCACAGGACCGAGGCAAGGCGGGGCCTGGCGCCCTGGGGCGGGGCCAGGCACCAGCACAGCCCTGTGCTTCCTCTGACCCTCTGCAGGCTCCTGAGCACTCCCTGCCTGTTCCCCAGGGTCCCGGTGACCCCGCAGGGGCATTGAATTTTCCCGTTGTCAATCAAGCCCGCCCTCCAGCAGGGCTGATGGTTGTCCCAGCCTCCCGGGTTGATAGCGAGGACCAGGGACGTGATCCATACCAGGTCTTTGGGCGTGGTCTGTTGGTAACGCCCCCAGCATAGGATGAGTAAAGCCCCGTGGGGCCTCACTCTACAGGGGAAGACACTGAAGTTCAGAGCAGCCCGTGCCCAGTAAATGCAGCGGGCAGGAGCCCACCCAGGTCCCTGACACCTGTTCCCTGCTGTTCCCAGGGCCTCCGGCCTGGGCAGCCCCTGTCCCCCTCCACCCATGCCCTACGCTCCAGTGGTTGCTCCGAAGCCCTCAAGCCAGTCCTGGCTCCAGTTTGTCTGGGAGGCCTTGACCGCCGCAGATCAGGGCAGAGGTGGTGACCGCAGCGGTGGCGCCGGTACCGAGCGCTGACCACGTGCCAGGCACCACGCTTCGCACTTGAAGAGCGCGTTTCGCCGACAGGCGGGGAAGCGAGGCTCGGGGCCGTGGTGGTGGCCGGCAGTGGCTCCAGCAGAGTCTGCCGTGGGGTGGAGCCTGCTCTCCTGTGGTTCCCACAGCCGAGTCTACGCTCTCAGCTTTGTGCTCCCGCCTGTCACTCCCTGGGCCGGCCCAGCCACACCTCCCTGGGGTGCTGCCTGCCTCTCAGAAGGGATTCTGAGCCGGGCGGTTCCCGGCCGTCCCCTGCCCGTGGCCCCCGAGGCAGGGCAGGCTGCAGCTGCCCCCCTTCCAGGAGACTCCCACTGCGTGGGAAACGCTCTGAGAGCTCCTGCAGTCCAGAAACATGGTGGGAGGCCCAGTGTTTCCCAAACTTCGTGAACCATGGAACCCTTTCTGTCCAAGGAACCCCAAATAACTTGCCGTGGCGCAAGAACACTTCCCCGTGCACAATTTGGGGCAGGTGGATCAAAAGCCCGCCTTTCCCGGCCGGTGGCCCCACGCAGAGCAGCAACTCCAGGGCTATGGTCTTTGCCCCGCCCGGTTCCAGACGAGAAAGGGGCTGGGGTCTCTCGGAGTCTCTGGAGGCCTGGCCAGGGACCCCGATCCCCAGCCGGCTGGTGCTCCTGCTCCTTGCTGGTCGGAGGGGTCTCGGCCCTGTGGCCCTCTCGGTGCCCATCTGTTCCCAGCTGCTTCCTCCCTGAGCACCTGCTCCACTCTCCCGTGCCACCTGCAGATGGACGACGCGGGGCAGTACCAGTGCGTGGCGGAGAACGAGGTGGGCACCGTGAAGAAAGTGGTGATCGTCCTGCTTCAGAGTGAGTGTCCCCCACCCCATCCCTGGCCTCGCCTCCTCCGTGGAGCAGGAGCCCGGGGGCAGCCGTGGCTGGGAACCAGTCTCCCAGGTGGAGGGGGAGGCCCGGGACCCAGCTTCCAGGCCTGGGGCCAGCCTGGAAACCCAGACTCCCATGGAGCTCATCACAGTGGCTCCTGGCACCTGCCAAGCCTCAGAGAGTTCAGAAAGCAGGCCTGAACCTCACAGGAACCCGTGGGGCCGTCTGGGTGGGGACCACGTGGAGAGCATGTGTGCCGGAGAGCCCGCGTCACAGTGTCCGTCCACCCGCACCAGCACCTGGCTCAGAAAACACAGCAGGGGGCATTTGGCCTGGTGGTTAAGAGGCCACTCGGGATGCCACATTCCACGTCAGAGCGCCTGGGCCCAGCTTCTGGGGACACACGCCCTGGGAGGCAGCAGATGTGGGTCCCTGCCACCCATGTGGGACACCTGATTTGAGTTTTCAGCTCCTGGCTTGGGCCTGGCCCAGCCCTGGCTGTTGCAGGCATTCAGAGAATTAACCAGTAGTTGAGGCTTCTCTCTCTCTCTCTCTCTCTTCCTCTGATTTTCCAATAAATAAAATTTAAGAAGTGCAACGGTAGTATCAGCTCCCAGGCCCTCCAGCAAGTCCTCCACCCAGCCATTGCCCTCACCCCAGTAATCACTGTCCCCACTTTTGCCAGTTTTTATTTTTTACAAAAGCTTTATTGAGTTATAATTTACATTCCATAAAATTCACCCATTCATATAGCTTAATATTATTCAACCTTGAAAAGAAAGGGATTTCTTTTTATAAAGTTTTTATTATTATTATTATTATTATTATTATTATTATTTGAAAGGCAGAGTTACAGAGGGAGAGGGAGAAACAGAGAGAGGTCTTCATCCACTGGTTCACTCCCCCAGTGGCCACAGTGGCCAGGGCTGGTTAGCTGAAGCCAGGAGTTCCATGCGGGTCTCTGCAATGTGGAGAAAGGAGGGAGGATGGGGCAGGTCTCGGCGCCCAGGAGCAGCGTGGTGCTGAGTTCGCTGCGTTTCTTCTGCCTGGGCCCCGGGTGCTGGAGAAGCCGTGGCCCTGACCGAAGCCTCTGTGCTAAGGGGGTGGAGGGGACAGCATCTCTGGGAAGGAAGTGTCTGGACAGGAGCTGCCCCACACCAGCCAAACGCCCTCCCCCGCCCCGTCAACAAAGGCCCCCCGAGGGAGCCAACACCTGTCCCTCACCTGCCCCGTGTGCTGAGGGAGAGGGACACAGGCCCCGCCCACCTCTGCCCCTTCTCCATAGTGTCTGTGGGGGCCACACAGGAGCCCTGTGAGGGGCGCCTGCCCAGCGGTAGTGAGGCTCCCTCCCTGCTCTGGGTGGCTCTGTGGGGGCCGAGCAGGGGACGGACCTGGTGCCCTGCCGTGGGAGGGGCCACCTCTTCTGCCCTGGCGGCATCCGAAGACGGGCGCTGAGCTGGAGGCTGAAGGAGACCCAGGGGCTCGAGCACCTGGCGGTCCCATCCACTCTGAAACTCCCCTGCACGCCCAGGACAAGGATGACCAGAGCTCTGAACCGTGGGCCAAGGGTTCTCAGGTTGTGAGAGCAGGCCCAGCCTCTCCACTGTCCAGGCTCGCCCGGTCCACAGGGCCCCCAGCCAGCCCAGTCCAGGGCTTCTCCACTCATTCGCTGCCAGTTTAGCTGCTTCTCCTGACCACGATTCTCCTCCCCTACTGCAGGTCAGCTCCACCCCCGGGGCCAGCCCTGCCCAAACAAAGCCCTGGTGATGGCCAGGTGCGGTGGGCTGGGGTGGACACAGTCCCGGCAACCATAGACTTTCTCTGCTCTCGTGCAAAACTCTAGAAGCTTCCTGTGGGTGAATGAGTCTCGGTTCGGATGGGCTGTGGTTGAATTTAGTCGTTGGGGACGGCAGCTTCGGCTGCCTGTGCACCCAGCCACGGCCGGCGCGCCTGCTCCGGCTGGTCTGCGGACTTGCCCAGAAAGCCGCCAGGTCACATGCGCTCTTGCGGCAGGGTTCACATACAGCCAGCCCTGTCTGTGACGTCGTCCGCATTGTCCGTGTGGGATAGGTTTCCTTTGTCTTCACCGCTCTGTGGTTTCCCACTATTTGGGTGGGCGCCGTTTGGGCGCGTGCTCTGTGGAGGTTCATGTCCACATTCATGGCTCTGGGAGAACGCACACTCGCACGGCCATGAAGATCCTTCTGTTTTTAATGATTTCTGTTTGTTTGTTTCAAGAGTCGGAGTTACAGAGAGAAGGGGATATGGGGGTTGGGAGCGACAGGGAGAGAGCAGTCTTCTGTCCGCTGGGTCACCCCCAGATGGCCACCGTGGCTGTGGCAGGCTCCTAAATGGCTCCCTAGGGTACACCCACATCCCAACCCCCAGACCCTGTGGAGAAAGGGTCTCGGGGGGTGGGATGAAGTTAAAGCTCTCGAGACGATCAGTGATGGTCTGAGCGTGCCCTGAGTCACAAGCAGGCTTACACAAGAGAGGCGGAGGGAGCTCCCACACGCCCATGCGTGTGCACAGCCTCGGACGGACACACACCCCGGAGGCAGAGGACAGAGCGCTGCCGCCCAAGCCCACCAGGGGCTGGCAGAGCAGGGCCTCTGAAGGGACCGGGACCCTCGCTCGGTGGCGCTGGTCTTCACAGGCGCGTGGCAAGCGCTGCTCTGCGGTGTCTGGTGGAGCGGACCCCCACCCCTCCCCAGCAGCCCCTGGCTCTCCTGCCCGCAATGCGTGCAGCACCGGGCATCCCACGTGAACCGTCCTGGGGGTCAGGAATCCTAAGTGGACAGGAAGTCCCATCCTGTCTTTCAGAGGAGAAAACAGGGGCAGGCAGTGACGTGATGCGTGTCCTCCCGCTTTGTGGGACAGAGTAGAGCAGGGGGAGCCTCGTCACCAGGAACAGCCTCCGTGTCTAGAACAGAGCTTGCTTTAGCAGATCACAGCACGCCGTCTGTGCCCGCAGAGTGCACACTCACGCATGCAGCCAACCTCATTTGAGAGGCAGAGAGAGAGAATGAGATCCCCGGTTCACGCCCCAAATGCCTCCAATGGTCAGGTCTGGGCCGGGCCAAAGCTGGAAGCCAGGGACTAAATCCAGGTCTCCCACGCGGGTGGCAGGGGCCCGACCCCCTGGCCATCACTGCTGCCTCCCGGGGTCTGCATCTGCAGGAGCTGGAACGAGGCGCAGAGCCAGGGCTCAAAGCCGGGAGCTGCAGTGTGGCTGTGAGGGCCCAGCTGGCAACCTCATCTCCACCCCACACACCTGCAGCCCTCGAACCGATTGTACAATTGCACCTGCAGTAGACATTCAGACTTCTCCCTTGTCATTCTCTGAGCAACACAGCCCGGCCACTAGTTACGTAGCATTTACCTGCGATAGACGTTCTAAGTCACCCAGAAATGATTGGTGGTGCACGGCGGGGATGTGCGTGGGGTCCATGGAAGCCCTGCATGGTTGATGGCAGGTCTTGAGGATCCGTGGGGTTTGGAATCCGTTAGGGTTCCTGGGACAGTCCCCAGCAGATACTGAGGGGTGACTGCAGATCTAACAATGGAGTACCACGTACCCACTAAAAATGAATGGTTAATGGCGTGGGAAGATAGGTATGCCTGGGCGTGGCGGGGCAGGGGAAGCCGCTGTTTGCGGTGTGACCCAGTATTCATGGGGAACAAGGGCTCGGAGGGCCGGGCCGGCAGGATCACGGGCTGGCGGGGTCCGTGTGCAACTTGCTTGCTGCCGCCCCCTGTGTTCCTAACGTGGAATACACACAAACGCTGCAACGTTCCCAAAAGCTGCCTGGGCCGCCCGCAGGTGCCCCGGTGTTGGAGGTGCAGCCCCAGGACATGACAGTGCGATCAGGGGATGACGTGGCACTGCAGTGCCAGGCCACCGGGGAGCCGGCACCTACCATCGAGTGGCTGCGGGCGGGCCGAACCCTGCGGGCCAGCCGGCGACTGCGGACCCTGCCGGATGGGAGCCTGTGGCTGAAACGCGTGGAGGCGGGGGACGCGGGGGTCTACGAGTGCATTGCCCACAACCTGCTGGGCTCCGCCAAGGCCCGGGCACTCCTGGTCGTGAGAGGTAGGGGGCGTCCCAGCCCAGACCTGCAGGGACAGAGGGGGGCTGCCCTGCACAGGGGCTTGTCATGCATCTTGCTCACTGGGGACCTGGCCTGCTGCCCTGTCCGTCCCTGATCCCCTCTCTGAGTCACAGACAGCATGAACCAGCCTGGAGGCCCTTGTGTGTCATCCTGCCCAGCCTGTCTGTTTACAGTGGGGGAGACTGAGTCTCAGGGGGGCTGTCTGCCGCCTCTTGGACAGGGGACCCTGGGTATTCCAGCTTCGCTGCCACAGACGCGTGTCCTCTGCACCCTTCGCAAGCCCATGAATCAGGCAATGAGGCAGGGGCGGCCGGTGTGCTCCCGATGGGGGTCGCTGTGACCTTGCACTTGACCTGTGCCCTGCCTGCGGCCTGCCAGGGGTGGGGGGATGCAGTCAGAAAGGGCGTTGCTTGCTGGCGTAACTAAGCCTGCCTTCCTGGGGCTCCTTGGTCAGTCCCCTTTACCCTCAGGTCAGACGACTTCAGAAGGGGGGAGAGGACCAGGAAACCGCAGTGAGATGATTCTGAATGGCCTCCTCATTCAGAAAAAGTTCAGCTGTTTGAGACATTTTTGCTTTTTAGTGGTGTTTGAAGGTGAGATCTTTGGGGTTTGGAAGAGATCATGACGTCAGGGCCACTGTGATATATCCGTAGCTTCAAAAGGAGAGGAAAGGCCGGCGCCGCGGCTCACTAGGCTAATCCTCCACCTTGCGGCGCCGGCACACCGGGTTCTAGTCCCGGTCGGGGCGCCGGAGTCTGTCCCGGTTGCTCCTCTTCCAGGCCAGCTCTCTGCTGTGGCCCAGGAGTGCAGTGGAGGATGGCCCAAGTGCTTGGGCCCTGCACCCCATGGGAGACCAGGAGAAGCACCTGGCTCCTGGATTCAGATCAGTGCTGGCAGCCATTGGAGGGTGAACCAACGGCAAAGGAAGACCTTTCTCTCTCTCTCACTGTCCACTCTGCCTGTCAAAAAAAAAAAAAAAAAAAAAAAAAAAAAGAGATGAGCCGGTGCACCTGCTGTGTTCCTCTGTGACCCCGGGTGGTGCACCTGCTGTGTTCCTCTGTGTGATGGCCTCACCCATTCAGACTCAACAGAATGCCGGCACCATGCTCTTGCTGTTCCCAGCCTCTAACTGGGAGCTGCATAAACCTCTATGCTCTATGAATTGCCTCTTTGCTCTATGAATTAGTACCCGTTGGTAGTACTGAGTCATAGCAACAAAAAGTCAACTAAAACCCAGCTGCATAAAGGGGAGTTGGAGACTGAGACTTCTGGGTGGTCAGCACAAAGACCTCCTCTGTGTGGCTTTGGTCTCCTGCCCTGCCCAGGGCAGACGTCACCAACCTATCGCCACACACACGGTGTCAGCACCTTTCCCCAGAGAGCCCTTGTCCGTCAGCTGCAGGTGGGGCCCCTCCTGGCACCTGGTCTCATCTGCTGCAGGCCGGGCAGGACACCAGCAAGTGGGGCTCTGAGGGGCCAGCGGTTCTCTGACCCCTGTCCTGGGTCGCTGTCTTGGGGGAGAGCAGACCCTCCCCTATTCCAGACCTTGATTCTGGTTCTTCCCCTCGCCTGTGTGCAGCCCCCAGCCCCGCCCAGCGCCGTGCACATGCCCTGTGTGTTTGATCCTAGTGTTGCTGTGGCCCCGTGCCCCATGCCTGGGCTTACGTAGCAGACACTGTCATGCTGCTCCAGAGACCGGAGATTTAAGACCACGGCGGGGCTGCCCACCTCTGAGGCCATGCGGGGGAATCTGCTCCGGCCTGGCCGTCCCTGGTTTGTGGACGTGTCCGTACCCTGAGCCCTGCCTTGGTCCTCACGGGATGCTCTGGGTGTCTGTGTCCGGATCACCCTTTCCTAAGGACACCTGTCACGTTGGATTTGGGCCTGCCCTGATGACCTCATTTTAATTTGGTTTCAGATAAAGTCGCATTCGGCAGTCCTGGGGATTGGGACTTCAGCATACAAATCGGGGTGGGGGAGACCCGGTTCGATCCATAACAGCCCCCTTATTTATTTATTTTTTGACAGGCAGAGTGGACAGTGAGAGAGAGAGAGAGACAGAGAAAAAGGTCTTCCTTTGCCGTTGGTTCACCCTCCAATGGCTGCCGCACCATGCTGATCCAAAGGCAGGAGCCAGGTGCTTCTCCTGGTCTCCCATGGGGTGCAGGGCCCAAGCACTTGGGCCATCCTCCACTGCACTCCCGGGCCACAGCAGAGAGCTGGCCTGGAAGAGGAGCAACCGGGACAGACTCCGGCGCCCTGACCGGGACTAGAACTGGGTGTGCCGGCGCCGCAAGGTGGAGGATTAGCCTAGTGAGCCGCAGTGCCGACCCCCCCCTTATTCTTTAAATGGAAGCAGCAAGACTTCCTCCCTCCTTAAGCTCAGTATAGGCAGCCCAGATAACACAGAACTCTGAAGAGAAACGCGATCATCTCCCATAATTCCACGACCGGCAGTAGCTCAGGCGGCTCCTGGGGGCTCAGCTCCCAGGCGTTTCCCTCTGCGGGTACAGATGTCTCTTTGCTTCCCAGAGGTGAGGTGGCAGCCCCAGCTTGGCCCTGCAGCCTGCTCCTGTGCTTCCTCCACTGTGCGTGACACCCACCGTAACCCACCCAGGTGCTAGTCTTTCACCCGGTGGGTGTGGTTTTGGTCCCAAAGTCGCTGGCCTGGTTCAATGAGCAACGTAGTTTCTTCCAGTTTCCCCTCTCAAATCCATGCAGGGGGGCCATCTTTGCACAGTGGAGTGGGTGCCTCCACAGACAGCACAGTCTCTTCAAGGGGCATGGCTAGGTGTCGGGGGGTGGGGGGGGCAAGTCCCAAGTATCAGCGTGTCCTCCCTCCCTGCCTGGAAGGGTCCCAGCCTGGCCTTGTGGGGGACACGGGGCCGCCGAGAGCCCCTGCCTCTGGGAAATGGCTGCCGGTCCCGGGCTCTGTCTCCTTCCCTCCCAAGGCAGCTCCTGCCTCCTCCCTGTCTGCGGCCCCAGGCTTCCTCACCCCCTCCCTAGAGGCCAAGGGCAGGTGCACCCCAGATGGGCGTCAAATCTCATCAGACCTCTCATCAGACCCCAGACACAGGCTGTAGGACGCAGCTTCCTGGAATCTGGTATCAGCCCCCCCTCCCCAATTTGCCCATTTGGATCCTGGCAGCTGAATGATTTATGTAATTTTTCGACAGATCATGGGCAATTTGTCGTTCATTTCCCCTGCGAGCCGGGGCAGGGAGAAGCAGGCTCGCGTCTGTCTCTTGCTCCTGGAATGTCATCTGTCCCTGGGAGCCAGCTGGCCCATTACTCAGAGGAAGCGCCCCTGTGCCCGCAGCGTCTATTAGATTAGCGCTAAGGAGCCTCTGCTCACACAGCGCCTCCCCCCCCACACCCCCCAGCCAGGCCAGCTGCAGGGCGGCTGGAGCCAGCCACTGAAGGAATGGGGAATGTTCGGATGACAGTGCACGCCCTGGCTTGGTGCCCCCGCCCCTCCAGTGGGCCAGCCCCCACCCTCATGGGCTCCTGGCCTAAGCCAGTGGGTCTTTGCGAGTCTGTGCCCTCAACCTCAGCTTTGCAGTTGATAGCCATCTCTGGTGTAGCTTAGGGCACCAAGGGCAGAGCTAGACATAGCAGCTGTCCATCATCTCGACCCGCCCAGGTCCCCCTCCCACGGGAGCCTGGGTCCCTTGGGCGTTCGGCTTTGCCACTTACTTGCTGTGTGTCCTTGGGCATTGCTTCACGGCCCTGGGCCTCCGTTCACTCCCACACGCGGTGGGAACGCCCTCGGCTCCTGCTTGCACTGGGGGCATGGGGAGTGGATAGTGCACCTGTCACAGCGTCACTGCCATCCTTCTTCCACACAGGGGAGCCCCGGGGCAGCCGGGGCAGCATGATCGGGGTGATCAATGGCCAGGAATTTGGAGTGGCCACTCTCAACACCAGCGTGCACCAGGAGGCGGGTTCCGGGGTCACCACCATCCAGAGCAGCATCAGCCACATCCCGACTGAAGTGGGTAAGCGGGCGCCTCTGCCCCCTGGGGCCCTCCCACCCACGCTGGGCCCTGCAGGAGGCAGAGTGCCTGCTCTGAGGCTGGCGCAGGGCCTGGTGCCTGGGGGACGTGTGATGCCGCTCACAGCTAAACACAAGCCAAAGTGGACGTAGGTGGGGGCAGCTCCCCTGCACCCCGTAAGCTCCTCAACAAAGCATCTTCATTTCACACCAGACTGAGGGGTGCTGGTCAGCGCAGCCATTAAGATCCCTCTTGGGACCCTGACGTCCCAGGTTGGGGTGCCAGGGTTTGAGTCCCGTCTCTGCAGCTCCTGCTTCCTGTTGGCGCACACCCTGGGTGGTAGCAGTGACGGCCTCAAGCGCTTTCGGAGCTGCTGGCTGCTTTGGGGGTGGGGATTCCCACTGGTGGCGGGGGCTGACGGCAGAGTGACAAGTCGTAGTTACAAGGGAGGGCTGTGTGCTTCAGGGACACGAGAGGGAAATGGGGGGGGGGGGTTAGCCAGAAAACCTCAGCAACCGAGAGAGGTCCACTTGCTCGCAGATTCATCAAACAGTCGTGGAGTGTTCTGGAGAGACCTGCAGATCTGGCTGTCTCCCTCACAGGGGAGGCCAGGGCAGACAGGGTCCTCAGTGAAAGTCCTGGCCGCTGTGCCGTGCGCACAGTGCGGGGCCGGGGGGTCTCTGGCCGGGGTCCCTCTGAGCTGGCTGGCAGCGGAGAGGGAAGCCGGCGGCTGCTTTTCCAGCTGTGACAGCCGCAGAGAAACATCTGGCCCCAGGTCCGTGGGCCAGGCTCTGTTCCCTGGAGGCAGATGCCCTCGCTGGGGGCTCCAGCTTCTCTCCATTAACATGAGTGACCCTGAGCCCGCGGGGTGTGGGCGGGGCCCCCCTGGCCCAGCCCGAGGCCTCACCTGAAGGTCTGAGAGCCCACATCCGGGCACTGTGCGGGCTGTCTGCTCAGAGGCAGTGGCTTGGGGCAGTCCTGCCTCTGCCGGGCCCTTTGAGGAGACGGCTGCAGGTGTAGAAACTTGAATGGTTTTCAGCTGCGTCCAGCAGAACCGTAAACCGGCTCTGCGCGTCCCCCGCTTCGTGGTGACGCGGGGGGGCCTCCCTGCGTCTGCTGAATTGGGTTGGGCATCAGTATGGGACGTGCACCTCCTGGTGTGCAGCCACCTTACTCCTCGTGGAGGGAGCACCGTTTCCCGGGTGCTGTTGAGTAGCTGGTGCAGGTGTCCGTGAGGCTGGGTGCAGGCCAGGAGGGCAGGGGCAGTGGGGAGCCACAGAGGGCCCAGCCTGACCTGGCCTCGGGCGCTGCCCCCCAGGGCCCCTGATGCGGGTGCTCGTGGTCACCATTGCCCCCATCTACTGGGCCCTGAGCGGAGAGGGCGGGGAAGCCCTCAATGGCCAGTCCCTGACGGGCGGCAGCTTCCGGCAGGAGTCACACGTGGAGTTCGACACAGGTGAGCAGGGTCCCTTCCAGGTGGGCCGGGTGGGGCTGTGGGTGGGGCCCAGGGCCTGTCCCCGAGGTGACCCTGGACTGCCTGCAGGAGAGCGGCTGACAATGACCCAAGTGGCCCGGGGCCTGGACCCTGCCGGCCTCCTACTCCTGGACGTGGTCGTCAACGGTGTTGTCCCTGCGGACCTGGCCGATGCGGAGCTACACATGCAGGTGGGGGGGGGCTGAGCGTGGGCGGGGCCTGAGCATGGGCGGGGCCTATTGTGGGCAGGGCCTGAGCGTGGGCGGGGCCTGAGCGTGGGCGGGCTGTGTGGGAACAGGGACTCCTTCCCAGCCACGACAGAGCAGCAGGCCCCTTTTGCTTGCTGACACTCCAGCAGGGGCTGGATCAGGGTCACGCGGGGGATCACGGGGCAGGGCTGGGGGCCCAGGGCGGGGGCACTCAGCCCAGCTTCCCGGTGACAGAGGGGCTCCCCCAGGGCTGAGTGGGTGCCGAGGGTCCCAGGCTGCTTGGGGGTTACAGTGCCAGCCCCGTCCTCCTCCCCCAGGACTTCGAGGAGCGCTACGTGCAGACGGGGCCCGGCCGGCTGTCTGTGGGCTCCACGCAGCGCTTCCTGCACGGCGGCCTGCCGGCCTGGCTGCACTGCAACCACAGCATCCGGTACGACGCGGCCCGGGGCGCCCAGCCCCAGCTGGTGCAGCACCTGCGGGCCTCAGCCGTCAGCACGGCCTTCGACCCCAAGGCCCAGGCCCTGCGCTTCCAGCTCACCGCGGCCCTGCGAGCTGGTGAGGCCGCCGCCCTGGGTCCCGCCCCCACCCCCCTGCCAGGGGCCCAGAGCACCTGGCTGTGCACAGCCCCCCATCCCCTGGCCAGGCCTGGGGGCTGAGAGCGCGCACCTCTGGGTCAGGCCACCTCCTGTGAGTTCTTCAGGCCACTCCTGGTCACGCGTCCAGAGCCTCCCCCAGGCCCCAAGGTGAAGAAGGCCCCAGCCCCACTCCAGGCTGTTCCTACTCAAGCCACGCCCTCTTTTCCCAAGGGTGCCTGCTCCCGAGGCGCCAGCAGGGGGCGGGACCACCGCGGGGACCCCGGTGCCTTATCGTCTCGTCCAAGGACCATTCAAGATGCACAGGTGGTCAGGGTCTGAAGGTTGAACAAGGGGCAGTGATGAGAGTTTAGCTCTGAGGTCAGGCAGGCCTGGTGCAGACTCCGCCGCCCCCCTCAGCTGCGGACCCCAGCGGGCAGCGCCCCGCCTTCCCTGAGCCTCAGCGTTCCCATCTGCGCAAGGGGCGGGGCGTGGAGCAAGCACCCAGCGACCCCTTGGCCCTTAGGCTTGCTCGGGCCGTCTGGTCTGCTTCCTGTGTGCCAGCTCTGGTCACGGGCTCCCACCCGGCCTGCTGCACACCCTCCACCTGCAGGCACGGCCGCGCCGGCCTCCGGCTCTCTGCCTGCTCCCTGAGTGCTCTCTCCTGGCCCCTGCCTCCGCCCAGCCCTCCCAGGGGCCCCCAGGGCGCACTTGCACGGCTGGGCACGCCGCACAGCCCTCACCTCCAACAGGCCCGGGCGAGGCACCAGCTTGCTGCCTCCCTGGCACGGCCTGGCTCAGGACAGGGGCTGAGCCCCCAGCCAGCAGGAGGGAGCTGGGAGCCTGGGCCGGGGTGCCTGGGGGGGCTCCTGCAGCTCCTCAGGGGGGGGCCTCTTTGCCTTGCAGAGGACAAGGATGCCGGCTGCCCTGAGGGCTTTGAGCTGGACCCCCAAGGAGCGTTCTGTGTGGGTGAGCCGTTCCCTGAGCCCCGAGGGTGGGAGAGGGCCTGGAAGCCACGCCCCCAGATCCCTTCCCACCTCGAGGGCCCTGCCCCAGCCCCTGCCCCCACGCCTGCCACACTGCACCAGGCCGCTTCTCTGTCCTGCCCAGCCGGCTTTGCCCTGGCCTGGGATCACAGGAACTGGCGAGGTGAGTGGTCCCTGCGGGAGAGCCCTGGGCCCAGAACACTGGCTGGGGCACCGCACCTGGGGACAGCCTGTTCCTGAGGGTTCTAACACCCTGTCCCCAGGGTCCCTTCCTGACGTGAGGGTACAGACAGGAGAGGTTGTGACACACACGTGTCACCTGCGCTCAAGGCTCCACCCCGACTGAGCGTGCCCAAGGAAGCTTTCCTACCGCCCAGGCCTCCTGTCCAGCCCCTTGGGGTCGGCAAGTGAGCGGCCACCGCTGGCCCCGCGTGCTCTGCCCGTCCCCTCAGCGAAGCTGCTGGGTGACAAATCGCACCCGGAGACAGTCGGGCGCCGACCTCAGCCAGCACCCTCCGCCATGTTGGGGCCAGGTGCCACCAAGCCCCCTCAGGGCCTTGAGCCAGGTGCCAGTGGCATCCGCGTCTCCCAAGCTGCAGGCTGGGTGGGCTCTGCGTCCAGTGCATGGGAGCAGGATGATGGACAGAGCTAGCAGGGCTGGGGGCCTTCATGCCAGCGGCTGCTGGGCCGGGGTGGGGGGGTGTTCCCTCAGCCACCTGACCCCCAGAGGTGGATGAGTGTGCGTGGGATGCCCACCTGTCCGAGAGGGACAGCACCGCCAGAACCCGCCCGGCTCCTACCGCTGCCTGCCTGCCTGCGGGCCTGGCTTCCGGGCGGCTGCTAGGGGGGCCGGCTGTGAAGGTGATGGGGCGGGCACGGGGCGCACCCTCCAGGGTTCAGCTGACAGGGCTGTGCGTCCCCAGGATGCTGGGTGCTGGGGAACTCTCTTGGCAGAAGGAGCACAGGAGGCCAGGGACGACGGCCAGGCCGCGGCTCCCGGGGCCTGGATCCCGGCCAGCCCAGGGACGGGTGTCCGACGTTCCTGCCTGGGCCTCGGGCGTCTGCTGGGTCGGGAAGCCAGACAGCAGCTGCCTCTGCTGCCCCCGCCTCGTGGGTCACGGCCCACCCTGGGCAGCCTCGGAGTCTCGGCGCAGCGCCCCACAACACCCACCCCCGCCCCAACCCTCCTGGCAGATGAGGAAACTGAGGCTGAGAGAGGAAGAGCTCCTTGCCCGGGATGGAGCTCGGCAGAGCGCGGCTGGGACCCCGACCCTGGAGCCCCCTCACCCCCTCCAACTTGGATCGTTCTTTGCCTCCGGCCCGGCAGGGGTGGTCTAAGCACTGCTGCCGGACAAGAGACTGGCCCAGGCCCGGATGTACATCCTTGGGGGAGGGGCTCCAGGCTCAGCCCCGCCCTGACCATGCCCCCACCTCCCCAGATGTGGACGAGTGCCTGGAGCAGCTGGACGAGTGTCACTACAACCAGATCTGTGAGAACACCCTGGGCGGCCACCACTGCAGCTGCCCCAGGGGCTACCGGTCCCAGGGCCCCGCCCTGCCCTGCCTAGGTACAGGGACCCCCACCCCTCCCGGGGCCCCACCCTGCCCTACCTAGGTACAGGGACCCCCACCCCTCCCGGGGCCCCGCCCTGCCTAGGTACAGGGACCCCCACCCCTCCCGGGGCCCCGCCCCGCCCTGCCTAGGTACAGGGACCCCCACCCCTCCGGGGCCCTGGACAGTAGCCCGGGCTCTGGGCTCTGGGCTCTGGGCTCTGGGCTAGGGTGTTGCAGCGCTCTGAGGATGACCAGGCTAGCAGCCGGCACACTCCCCGGGGCCGGATCACTGCTGTGCTGGTGTCACTCCCGACATCCCCCGGGGGAGTGGGCGATAGAGAGACGAGGGCACGGGTCTCAGAGACGCTCAGGGGTAGAATGGACCCGAGAACGGGCTGTGCAGCTGGGCCAGGGTCGGGGGACAGGAGCCTGGGACGATGCTGAGAGCCGGGGCGGTCAGGCCCCCTTGATCCAGAGACCGCGGGGTGGAGAGGAGGCACAGTGGTGCAGGGCGGCTTACGGGGCAGGCCCAGGCAGTGCAAGGGTGCTGGGCCCTGGGGAGCCAGGTGGGGGCACCGCAGCGTGCGGGAGCCCTGGCCACTCCCCACGCCCGGCCTGACCTCCCCTCTGCAGATATCAACGAGTGCCTGCAGCGGCCCGGGCCCTGCGCCTACCAGTGCTACAACCTCCAGGGCGGCTTCCGCTGCCTGTGTCCCCCAGGCCAGGCCCTCCTCCGCGACGGCAAGACCTGCGCCCCCCTGGAGCAGAGCGGACCCAATGTGACCACCGTTAGCCACCGGGGCCCCTTTGCGTCCTGGCCGCGGCCCCGGGCCCCCGTCCCCAGTGGCTCCTATCATGCCTGGGTTTCCCTCCGGCGGGGGCCTGGGTCCCTGAGCAGTGTGGGCCGGGCCTGGTGTCCCCCTGGCTTCATCAGGCAGAGCGGCGTGTGCACAGGTAACCGTCCTGTGGGGACACGCCACTGCGGGCGTCTCCGAGCCTTGCCCGGGCCAGGGGCTCCCAGGGGGCAGTGGGGACCCTGCCCAGAGGGAGGCATCTGTGGGCAAGTGTTCCCAGGACCCATTTGAGAAGCACTGTGCCCCAGGCAGCCATGCGAGTGTGGAGAGGGTGGGGGTCCGGCACAGCCCCTGGACCTGCAGAGGCTGGGCTGGGCTGGGCTGCACAGGGGGCCAAGGGGAGCTCTCCCACCTGGGCAGAGGGCTCTGTAGTGGGAGTCGCGCCTGCTGTACCCCTGCCTGGCTGAGCCTGGGAGGGGCATGGGGTTCACCCACCCCCGAATCAGGGGTTCCGGGGAGGGGGAGCGGTGGGCCGCCCCGGGGGGCCCTTTCCTGGCTGGCCCCACAGCCACCTGGACGCCTGTGACTCAGCAAATCTGCCCCCTCCCCATGCCCGGGCCAGACCTGGACGAGTGCCGGGTGCGGAGCCTGTGCCAGCACGCCTGCCGCAACACTGAGGGCAGCTACCAGTGCCTATGCCCCGCCGGCTACCGCCTCCTCCCCAGCGGGAAGAACTGCCAGGGTGAGCCGGGGCCAGGGCGGGCGGGGGGGCCGGGGACGCCCCTTCCCCAGACCGCCCCAGCCGGGCTGGGAGCAGGGGAGCGTCTGCAGGCAGGCTCAGAGCTCAGCCCTGCAGGGCCAGGCCACGTCCACCTCCAGCCCCCAGGCTGGGCCCACCTGGCTGACGTGGGCCGGGCAGGGGAATCGGGCCTGCCCTGCCTGTCTGCACCCCCACTCGCTGTCACAGGGTTCGTGAGTGTCCTGAGACGCGGGGGCACCCACTGAGGGAGGCAGGATCGGGCGCTCTGCCCACGCGTGGGGGCCTCTGAGTCAGGGGTGAAGTTGCTGCCCGGCTGCCCCCTTTCCCAGGCCGCCAGCCTGGCACCAGGCCCAGGAAGTCGCCGAGGTGCCCCCGCCATGGCCTGGGAAGAGCTGGGCCCTGGGGGGAGACAGGCAGGTGCCAGGCTGCCGCAGCCGGGCCCTCCAAGGCCTTGGTCCCCACTCACCGCCCCCTCCCCCCCAGACATCAACGAGTGCGAGCAGGAGGGCATCGAGTGTGGGCCTGGCCAGCTGTGCTTCAACACCCGCGGCAGCTACCAGTGTGTGGACACACCCTGTCCCCCCGCCTACCGCCAGGGCTCCAGCCCCGGGTGAGAGCCGCCGCCCCCCCCCCCCTCCCGGGCGAGGGCTGGGGGCTGCAGCCCTACCTCCAGGGAGGCCTCCGAGGCCCAGAGGCCACCCTCTCAGAAGCCCCAGGCAGGGCCACACAGGTGCAGGCTCCCTGGTGCGGGGTGCGGGCTGGCGTGCACGCAGCACTGGGGCGGCAGGAACGCATGGGCACAGCGGCCCCCCACAACCCCGGGACCCAGGCGCGCAAGCATCGCACCCACACTGCTCGGGGCAGACACCGGGGCCTGGGGTGAGGAGCCCGTGTGGTTGGGAACGCTCCCTGGGGCGCGTGCCTTGCCCTGCACCTTCGAGAACCCCGGAACCTGGGCTGGGGGCGGCAGTGCGTGCCCCGGCCCCGGCCTTTGAGCCCCGACCCACGCACTGCAAGCCCGGCTGAGCCGCCCGGGCGCGGGCACGGGAAAGGCCGCTGGCGGGAACCTGTTCCGACGGGAAGCAGCACGTCCCGGGCTGCTTCAACCTCAGTTTGTTGAGCTCTAAAATGGGCTATCGGAGGCGCCTGTAGACAGCCCCAGGGCTGGGGTGGGTCGGTTCCCGCGGCCCAGCGCGCGGGCGCTGACCCGGAGCCGGTCCGGTCCGCAGGACTTGCTTCCGGCGCTGCTCGCGGGACTGCAGCGCGGGCGGCGCCTCCACACTGCAGTACCGGCTGCTGCCGCTGCCCCTGGGCGTGCGCGCCCACCACGACGTGGCGCGCCTCGCCGCCTTCTCCGAGGCCGGCGTCCCCGCCAACCGCACGGAGCTCAGCGTGCTCGAGCCTGACCCGCACAGCCCCTTCGCGCTGCGCTCGCTCCGCGCCGGCCACGGCGCCGTCTACACCCGCCGCGCGCTCACCCACGCCGGCCTTTACCGGCTCACCGTGCGCGCCACGGCACCGCGCCACCAAAGCGTCTTCATCCTGCTCATTGCCGTGTCGCCCTACCCCTACTGAGCCTGCAGCTCTGGGGCCAGTGACCCCCGCGGCCGGGGTGGGGGGTGGGGTGGGCGGAGGGAGCCCTGCCCATGCCACCTGCCGTGTCGGACAGGCCGTCCTCTCCTCCCGCCCGGTGCGTCAGCGACACCTTCCGCAAACACGACCCTGCGCGCGGCCTTGAGCCCAGGACAGCGAGGCCGCCCCAAGCCCCAGGAGGCGGGACAAGGACACCGGGCACCGGGAGGTTGGGGTGGGGGTGGCGGAAGCGGTCACCCGGTCACACCTGGGCTGTGTGAGAGAGAGAGAGAATATGGAAGCAGTTGTTTTTAACCACCTTGGTGTCTCTGTCCAGTTATTTTGCTGCATAAGGAGAGGTTGGGGCTGGGAGGGGGACCACCACCCTCGGGCTGTGATCCGGGAGCACCGGGCCAGAATCCTGCAGCTGAGTGGCCTCTGGCTCTCCCGGCCCGACTTCCTCACCCCTAAAACCTCGGTACTGCGGTCGGGGCTCCCCTGGGCCGTGCGGAGAGTCGGTGGGAATTAAGCCTGGGTCGCCGACAGCAGGGCCCATGGTTGTAAGGAAATGGGCACAGAACAGAGAGGAGACAGGATTCGAACTCACAGCCAAAACAGGTTTATTCGGGGGAAATAAAATTGCAGAGGTGGGTGACCAGCTGGCAGCGAGCACACAGACCCAGCACGTGCCGGAGGGCCCAGACCCCAGCAGGCCGGGCCTCTGTATATCTCAGGTGGGCCGGGGGTCAGGAGGGGAGGTGCGGGCCGAGAGACAGGGGTGAGTTCCTCCATCTAGGTTCGGAGCTGGCTTTTGGGCCTGGAAAAGAATGCAGGGGTGGTGTGGGGAGGGGAGCCCCACGGGGTGGAACTGGGCGGCCTCTTTGCAGGGACTTAAAGGATGCAGGGGTGAGAGGTGAATTCCGATTTTATCTCCCTTCCGGCGTGGAGCGCGAATGGCCGAGGCTTGCGCCCTAGCCCCATCGGTACGCTCAGATGCAGATAAGCGCTGGGCGCCGGTCTCTTTCTGGCTACTTCTGCTGAGACCGGGTGTTGACAGGGGCCCAGGTAGCTGTACTCTGTCGGGTTCATTGAAGAAGAGCGTCTTGTGTTGTTCCTGTGTGATGGCTTGGGAGATAGCCGTCATTGTTCCTTTAAGAACATCAGAAATGTGTTCATTAGAGCCCGTGCTGTGGCAAAGTAGGTTAAGGCATCCCCCATGGGCACCGGTTCAAGTCCCAGCTGCTCCACTTCCGGTCCAGCTCTCTGCTGTGGCCTGGGAAAGCAGTGGAAGGTGGCCCAAGTCCTTGGGCCCCTGCACCCGCGTGGGAGACCTGGAGGAAGCTCCTGGCTCCTGGCTTCGGATCGGTGCAGCTCCAACCATTGCAGCCATCTGGGGAGTGAACCAGCGGATGGAAGACCTCTCTCGCTCTGTCTCTCCCTCTCTCTGTAACTCTGCCTCTCAAATAAATAAATACATTATTTATTTATTTTTTTTTTTAGAAAAGAAGTGTGTTGACTATACATGGTAGGAATAGGGGCGCTATGATTATGAGGAGAAAGGAGAGACGTTTCCATGGTGGAACAGATGGCCGGAATGAGGCCGACCACGGAGCCCAGGACCCTGTGCAGTTGGTGGGAAGGCAGGCGCCCGCCTGGCTGCACGGGGACGCCCCCGTTCCTTAGTGCGTGTTATGCTGGCAGGAAGCTGTGGGGCGGAGTCAGCCCCATGAGCTGCTAGCCCAGGGCTCCCTCGCCGCCTCCCCCTGCCCACGGGAACCCTGGCTGCTGTCGGGAATCAGGGCGAGCACTGCTCTGGCTTCTTCAAGCTGAGTAGGGACGAAGTAGGGGCCGGAGGTCAAGACAGGGCTCCAGCAGGGGGTGGCCTCTCCTGGGGCCGCAGTGCCGGCTCACAGAAGCAGTCTCCGCTCGAGGTTTGCTGTGCACGGCCATCTAGAATTTCGCTGCTTCGGGTCTGGAGGAGAAAGATCTAACAAGCAGGCTGACTACAAGGGTCCAAAACGGAGGGCGGAGGCATGTGAGAGGCGCTAAGAAAGGCGCTGTCCAAACCCGGAGGGAGTTTTCCCGTTGGGAGGCAAAGAGAAACTGACAGGAGGGGCTTGATAGGGCCCTGGTGTGCGTGAGGGCCAGACCTGTGCCTCTGCACCAGGCACTGGAAGAGACGTCGTAAGTGAGGGGTGAGCCTCCTTGTGGAAGACCCTGTGGGCTCCCGTTACCTGGCTGGCCTGGGAGGAGGGCTGGCCTGAACAGGAGGTCGCTATCGGACAGGCGACATCTCTAAAAGGAATCTATGGCTCTGCCCGCAATGTTACTGAGCCCAGGCTGAACCCCCAGTGGCAATGGGTCCTTTGGAGGCTGGGCAGCCTAGGGAGGGCCAGCGGGGGCTGCAGCTCTGGCCTGGGGGGTCCTTCGATCCTGGGGCAGTTCCGTTTGCAGCGGCCCAGGTCTTGGCAGAGCCACAGGACTCTCCTGAGCCTGGCTGCTGTGGGGCCGAAGCCCTGGCTTCCCACGTCAGAGACCAGTGCTGTTTGGGGTGGGCCGGCCTTGGTGGGTCTCCTTGGTGGCAGATCGCTGAGTAGAGCCGCCCGTCCTTACCTGGCTCCTGCTGCCCGGCTCACTCCTCCTCCTCCCGGTCTCTCTGAAGGAACCACAGGCCTGCAGGATGTCAGCTCCATCCCGCCCCGAATCTTTGGTGGCCTGAGCTAGAAATCTGCGGCCATGGGGATGTCCTGGCAGTGTTCATCCTACAAGATCAGACGGTGCCCACTGGGGCCGGCGCTGTGGCACAGCGGGTTAATGCCCTGGCCTGAAGTGCTGACATCCCATATGGGCACCGGTTCAAGACCCGGCTGCTCCACTTCTGATCCAGCTCTCTGCTACAGCCTGGGAAAGCAGTGGAGGATGGCCCAAGTCCTTGGGCCCCTGCACCCACATGGGAGACCCAGAAGAAGCTCCTGGCTCCTGGCTTCAGATGTTAATTCAGTCGCATTTAGCAGTGTAAATTGACATGAGCGCTTTTATCTAAAAGCCAATTAAAACGAGGGCTTGGGGCTGGCGCCATGGCTCACTTGGTTAATCCTCCACCTGTGGCGCCGGCATCCCATATGGGTGCCGGGTTCTAGTCCCGGCTGCTCCTCTTCCAGGCCAGCTCTCTGCTGTGGCCCGGGAGGGGAGTGGAGGATGGCCCAAGTGCTTGGGCCCTGCACCCCATGGGAGACCAGGAGAAGCACCTGGCTCCTGGCTTCGGATTGGCGCAGCGCCGGCCATAGCGGATTTGCGGGGGTGAACCAATGGAAGGAAGACCTTTCTCTCTGCCTCTCTCTCTCACTGTCTAACTCTGCCTGTCAAATAAATAAAACAAATGAGGGCTTGGGAAAGTCACCCTTGGAGGAGAAAGGCTTGGAGGCAGGGGCGCCAGGTGGGGCGGCCAGATGGGGGCTCCGGAGGGTTCTGGGGTGGGTAGGACGAGTGGCACCTGCTGGGCTAGGAGCCCAGAGGGGATGGGATGAGGGAGGGGCCGTCCTCCGAGGGGAGAGCAGGCTGGGGCGGGGGGTGGATGAGCGGGCAAAGGGCCACGCTCCTGAGACCCTGGCTTCTCGACGTCCTTGTCCCAAAAACCCCTCGTATTTCAGTCCCGGGGATAATCCTGTAGACAACAAGTGAGTTCTGATCCAAGGTTCACCCCAGGACCCCCAGGGGGCTGGGGCTGGGACCCCTGCAGGCTGTTCAAGTTCCTTATAGAAAATGGTGGTGGGTCAGCCACTTGCTGCGCCGGCGTCCCACATCTGAGCACCGGGTTCAGTCCCGGCTGCTCCACTTCCGATCCAGCTCTCTACTAATGTCCTGGGGAAGCAGCAGAAGATGGCCCGAGTGCTCAGGCCCCCCCCACCCACCCACGGGGGAGACCTGGATGGAGTTCCTGGCTCCTGGCTTCAGCCTGGCCCAGCCCTGGCCATTACAGACATCTGGGGAGTGAGCCAGCCGAAGGAAGATTCTCTCTGCCTCTGTCTCCCTCTCCCTCTCCCTCTCCCTCTCCCTCTCCCTCTCCCTCTCCCTCTCCCTCTCCCTCTCCCTCTCTCTGTAACTGTTTCAAAACAAATCGGTGTTTCAGAAAAATGTTTTCTTGCAGGAATCCCCAGTAGGAGACTCCTAACTCCCCTTGTTGGACGTCAGAGCCCCGGGCTCATCCGCCCCGAACCCCGCAGCTCCGTCTCCACCAAGCCCAGCCTGTCCGCCCCGCCACCGCCCGCGGGAGCCGGCGCTTCGCTCTCTGTCCCCGTTCTCAGCTTTTTTCTTTTGACTCAGATTCCACAGGTAACTGAGGCCGTGCAGCCTTCTCTCGATCCTTATTAATGAATTATTTGTAATGAGCTAATTACATTCATTTCCTCATTTTCCAAACTTCCATTGAGTCCCACTTCTGTGCCCAACGGCGACCACGAAACACGCGGCTCAGGGACCCACGTTCTGGTGGCCACGGAAGCAGCACGGAAGTGAGAAACAAGTGGGCACCTGTCAATCACGGAGCCAGGAAAGAAAATGGAAGGGGGGGTAGGGGTGGGCTCTGGGGGACGGTGGACCTCATGGAGCAGAGGCCTGGAGGAGGTGAGGGAGAAAGAAGCTGCTGGCAGAGGGAGCAGCAGGTGCCAAGGCCCTGAGGCAGAGGGCACCCCCAGGAGGCGGGGAGGGGGCGGGGCACAGGCTGGTGCTGAGCTAGGAGCGGGGAGAAGAAAGGAAGGGAGGAGGGTTCTTGGGCTCCCCCAAGGATTGCCCGTCGAGTGAAGAGGCCACGGGAAGACCCAAGTAGCCCCTGACACAGACCCTTATATCCATGGGTGAAAAGTTCGTCTTGGTGGCAAACGTTTTGTAATCCGTGCACAGTGCTGGTCTAGGTGTCTCGGTGAACTTTTGCAAGCCCCCGTGTGTCCTGGTGTCTCCCGTAAGCCGGCCTGGGGTCCGAGGCGCAGGAGCAAAGCCGGTGGAAGGTGCTTGGCAGAGCCCCCCACCCCCCTCTACACACCTCCTGCCCCCGGCCCCTTCCGGAGCAGGCTGTCCACAGGCCCTCCCCAGGACGCTGCCTGACACAGAGCGGCTGGCTGTCTGCTTGGCGCGTGGCTTTGGAGAGCGGGGCTCCTCCCATCCCCCTTGCTCAGTGCACAGGTGTCTCCCATCCAGGACCCCCTCTCTGCCCTCTGAGCTACTCCCCTGGGGCGAAGAACAATGGGACGGGAAACTCAGCCAGAACCAACACAGCCCCAGGAGGCCGGAACAGGCCCTGGTGCTGTCTGTTTGGCAAGGGA